ACTAGAGGATACAGATCATAGCTTTATAAACTTGTATCCCTTGTATCTAGCACCATGTTTGGTGTGTAGTAGGTGTTTGCTAAATGCTTGTTGGATAAGTAAATCTTTTAAAAGACAAAAAGGTCATCTTCTGTAGTGAAATAACTTCCTAATCTTGTGGCATATAGGATAGTTCCACTAGACCTCCCAACCACTAAGAGTAGGAAAATATTATTCCAGATATTAGTAAGAGATCTAGGAAAAGTAAAAATTCAGTAAAGTAGACATTTTAAGTAAAGTCCAGCTATAAAGGATTCCACTGTATTCCATAAACCTGTGTTTTTAACCTACCACTACATTGTTGCCTCCAAGTAGCTGGCAATGGCACTTCTTTTCCTCAAGTTTCTTTTCCCCAGTTAATGGACTTGTATCTGTTGCTGCTTGTACTGGAAGTATAAACTACTCCTTTCCCCCCAATCCTGAGCTTATTTAAGCTCCTAAAACGTGGGATTCACTGTGCCCAAGCATAAATGAGCTTTATTCTTCCTTTACCCACATTTCGTTTTCTGTGTGTAGTCTAACCTGTTTAGCTGTAAGTTTTTGTATTTTTCCAGGTAGAACTATAAATTTAAATCATGATCTTGGAAACATTTTTCTGCATGTTTCTGCCAAGCATGTCACACAGTTTTAGATTAGAAAAAGAAATTTGCTAATATAAATTCTTGAAAAAAAGGAAGATCTGTGAAAAAGATGTCCTTTTTTCCCCCTTTAGTTAATTTAACCTTTTAAAAATTTTTTTACAATGTTGTGTTGGTTTCTGCCATTCAGCAACACAAATCAGCCATAATTATATATACATCCTCTCCCTCACTAGCCTCCACCCCTCCCCCCATCCCATTCTTCCAGGTCATCACAGAGCCCCAGACTGGGTTTCCTGTGCTACACGACAACATCTCACCAGCTATCCATCTTACACCCAATTGTGTATAAATGCTGATGCTACTTTCTCCATTTGTCTCTCTCCCTCCCCTAAGACCATTCTCTAATGGAGTCCATCTGTATCTCCATTCATTCCTGCAAATAAGTTCATCAATACCATTTTTTCAGATTCCCTATATATGTGTTAATATATTTGTTTTTTTCTTTCTGATTTACTTCACTCTGTATAACAGGCTCTAGGTGCATCCAACTCACTAGAACTGACTCAAACTCACTGAAAACATATCCTTTCAAAAGTAGACCATATATACAAAGTAGACATGCTCAGACCAAAGAAAACAGACCTTTTGATGTAAAAATTTGAGTATTTTAGGTTTTGTAACTGGAGGATTATTTGTGTATTGATGTAATTTTAGAAAAGTTTCATTAAATGGAGAAAATAAGTCTCAGTAAATGGAGAGAAATGACTTTGGACATGCAGAAACAAACTTTTTTTTTTTTTTACAAAAAGAACACACACAACGCTCTACACCCGTTTCCTTCCCTTTGTCAAGTCTTATTTGTCACCCAAACACAGATGGCGTTTAGAACTGGCCTGGTACACCAGTGATACAAGTGGGTTTTGCACTGATGAGTCCAGAGGTAATTGTGCCCGGTGTGTAGTGCTGTGTGTGACACTTTAGAATAGTATGCTGTGACCCCTTGCCCATAGGGCTACCTTCTAGAGCAGCAGGACTTCTGTTCTTGGGATTGAGAAAATAAGAGATGCTGGGGAAGTTAAGAGCCTCCTGGGCTGGGGTAGCTATGGAAAGAGAATTGGAAATGTTTTCTGAAATAGCATGGACAAGAGAAAACAGATGCTTATGTCAAAAGAAAGCAGTAGAGATCTTAAAAAAATACTAAGATTTTGAAGGAATTTAAACTATATATAGATATAATGGTGGATCCTACTCATGTTCCTGTTGTGATAATATAGTCTGTATAGCCCATTTCTTGTTTTGGTTTAGATGACAGCAGGGATTTACTTTCTGCCATTCTTTTTACTGTTTTTGATCATAACAAATTCTTGGTGTTCAACAGTAGTTTAGTCCATTCTTAGTCCCTAACATTAGAAGATACCAAAGTCCTGATTATGATGGCATTAGGAAACCCCATCTCTTCTAGATTCAGACCGTATAATAACATATAAGTCTGGAATGAAGCTTCTGGAATATATCAAGTTGAATGAAATATTTTATGACCTTGCTATATTTTTAAAAATAACTACATTTTTTCCTACAACATAGATTTGTAGGAGTGATATTAAAATTTTGAAATGGCTACAGATACTACTTTTTAAATACAGTTATAAGGAATTTACCTCATTTGCTAGGAAGAACAAAAAAGATAAAGATAGCAGTTATACATTTAAAAAAATTTTTTATTAAAAAATTTTTAGTGACAGTAGTTATGCTTAGCTGCTTCATTCTATAATATTGTTTAGTTTCTCTGCAAGAATTTGGATTAGTAAAACTTGTTAAAGAGATAACTACTTTTCAACAACTACAGATAAGGGTATCCCAATTTCATTAAAATGAAATATAGGGCTAAAAAATGGTGACAAAGGGTTTACAGTTATAGGAAGAAAACATAGGTAAAGTATTGAATATGTGGCCTAGAAAATTTGTAGCTTTTAAGCCTGCCTCAGGATTATGTCTCTATATCAGAGCCCTTTACTGTGATGTCAAGAAAGGCATGTCTATGTCTCCAGTGATAACAGTCATCCCACACCTTGAACATTGTATCCCAGTGACTTATGGGATTTGCACATTATCCTTTGGAAAGCCAGCAGCTCCTCATCCTCAGCATAGACTCCTTTTGCAAAATACAAATGATGTACAGAGAAACAAATGATTCTTTTTTGCTCAATTTTATGACATTTGCTTTTTGCCCTTCTTATTTCCTAGAAATTTTTACCCTAAGATAGGGACCAGGAAAGTGATGGGGATGCACTGGGTCTTAATAGTTCTTTTTCCTCTTTAATAAGTTGTAGTTCAAGATTTTCATCTCCATTTAGTAAAGAAGATTAATGCACTCAACATGTCATTGAAATCAGTAGTGAAATCAAGGCCACAAAACTTCTTTCCTTTAATAATTTCTTGCTGACTGAAATGAAAATAGCATTAGGGAGGCTGTTATAAATACAGTACTTGTAAGACTGAGGAAACACTTAGGGGGAAAGGACAAAAGGCACTATTTATATCCAGTACCTTGTTTCCATATCGGGTTAAAGGCTTAGGATCATATAGTTTTATTTTTGAAAGGGATGCTACTGCTCATCTATTCTAGAAGCTGAAGCTGCACAATTCTATGAAGACCTGCAAGACCTTCTAGAACTAACACCCAAAAAAGATGTCCTTCTCATCATAGGGGACTGGAATGGAAAAGTANGACACTGATGCTCTTCAGAGCATTTTATAAATGATGCAAGCTGGTGGTAGGGCCTGCTGTGATACCCAAGTCTACAGATTTATATTTCATTTACTCCTTCTACCATTCTTTGCTATATGTTCATATACCTTATACTCAAAGACAAAAGGATCTGTTTCAACCCTGGCAACTCGCTGCTTCTTCTCACCGAGTGTGGTGATTTTGGCAGGTCCACTCCACAGTCTGAGGAGATCCAGGGGAGGTGACATGTGGAGATTGGGATAGGCGTTGGGAGGGAGGAGAAGCTGCAGACCACCTCCCCAGCTTGCCTAGTTGCTGGGGAAGGTGCTGAGCACAGTGCCCCAGCAGCACTCAGTGACTCTCACTGCTCTGCCGCTGCTCCCACGTGAAACCTCATCTCCTCTTCGACAGAGTGTGTTGTGTTGAAAGAAAACTTTGCATTGATCCATTAGTTTCACTTTCTAAACAAAATGAAATAATAGGAATATTTGGAGACTTTTTGTTGTGTTTTTTGTACTGTCAAGTTTTGCTGGAAAAGTAGTTTCCAGCCATTCTTTCCATCTTTAATGTTAATCTTGAATTTAGCAGTGTTCTCATTGTTAGAACAGAATAGGATAATACCTGTCATATTTCAGAGGCTAAGCATGTTTTCTTTGATTGATCAGAGATTCTAATGTGTTAACTTTTGTGGCTGTGCTACTACTGTTTTCATCACTTGTGTTTGTATTGCCTTTTTTTTTTTCTCATATTGCTTTCTTAATGCTGCAGAGCATTCTTGTATCTTTCTGCTGTGGTTTCAGTTACTAATCTTAGTAGTCACAGGCTTTGCATAGGGAAAGATATTAATTATATGAAATTATCCAGTTAAGCGTTTAATATATGCACTTTGTGAACCCTTGCTTTTCTAACTGCAGCATGCTTTTTGCTTTGCCTTGAAGGTAAAAATTATAGAAGCATGTCACCTAAATTAGAGGACAGTGCATATGCCATTTTAGTGTTTAAGATTATATTAAAAATTTAGCAGAAAGTTACATTCTCTACATTCTGTAGCAGATGCCTCACGAGTTAGATACCACTATCAAATTCAAAGCCGAATTTTACTGTTTCTGGTTTCTGAAAATTGCTTTGAATTGAGGGGGTAATTACTAACGCTCCACTAGTAAGCAATCCAGCTGAAACAAAGAGACCCTGAACACCAGGGCAATATTTACAGGAAAATATTAATTTGTCTTAGCCAGCTTATTTACATGAAACAGACTACATTTCAAGAAATCAAAAACCTAGTTATTTAACCAGGATGGCTTTTGCCTAGGCAGCCCCTGGTCCCATCTGTTCTTTTCCTTTGCTGACATGAATGAGTGTGTCCCATGCCTTCTTCCATGGTGAAGACCCAACCACTGGCCTCCTGTCTGCTGTTTCTGAAAATCATTTGTGTGAAAATAACAAGGCTGATACCGACTATTAGTATATACCTGTGTGGTTGTGCCATCACAAAGCATGTGGTTTGCAGGGGCAAAATTGGTTCTGTTTTTAAAAGAATCACTTTTAAAGGGTTGTGTTCACCTCTGTTCTGTCTCTCCCTGAACAAATCTGTTCATGTCAGGGCATGAATTGCACTTCTAAAACCGTTTTTTTTCCCCCTTGTTTTTCAGTCAATTGGAAATGCTAAAACAACCAGGAATGATAATAGTAGCCGTTTTGGGAAGTACATTGAGATTGGTTTTGATAAGAGATATCGAATCATCGGTGCCAATATGAGAACTTACCTTTTAGAAAAATCCAGAGTGGTGTTCCAGGTAAGCCGGGCCAGTACACATACAGATTGCTGTATCATTCCAGAGCTCACTTTATTCCCAGATTCTTTTGAGCATGTTATGTCAGTATTACTACAAACTACATCTGAACTGAAACATGTGAAACAATGCCTGTCAGAGAATACTGCTTAGACTAATAGTCTTGGGACTCGACAGTGATTTAGGTTTAATGGTTTTGACTGTTTCCTCCAGATGCTTGTAGGAAAAGATTAGTTAAGAAGAGGTGCTGTTAGTTTAGTCTTGTCTGTCACATTTCCCAGTTGATAGGGAAGACATTGGTCTATGCTTCAATGAGTTATGGTTTGAACTCAGTTCAAAAAAAAAATGTTCTTAACCTTTTTCCTTCCTTCCTTTTCTTTCAGAATATGGTATTGTTTAGATAGAATGTTGGGAGTCAATAGATCCTCATAACTCAGTTGTGAACCAGTGTCAGAGAACACACTCAAGTCTAGGTATTGGTGTAAGACTTTCATTCATACATATGCTCTTAGTCCTTTTGAAGAGGGGAGTGGGGGTAGCTTCCAGGATCTCAGTTCCCCAGCCTGGGATTGAACCCAGGCCTTTGCAATGAAAATCTGGAATCCTCCCCACCCCCAGGGAACTCCTGCTCTTACTCCTTTTTTATTTATAAATGGGAAACACTATGCATTACAACACTGGTAGACATGCATTTACATGTTTATGCTCAGGGAATGTGGACTTACCATTGGAAAACTCCTAGTATAGGACTCCTGGTGACCCACTGCAAACTGTGAGATGGGGTTCCTCTAGCCCCTTCACTGGATGCCTGCCTCATGGAGATTCCAATAGCCCTGGCACTGCCATATAGCTGAGTCTATAGTTTCCCCCATCACACAAGTCTATTAAGGCTTAGAATGTGTCTAGGAAAAACATACTGAAAGTCGTGAGTTTGGGTGGCCTAGAACTATTCAGGCTTTGACTTTAGGGATGTACCTGATTTGTGGCTGCCTAAATGTAATACCTGATTTGTATAGTAAAACAATAGTTACCCTCCTCCATTGTTCTAACATCTAGATACACGCAGAACAGTGTTATTATGCACACATGTATGCTTGAATAGGTTAAAAAAATATTTAGTAGCCAGAAGAAACAATGGGGGAAATATGTGATCTAAGGGAAGACTGAGTCTGCATAGTACAGATTTGATTGATAGGTAGACAATGAAAGGGAAAACTGGTATGGTGACCAAAGGCTAGTAGTAGTGGGGCCTAACCCTTCTTGTCTAGAAACTGTGAAGCAATTCTAGCTGTTCCCCAACCCACAAGGCTATATAATATTGAGGATGTTTGGTTATATCAAAGTGAGTCAGACAGAGAGTACATATTTGATATTCCTTCATGTACAAAGATGGTCAAAGCATTTCTGTAGAGTCTCCAGCTTTTCTAGTTGTCTGTGTACTGAACCCCCTAAAATATTGCCTGAAAAGTGAAAAGTGCAAGTGGCTCAGTCATGTCCAACTCTTTGTGTCCCCATGGACTGTACAGTTCATGGAATTCTCCAGGTCAGAATACTGGAATGGGTAGCCTTTCCCTTCTCCAAGGGATCTTCCCAACCCAGGGGTCGAACCCAGGTCTCCCACATTGCAGGTGGATTCTTTACCAGCTCAGCCACAAGGGAAGCCCAAGAATACCGGAGTGGGTAGCCTATCCCTTTTCCAGAGGATCTTCCTGACCCAGGAATCAAACTGGGGTCTCCTACATTGCAGTTGGATTCTTTACCAACTGAGCTATGAGGGAAGCCCTCATATTGCCTATTCATGCTTATAGTCACTGGTATATTGTTTTTTTGTTTAGGGTCTTCTGTCCATGTAATAAGTTTTCTTTATCAGACACCAGCCCCCATTACGCATGAAACCTGACCTTGGCCTTACTTGCTGTATTCTCCTGTCAACTGAGTTCATCTGGTAGAGAATCTGCCTGCAGTGCTAGAGACCTGGGATCAATCCCTGGGTTGGGAAGATCCCCTGGAGAAGAAAAAGAATACCCACTCCAGTATTCTGGCCTGGAGAATTCAATGTACTGTATAATCCATGGGTTCACAAAGAGCGAACACAACTGAGTGACTTTTACTTTCACTTTCTGGCAACTGAATACACTGCAGAATTCAGAAATATGATGATAAAATATAAGAATTAAGTTTTGTATGAACAGTATTATTACATTGTATTTTGAAAGTATATATGTGGAAGAAGGCAGTCAGAAAATACTAAGAAATAGTCTTAGAATTGTACACAATTTATTTTCTATTTGAAATATATTTTTATTGATTTTAAATATATAATTTAAATTGATATGGATGATGTAGTACATTTGTGGATTTCTTACAAACTACTACAGTAGACGGTCCAGTCTAAGATATGGGAAAGATGGGACTTTTTTCCCGAGTGTTACAAAGACCATGAATCTAAGAGGTACTGTGAGAAAATGTGAGTATTGGGCTGACAGAGATTTTAGCTTCCCCAAAAGTCACTGATCTCTTATGACAATGCCATATAGCAAGCTGTTTACTAGTTTAAAAAGCATTACTATCACATATATTATGTTGAATACGACCAACAGATACACTCACACAGATGCACATAGTTAATAAATCACGTTTCAATAATCATAGATATTAAACGTAAAACTTTTCTGAGTTTTAGATTAAAATTCTGTAATTGAAAACTCTTCTTATTTCAAAGGCAGAAGAGGAGAGAAACTATCATATCTTCTATCAACTTTGTGCCTCAGCAAACTTACCTGAATTTCAAGTGCTACGATTAGGTATGAATATGACATAGATTTATTGTTCTGGTATTATCTTCTGTTTATCTCCAAGTTCACAACTTTACTTCTTAAAAAGATTATCTTGTACTGAAATATTTATGGATGAAATAAGAGGTCTACAGTTGGCCTCAAGATAACCCATGGGATGGACAAGGGGTAAGTGGCTGTATAAATGGAACAAGATTAGTCTTGAGTTGATACTTGTTTAAGATGAATGTGATGAGTACACAAGGGCTCATTATACTAGTTTCTATACTTTTGTGTATGTTTGAAATTTGCCTTGTTTAAAAGGAAAGAAAATATAAAGGAGTTTATGTGGTAGAACCATACAAGGTCTCTGATGAAGAAAGGAAAAAAGTGTTTGAAGAAATTATCCTAGCGTGTAGATTGAAATGAAACCTTTAGGAAAGGACTGTTCACTTAAACTCTACAAACATTTTGCTCCATTATTTAATTTGAGTCTTGAATTAAAATGTAACTAAAAACACAGACAGTCAGACTCCAGACTACACAATTAATTGTGCTTTCGCTGCCTCTAAAGCAGAGTGGACATACGGGTAGAAGTCAAGGCCTTTTCATAGACTGCAAATCTTTTTAAAATTTTTCCTTAATTGCAGGAGATGCAAATAACTTTCATTACACGAATCAAGGTGGCAGTCCTGTGATTGAAGGAGTAGATGATGCCAAGGAGATGGTGCATACCAGGCAGGCCTGTACTTTGCTCGGTATGTAATCTTATCCTTGAATTCTTGGAAGCAATAGCTCTCTGACTCAAGCAACCTTTGATTTGGAATATTGGCTTAGCTTCATATTAAGTGGTGAAAATTGAGGAGTAACCTGAGATGAGTTAATTTAATTTAAAAGTATTGCTAATCAGAGTATGATCCAGCACCACTATGGAGCTTGTAAAAATTTAGAATCTCAGACTTACTAAACTAGAATCTGCATTTTAACCAGATCCATTGGTGATCCGTATGCATATTATAGTTTGAGAAACACTGCTTTACTTCCAGTGCAAACTCTGTTTATAAACAGAAAATTGCGAATTTGAAAAAACCATAACACAGGAGATGGTAGAAACATTCCTTGTAAAATGAACTATGAATTACCTGTATATGATTGCATATTTGGAAATAATTTTACTGTTTTTACTTGAACATAATATATATCTAATATTCTGGAAAAATCTTACCTTATTGAAAAGTGAAGCCTCATCTGGTAAAACACCAAGGGCTGACCTGCTTTCTCATCCTGCCTGATCTTTCAGGTCCTGCTCTAGTTCTTTGTTTAGGTACTCACTTGTCGGGCTGCGGCATAGCACCAGCCTGAACATTTTTAGTTGTGTGGTCTCTTTGACTTATTCTTGGTCTATAGTTAAAAGAAGTGATTGAGTAATTTGACTTAAAACAAACTTACTGAGCCACAACTTGCATTTAGAGTAGAGCTAAATGGAAAAAGGTAATAGTGTTAGCGAGATACTTAAATCGTGTGATGAATTCATTTAGCACTTACCATGTGTCACACAGTGTGTTAACTTTACTAAGTGTATTTTCTCCTTTAATGTTTACAGACTCCCTTTGAGATAGTCTCTAATGTCCCTGTGTCTCAAATCAGAAACTAGAAGGGTAAAGGTGTCTGCCCGTGTGAGATGGCAGGTCAGGAGCAGAGCCCAGCTTCCAGCTGAGATCCGTCTCACTGCACAGCCCATGCTCTAAACCATAGTGCTAAAGTGCATCTGTGTTAAGGTCAACAAAGGTGAAAGTGTTGTTAGCTATGGCATATTATAATGTATACAGCATCTGGCAGTATTAGAGTGCTAAAATTAAACTTAAAAAGTTAAATTATCTGCTTTAATTGTTTAGTTCCTATTCTGAAATTAATCACTGTTCATTTACTCTGTTATTTCAGGAATTAGTGAATCTTATCAGATGGGAATTTTCCGAATACTTGCTGGCATCCTTCACTTAGGCAATGTTGTGTTTATGTCTCGAGATTCAGACAGCTGCACAATCCCTGTGAGTTCAGAGCAAGCTTTCTGCGATGTCAGTTGACTTGTGTTTTAGTTTTGTTGATTCTTTATGGAACCAATGTGTTTGAAGTCTCTCTATTAACTAACATTAATGATTATCAGAGAGATAATTATTGGAGGGATACACTGTCTAGAGTAGAATTTTGAACTGTCAGTGAAGAAATGTGGATTCAGATACGTGGTTCACAGTGATTGTATGTGTGGAAGGGATGGGGGAGGAGAGAACTTGGGTATATGTGTGAGCTGTATAAACAGATGTGGGAAATATTAGATGTGAAAGTTGGATTGGTGAGTCTACAGTGAAGAGCTTGTTTGACCCATGGTGCACATAACAGAATTGATAAGTTTATTTTCCTGTGGAATATGGTTTAAAAGTTACTGAAGAAATTGTTAGCAGTGATTACTGGGAAAAGGAATTAGATGACTGGAGAGATATGGTGTCTTCACTATGATTTACATATTCTTCCCCATGTAGAGATGACTACACACTGAGAATTAAAATCCAATTCATTTGTTTAAACTGTAATAAAACCTAATAGTCTCAGAATGTTCTCACTGGGCATTGTGATTTGTAGTATTTTCTGATCACCACCATCAAAGATCACACACAGTGCACACACTCACACATACATATAGATACTTATTAGGTGTTTTTTAACTTTATTAAAATGGAGACACTTTTAATATAATTAACTCTTTTTCCATCTTGCTTTCTCGAGGATTATAATAGGAAACAGTTCTGAGATTTATGTTTCACTCTTCAGACACCCAAGTTGATATTTGCAAATCTACATGTAGATTAATTCATGTGACTTAAATTTGGGTAAATTAGACTTTAGTTTTGAAATACATGTTTCAGCATCTCTGCCTGGGTTCAATCCCAGCTTTACTATTTATGTACTCTATGTTTTGGGGTGAGTTACTTAGCGTCTCTGAACCTTAGTTTCCTCATTTTTAAAATGAAAGAGACTATATATTTTTTTTTTTTTACAACTTTTGGACTGGTTGCTCTGATCGAGCTTCATGCAGCATAAATTATATTCTAAAAATATTTGTAATAAATACATAAGAACTTTAATAAGTAAATAAGAAATATTTTAATATATATATAAACTGAGTAAAAATAGGAACTCGGAACAGAGCAGAACCCTGAAGCACGGACTCACCTGGGAGGCATTTGCTGAACCCAGTGATGTTGAGCTATGGTTTCCATAGCCAAGTGCGGTGCGGAAGACAAAAAACAAAGCCTCAGACTCCTATAAACAGGGGAACAGAAAGGCAAACTTCTGCCTGAAGCTGAGGCCCTAAATGGGGCACATGCTCGCCACCTTCTCCAAGAGTACAAAGAAAAATCAAGTCTCTAAGGGGGTGGCGCAGAAATAGTTCCCTAAAAATTTAGAGCAATGAGCTGCCCCTCACACTTATTTCCCAGTTTGTTGTCATAGTTCCTGGATGGTCCCCAACAGCAACATACACAAAACTCAGCTTAAATTGATCCTGGATTGGTAGTGCCCTGGATGCCTGACAGAAGCAAATGCAAATCCACCTTCAATCCAGGCCTCAACAGAGTCCCATGAGAAGAGTTACAAGAAATATTGACTCATAGTCAAAAATCTCAAATCTCATGATAAAACAAAATAGAAAGAGCTAGGCAAAACAACAGATAGCAGTCAAACCTACTAAGAATGCTGAAAGAAATTAATAGCAGATTTGACACAACTGAGTAGAGAAGCGATAAGCTGAAAGACAGACATGAAGAAATGATCCAAAATGCAAGATGGGACCCACAGATGGAGCCCTTAACAATAATTAAAAGAGATGAAGAATGGAGTAATAGAATCTAATTTTAATATAATGAGAATTTCTAAGGGAGAGAAAGAAGAGAATGAGGCAGACAAAATGTTTGAAGAGGTAATTACTAACAAATTTCCGAACCTGTGAAAATGACACTACACCACAGATTTGGAAAGGACAAAAAAATCCCAGATAGAATAAATAAAAAGAAACCCACCTCTAGGCTCACCATAATGCTACCATAGGCAGAGAGAAAAATCTTGAAACACAAAGAAACATAAGACATACTAGTGTTGAAGAAGTAGCAATTAAACTGATTGCTCACTTCCCAACTGCAATAATAGGAGTCAGAAAACAGTGGACCATCTTCAGTGTTCTAGAGTATATAATTACTAACTTAGAATCATATATCCAGTAAAGATATCTTTTTAGAATGAGGAAAAGATAGATGTGTTTTCAGACAAATAGAAACTTGTGAGAATTTGTCACCAGTAGGCCCTCACTAAAGGAAATATTAAAAGACATGGTTAAGGCAGAAGGAAAGTGATCTGGATACAAGATCTAAAATTCCAGAGGGAATGTAAATCAATAAAAAATGGCAAAATTTGATTAATTAAAAGAATAATAATTATGAATTGAGCTTCCCAGGTGGCACTAGTGGTAAAGAATCCACCTGCCAGTGCAGGAGATGAGATGTAAGAGATGCAGGTTCAATTCCTGGGTTGGGAAGATCCCCTGGAGGAGGGCATGGCAACCCACTCCAGTATTCTTGCCTGGAGAATCCCAAGGACAGAGGAGCCTAGCAGGCTACAGTCCATAGGGTTGCACAGAGTCAGACACAAATAGTGTATTGGGCCACAAAATACTTTTTACAGAAAACTCATTACAGAGGGAAAGGTAGTAGAGAAACCTCACAGACATTCCTATAACCAAGCAACCAGTCAGCATCACTTGAGTTCTGATGCAGCATCCTGAGGAGAGTACCAGATTGCTTCTCAAGTATTCCCACCAAAAAGGCGTGCCAAATCTGATCATGAGGCAACATCATACAGACCCAAACTGAGGGGCACACTACCCTTCTAAAGTATCGAGTTCTCAAAAGACAAAATAAAAGAGCGAAGAGCTCCTCAAATTAATAGAGATTAATGAAATAAGATAACTAAATTCAATGTATGAACCTAGATTGGATCCTGGACCATAGAAATGTGCCTCCCTAGCAACCCTATCCTCAAAGGACATTATTAAGTCAATCAGTAAAATTTACTAGGTAATAGGGTTGTATCACTGCTAATTTTCTGATTTTATTCATTGTACTATAGTTATATAAGACAATTTTAGGAAAATGCACAGTAGAGTATTCAGTACCAAAAGGGCATCATGTTTGCAACATGCTCTCAAAAGAGTCTGAAAAATAATATGTATGTATATGTATGTGAAAGAGTGAGAGAGAAAGAGCAAACTTGGTAAAATGTTAATATTTAGGGAATCTGGGTGAAGGGAATACTTTGTACTTTTCTTGTAACTTTTCTGTTAGTCTGAAATTAGTCTAAAATAAAAAGTTAAAAAAAACTAAAGTGAATCACCAGCCCTTTCTTCCTCCCAAAAAGATAGAACTAAAGTACTGGATAGCAAAGCTTATAGATTGGGATTGAGTGTTTGGAGTTCATGTTATTTAATTACATTAAGTTAACTAATGTATCAATTCTTCTATCATAAAAACAGAAACAGAAAGTGAAGCTTTCAAACTAATAAAGAGGAAAATGAACTAAAAAAAAATCCAAATATAGCAAGAAAGGGAGAGAAATTTTTAGAAAAGGAGGGACAAGTAAAGGCACAAAAAAGGTATTAATAGAAATAATTACAAATGAACCAATGTTTCAATTAATATAAATTGTCAGACCAGTTTTAGAATTCAGGTGTGTACTTTTGAAAGAAGCGTTCCTGAAAAATAAAGGTACAGATAGTTTGAAAGTAAAAAGTTGAGAAAAGACACCATAATAGCTAGAAAAAAACCTGGTAGAGCTGTACTGATACTGGACAAAATAGACTTTGAGGCCAAAAGCAGTACTAGAGATAGAGTCACTATGTATTGATAGAGATTTTTATTCACCAGGAAGATGTAATAGTTCTAAACTTGCATGTACTAAATGATGTAGTCTCAAAATATATAAAGCAAAAGATTACCACAAGAATAAAAAGACACATCTGTCATAGTAGGATATTACTGACTTCTCTCAATTACTGATAGATAAAGAAGTCTAAAAATTAGTTAAGTTATAGAAAATTTGAACCAAACAGTTAACAACATTGACCTCATAGAACAAAATGGTAGTACCATTCAAATAAAATGTTTAGAGTGCTCATCTACTTCTAAATGATGTCACACAATTCATATATAAATGAATGAAATAAGCTGCTTATTGAAGGGAGTTGATCCATGTTGATGGTAATGGTGCTGATTTGTGTCTGAAGTGATTACTTGGGAAGAGGGAACATAAAAGAAAGAAGGGACTGTTTCAGTGGGAAGGGTCAGGGGAGGAGGGTGTCAATAGACCCCGGGTTTAATAACAATTCTGACATAAACTGGAGGTGTGATTTTTGCCAAGCTAGTCTTTTGGATGTTATATCCTAATTTGTCAATTAGAAGGATATTACTGACTTCTCTCAATTACTGATAGATAAAGAAGTCTAAAAATTAGTTAAGTTATAGAAAATTTGAACCAAACAGTTAACAACATTGACCTCATAGAACAAAATGGTAGTACCATTCAAATAAAATGTTTAGAGTGCTGATCTACTTCTAAATGATGTCACACAATTCATATATAAATGAATGAAATAAGCTGCTTATTGAAGGGAGTTGATCCATGTTGATGGTAATGGTGCTGATTTGTGTCTGAAGTGATTACTTGGGAAGAGGGAACATAAAAGAAAGAAGGGACTGTTTCAGTGGGAAGGGTCAGGGGAGGAGGGTGTCAATAGACCCCGGGTTTAATAACAATTCTGACATAAACTGGAGGTGTGATTTTTGCCAAGCTAGTCTTTTGGATGTTATATCCTAATTTGTCAATTAGAGATAGCAGTGTTCACCCTGCCTGTTCCTCAGGAATGTTATCAGATGCAATTGAAACATGTGAGTGAAGATGTTAAAAAATATAATGTTCTAACATGAATTAAATTAAATAAGTATTTTTAATTTATGAATACTTTGCATGCCTACTCATGCAAAACCTATGGAAGACATTATAGGTGATACAGGGATCCCTGTAGGTAAGGGATTCCCAACCTCCAGGATCTAATGCCTGATGATCTGAGGTGGAGCGATGTGATAGTAACAGAAATAAAGTGCACAGTAAATGTAATGCTCCTGAAGCATCCCAAAACCATTCCCCCACTCCACAATCCATGGAAAGATTGTCTTCTACAGAGTCAGTCCTTGGTGCCAAAAAGGTTGGGGATCCCTGCCATAGATGATGCAGGGGATCCTTAGATTAGAAATACTAGTCTAAGAAGCCACACAAATAACTACTAAGTTGTCTGTTTATAACCTTTTAGTACCTCCACCTCACACCTCCCTGCCCTCCCTCCTCATTGCTCTTAGAGGAAAGACTAGCCATGAAACAGCCTCTGGCTTCATCCGCTACATTTTCTCCCTCACATAGCTTCAATCCCTCACATCTCTGGTTTCTCTCCCACCACAGGACTTTTATACCAGATGTTGCCTCTACTTGGAAGACCTTTTCACCAAGTTAACCCCTTCTTATTCTTCATCTCAACTCCATTTCTCAAGGCCACTGTCTCCTGTCTCCCTGAATAGGGCACATTCCTTACACATGGAATCTTAGTATAGTGTCCTCTTTTGTAGTAATTTTAATTTTAGGGCACAATCATTTAGTTAATGTCCATTTCCCCTAGTGACTATAAGTTCTAGGATGACAGGGTGAAAGTGAAAGTGTTAGTTGTTCAGTCATATCCTACTCTGAGACCCCATGGACTGTAGCCCACCAGGCTCCTCTGTCCATGGAATTCTCCAGGCAAGAATACTGGAGTGGGTAGCCAGCCCCTTCTCCAGGGGATCTTCTTGACCCAGGAATCAAACCCGGGTCTCCTGCATTGTAGATGAATCCTTTTACTCTCTGATCCACCAAGGAGGCCAGTACATGTCTATTTTTTTCTGTTGGCATATAATATATTTGTAGACAAGCTGACTCATTTTTCTGACTGACTAAATGAATGTGCCTGAAGACGGATGCAAATAAGTACTATAAAGAGACAAAGGAAGAGGTCAATTTTTGAAGTGAGTCCTAGAAGAGATTACAAAATGCTGCCTAGATTCTGGTTTGATGGATGATTGTGATTATCACTGATCAGCTTCAAATGCTCTTGGTGTTTGTTGTAACAGAGAAATTGTCAGGTTTAATTGTTACCTCTTTGTTAATATTTTTTAGTAAACTCTTACTTGATTGATCTGGTCCTAGGAAATAACCCATTCTCTTTTGGCAGCCCAAGCATGAACCCCTCAGCATCTTCTGTGACCTAATGGGTGTGGACTTTGAGGAGATGTGTCACTGGCTCTGCCATCGGAAGCTGGCCACTGCCACAGAGACGTACATCAAGCCCATCTCCAAGCTGCAGGCCACGAATGCCCGCGATGCATTGGCCAAGCACATCTATGCCAAGCTCTTTAACTGGATTGTAGATCATGTCAATCAGGCACTCCATTCTGCTGTCAAACAGCATTCTTTTATCGGTGTGCTGGACATTTATGGGTGAGTGTATTTGGCTTAGTGGTCTGAGCATTTCTTTCTAGACATTATCTAGTAACTCCAAGTAGGTATTTATGTCTCCTACTGGTGAGCTAAAGGGAAAATTAGAAGAGAATTTTTTAAAGTCTAGTTTCATTTGCTAGTTTGCCTTCTCTGGATACCTTTCTTTAATGTTGAACCCCTTCCTATACATTAGTGCTTTTTGATGCCTAATTTTTCATCATCTGGTTCGCTTTTCAAAAAAACCTATGACATTTCTATTTCCCTCCCCTCTGTATTTATGTAAACATTGTGAATCTGTGAATTGACAAGAGCAGTAGCTTTATCATAATTCTGATTGTTCCCTACTTGGGGATGAATATGCCCTCAAAACCTCATACTATTGAATAGATTCACATGCTGCAGCCTTGGAAAAAAAAAAAAAATCTCTGCCACTTTGCTGATGTCTATGTGCTGGGTACATATTTTGTGTTACTAACTTAGAAAGCCTTACCTTCACTGATGTGGAAAGAAAGTTTTGCAATGTTAGGGAATTTCCTATTTTTCTCTAATGTGCACATTTTGAATATTTTTTAAAAGCTATTTTTCCTTTTTCTCCTCTTCCCATATTATTTTTGATTTTACAGATTTGAAACATTTGAGATAAATAGTTTTGAACAGTTTTGCATAAATTATGCAAATGAAAAACTACAGCAGCAATTCAATATGGTAAGAATTTTCTTGCTTAAATAATATTCTGCTAAAAATTATTCTTTGAATTCCTAGTATGTGTGTAAAGACTGGCTCCTGAAGTGAAGTTATGAATTTCAATTATTATCTACAGTTTAAAGCAGTTAAACTGCTGAGGAACTTATGATTAATGAATGATGCAACCTTGGAAAGATGTTTATGGTCCAGATTGGATTCAAGGTCATCTGCTGTCTGAGAATAGTAAAAATTTGGTCCAAATAAATTGAGAGAAGGAAGCAGAAAGTGTGTTAGATAGTGACATGGGGATGTGAAACTTGGACCCCAGGGATATCATTCAGTTGGTTGTCCCTGAGGCTAACTATATGTGGAGTTAATACTATCTTAACTCTTACTTGCTGTATTAGCAAGATGTCAGGACAGTCTGATGATAAGACCATTGGATGGCATCATCGACTCAGTGGACATGGGTTTGAGCAAACTCCAGGAGATAGTGAAGGACAGGGAACCCCGGCGTGCTGTAGTCCATGGGGTCACAAAGAATCAGACATGACTGAGCGACTGAACAACAACAGGGCAAAAAAGTCAGGACATATTCTCTTTTCTACATATTTGTTAATGTATTCTATTTTATATATTCTCTTTTCAACAGTCTGAGACATTCACTGAGACAATGGCAGTGGAAGGATTTTGAGTGGCTTTTGTGAAATAGTAATAGAAATATGTTATCATGGTGTTGGGAGATTTGGAAGCACTTAAAAATGGTTGGGCTACAGGCTCTATGGTGGGGTTGATGGTGACCTCTGGGAGGTCACCTTCCAGGACTGCTGCTGCCAGGCCCTGTCCCCAAGGCGAGCCACTGCCGACCCATGCCTCCACAGGAGACCCTCCAATACTAGCAGGCAAATCCAAGCTCAAGTGGATTCAGAGTCAACTTAAAACATGTTCCTCAGAATGTCAAATTTCTCAGGATGTTAATAGACATTCCACAAGATAAAGTCATGTTAAAGAAAAAAAAAGAAATGCTGCAAACCCTCTACATCTCTATGTAGGGATTTATAAAGCACATTAGCTGAGGGGGGGGAAAAAAAAGCACAGAGAAATCAAGCAGGAAATATATTTAAATTGACTAAGCAAAAAAAAAAAAAAATTAAAAAGATTGGAATCCAACTCTGCATTGATTTTCCAGTGGATCCTGGGCAAGTTAATTGACCTTGCTGGGCCTTAGCCACCTCATCTGTATAATGGGGATGGTAACAGTACCTATTGCATGTAGTTATATGGATTAAAGAGTTGGGATATGTAAAGTGCTCACCACGTGCTAAGTACAACTTTTAAGTGCAAGATTAGGGGTGGTTATTATTGATAAAATAGGATGTTTAAAATGAATCACCTATAGGAATTAGAATATGAAAAAGAATAGAACTGAAGGATGAGTAAGAGCCCTATTATCCTCATCATACAAAGAGAGAGGTTGACTGGTATACCCTACAATTGATGAATGAAAAATGGAAATTTAAAGATATTAAGTTACAAAAATAATAAAAACCAAAAGATGTAAAAATTGTAATATCAGAAGGATAGAGGAAGAACAGTAGAGAGTGATATATATGAATTTGGCCTGATCTGTCGCATCAGGAAATCAATAGATAGTGTTAAATGAACAAATAAAAGAATAGCTGATAAGCATATACATCTTCCCTGGTGGCGCAGCTGGTAAAGAACCCACCTGCCAATGCAGGAGACACAGGTGATGTGGGTTTGATCCCTGGGTCAAGAAGATCCCTTGTGGGAGGGCATGGCAACCCACTCCAGTACTCTTGCAGGAAAAATCCCATGGACAGAGTATCCTGGCAGTCTACAGTCCACGGAGTTGCAAAGAGTCGGACATGACTGAAGCACTTGAGCACACAACAACAACCATATTGTTAGGGCTTCCCTGGCGGCTCAGCAGTAAACAACATGCCTGCAATACGGAGACACAAGTTCAGTCCTTGGGTCAGCAAGATCCCCTCGAGAAGGAAATGGCAACCCTCTCCAGTATTCTTGCTTGGGAAATGCTGTGGACAGAGGAGCCTGGCAGGCTACATTCCATGGGTTCACAAAAGATTCCTACACGGCTTAGTGATTAAACAATAACAACAACAACAACAAAGCATGTTGTTTAGAGATAAATATCAGGAGAAATAGCTGAGGAAGTTAAAAATGTTTGTTTCCAAGGAATTAGACTGGGATTGGGTCAGGATAGAACAAGGGATTATTGCTTGTCATCATAAAACCTTTAGATTATTTGATCTTTGTAAAATATTGCATAAAATATTATATTTTGATAAAAATTTGGACCCTCTTTTTAGCAAATTAAGCTACTTAGGACAGTGAAATAATGTAGAAGTGATCTTAAAATTTTAAGCTGTTTCTGTGAGAATGTGACTGGTATATTTTGTGTCTCTGCATAAGGAACGTTAATAAAAACCTGTCAGACACTAAGTGGAATATTATTTTTTCTCAAGGTTTTTCTGAGTTTCTCAATACTTTAATCAACAGCAGAGCCTTCTGCTCTTTCCCAGTATATTTTGGCACAAGGTGACTGGAAGTATTAAGGAACTAACGCCAGCCTTATTAGGGACTGGCTAATTTGTTTATTTCTCAAGGACCTCATGTCTCTGCATGTGTGTTTCTGACTTTCTTGTTTCCCTCTCCCTCTTTCTGTCTCTGCCCATCTGTTTCTTCTGTCTCTCTCTCTCTCTCTTTCCTCATACAGACACACACACACACACTGCAGCGTAGCCTCTCTCTGCACAAGAGAGACTTCCCTCTCTCTCTTATTTCTCTTCCTTCTCTCTTCCCTCCCTCTTATTATCAGATGGCATATATTTTCCTTCAGATGGTATGTATTTTGTCTAGGTTTTTGCTTCCTCACTTACCTCACACTTACAAGCAGTGGTTGAGGTGCTTCTATATTCTTACCTTGCTTAACTCCCATTCATCTTGACTTCTTGCAGCATCAGCTTTCACTGTTAATTGTCTGTTTCCCAGTTCTTGTATCCGAGAAAAGAGAATATGATTAACCCAGTTCATTTGTTCATCAGAGATCTCTGGCCCTTGACTAGCTGTGACTTGGAGCATGGGGTCTTATAGTAAAGAACTTGGTGCTCAGGCTGCTCCCTCAGCAGGGGCTGGGGGTGAGCAGTGGGCAGGAGAAACATGCTGACTGGCAGGTTAGTGCTTGGAGTCATTACCTTATCGAGTAAGCATCTCTTGCCATACTGAACCTCATGCCCTTAATTTTGCAATTAAGAATGGAAAATTTTTGAGGTCCCATGGATTTTGGCAAACTAAACATAGAGACTTGTATGAAAAACAGGCTCTAAAGTTTAGAGCAGTGTTTCTTTTGTCAATGTGAAGACCACACTGCATATAGACTAATGAATTAAAGAAAGATAGGACTCATTTGTGGGGAATTATTGGTACCATCAGCCAGGGCATCTTGCTGACACATGGTGCCCCATTTGCCTTCTAATTAATCAAAAGAACAGAAGAAATTTGCTTTCTAATTAGCATTACATAAATATTCATATGTATGACAAATTTGAGGTTTTTTTTTTTACTAAAGTTTCACACCTGGTTAGACTATGAATGCTGCAAATGAGCCAAGAACAGCATTATAATAAGTGTAAAATAAAGTAGGAAAGTTCCAGATGTGTGAGGAGAATAAAGTATCAGAAATCTTGGTAACTCTTAAGTTTCATGAGGGTTTAGGTTCTAGGAAATATGTGTTGTCTGGTAATAACCACAGAGGGATAATCTTCCCAGAAAAGTTGCAGGACATGTGAGAGAACCAGTGTGACAAAGGAGACAGGAAAGCAGAATCCTGCAGGAAGAAATGAGTATAGGTCCTTAGCACCTATAGAAACTAGAATTTTTGGTTTGGCTCCACTGGCTGGGCAGCTTGATGCATGCAGTGCTTCTATTGCCCTTCCTTCCTAGACCAACCTAATTACCTCTCACTGCAGACCTCAGGTCACACAGCCCTTCCTTAAGGAAGACTTCCCTGGCTACCCTGTTCCAAATTAGTTAGGGACTCCTGAGCTCATAGCTGGCCATTATTTTTCTCTGGAGCATTATTACAATTTGTAATTCTGTTTCTTGTGATTGTTTGATTTCTGTCTGTTTCTCCCACTAGTCTTCAAAGTCTATTAGGGCTGAGTCTGTGTCTATTTTGCTAATGGTGTGTAGTGTCTGGGACATGGTAGACAGTCAATACATATTTGTGCTTAAGTGAGTGAATGGAGATGAGAAGCAGTGGCTGAAGCATTTAGCAGAAATAATAATGTATTTGTAGTGGTTGCAGCTGCTGGCAGAATTGGATGTAGAAGCCAGAAAAGTGAGCCATAGATTCCCTGACTGTGGAGGATAATCAAGGCAGACACAAAAGACCAACTGTTGTCTAATCCAGAGGCACATGAACTTCAACACCATGGTCCCTTAAAAGAATTACTTTGTCATGCTGTAAGCATCACCCAGAATGTTTCAGGAGTCTGGAGGGCATCCTCTCTGCAGGTTGTTCAAGGCCAGCTAAGGCATTTCTGTGCCCATATGGTTAGCAACACTGAGCAATAATTTAAGGGGCCAAAAAGTACGTAGTGTGGTTTTGGATATATACATATCAAAAAATCAAAAGCTGCCACATTTATCAGCTATTTAAATACTCACATACCTAGATTTTCTTGTTTGCCAAAAATCCTATGTAGCTGAGGTTTTGCCATGTATGGTTTCTATTTGCTTTCTTATATTGTTCTCTGCCTATTTCATGTTTCTCTAAGATTGCTGCTAGAAGCCATTGACTGTCTCAAATTTTGTTTTATACATGTTTATTGACTCACATTTGTGACAGTGATGTAGTAATGCCAGTTTTTCCTTTTTCATTTCAGCATGTCTTCAAATTAGAACAAGAAGAATATATGAAAGAACAAATTCCATGGACACTCATAGATTTTTATGATAATCAGCCTTGCATTAATCTTATAGAATCTAAACTGGGCATTCTAGATTTGCTGGATGAGGAATGCAAGGTAAGTATGATTTTCTGATGTATTTAATATATCAAAATTTTGCACTGAGGTAAAATGGTAAATAGGTTTTAGTAGAGATTCACTAGTATATCATGAAGTGCCACAGTGGCAACAAGTGGGGGTTACTCTAACTTGCATTCTGAAGGGTCACTAGCTCCAAAGGGTTCAAACTATAGTTGAAACTAGGAAAATCTCCCTTCCCTTTTCAGCTGATTATAAGTTATGTGAAAAACTGGCATTAGATACAGCTACTACCAATTTTAGCCGCTTTTGTTATTGATATGCTTATATTTGGTACTTTTGTTCAATGGTATGATATAGTTCAGGAAATGTGAGAAATTGTACAAAAGGTATTTTGAATAATAGTTCTAAATATCTATAATTTTAAACTTGACTTGTTGTTCTTTATTACTTATATATATGGTGGATAAGGAGTTTTAGTTTTAATATTTGAAGATGCAGCATGTGGAAAAAATATTGGATCCCTGGCTTCCCTGATGAGTGATCCTAGACAAACAACCTATCCTTTCCCTTAGTCGTTCTTTAGTTTATATGCCGTAAGTTACAAGTTCATGTAGGCTGATCCTCCTAAGCATCCAGATTTCCTGCAACATTAAGAATGCAAAGACAAATACTGTATGGTTTCACTTATACTTAAAATCTAAAAACATAAAATGGACAAATGAATGTAACAAAACAAAAAGAGCCTCCTGGATATTAGAGAACAAACTGGTGGTTACCATCGTAGAGATGGTTGGTGGGAAGGGCAAGATAGGTGAAGGCAGGATTAAGAGGAACAAACTACCAGGTGTAAAATAAACAAGATACAAGGATGTAATGTACAGCACAAGGAATATAGTCAGAGTTTTATAGTAAACTTCACATGGAGTATAACCTATAAAAATATTGAATCACTATGTTTTACTGCAACTAATGTAATACTGTACATCAACTATACCTTAATAAACAAAAAGAATACATGTAAAGGTGCTCCGTTTCACTTGAAATTAAATAAAACATAAATCAAAACAGAAATAGGACACTGCTTTTTAGCTATCGAGTTTAAATTTGATAATACCAAATTAGTATTTATTGCATATATACTCTTGATGAAGGACAAAAGTTAGTACAACATATTTTTGAGGAATATTTATCAAGATTTTAAATACACATACCTTTAGAACCAGAAGTAGAAATGCTGAGAGTTTACCCTATGAATATACTTACAAAAGTATCCAAAGTTTTTGTTTAAAAGGAGTCATTGTGGCAGTTTCCATAATAACAAAAAAATCAGTAACAGCCTAGTAGTCATAAATACAAGAATGCTATTATTAAGAGGGAAAAAAAAATACAAGGATGGCTAAGTTGAAGATCCCTCTTGGTAAATGTCACAATGCACATGAAAATATGTGGGCTATTTTTAAATATCTTTTGATACTGATTTCTAACATAATTCCACAGTGATAACAGACTCTGTATATTTTCAGTACCTTTAGGCCTTGACATTTTTGCAGCTTGTTTTATATCCCTGGATATGTCCCAGTGTCTCCTTGTTTACAGTCTGTGGGAACTTGAATAGAATTTGTATCCTACTGTTGTATAAAAATTGTATAAATCTTAATTATGTTGAATTGGTTCACAGTGATTTTCAGATCTATAGATCCTTCTACTTCTCTGTATATTCATTCTATTAATTTTTGATATTGAAACTCCAACTAAAATCTTAATTTATCTACTTAAAAAAATACTTGTAATATATAGTGGAACTATATGTAACCTTGTTCTATATTTTTCAAATCTCCTGTAAATGTGTTATCATACTTTAATAATTTAAAGAAATAAAAATTTTTACAAATGTAAGAAGTTTATAGAATGATACTATTTGTATCCATGCCTTTAAAGACAGATAAAGCAGTTGGTGGAAATGGCGAAAGGAGACTATTCTCTGTTTTATAGCTTTCTGAATTATATAAATAATCTACTATGTGCAAATGTTATCTTTATTTAAAAAATTATTTAAAATATATGATAATCATGGTGTTTCATCTTTCATTTGTGAGGCTTTCATTGCTTTAAAAATATATTGAGTATTTATTTGATGACCCTTGGTCCAGGCAGATTGAGTTACTCAAAGCTTGGGCTGAGTCACCCATGGACAGGTCTCAGTTGTTGCTTTTCGTTCCCAGGTGGCGCTAGTGATAAAGAATCTGCCTGCCAATGCAAGAGACCCAAGAATCTTATGTTTGATCCCTGGGTCAGAAAGACCCCCTGGAATAGGAAATGGCAACCCACTTTAGTATTCTTGCCTGAAAAATTACATGGGCAGAGGAAAACACACATACACACACACACACACACACACACCCCAGTCATTGATTTGGGACCGCTGAGAGAGAAATGTGAAAGGAATGAGCTCCTGAATTGGAAGTTAAAGTTGTTGGGCAAAGCCAAAACACGGTCTCCTGGGTGATGCATCGGAAGAATCTCATAACAATGTTCACCTTGTTTTCTTGCTCTTTTTTTCCCCTGAATGTAGATGCCTAAAGGTACAGATGACACTTGGGCCCAAAAATTGTACAACACACATTTGAACAAATGTGCACTATTTGAGAAGCCCCGCCTATCAAACAAAGCTTTCATCATCCAGCATTTTGCTGACAAAGTAAGGAAGCTTTATTATCTCTTTTCTATTTGAATACTTAAGGTCAAAGAGGAAAAAAATCAATAGTCAATAGATAGCAGTTTTTTCTTTGCTGAGCTTTCATTCTTTAGCTCTTTTTTGAAAAAGTAAGCTTAATTGTTGAAGAAGGCAATGGCACCCCACTCCAGTACTCTTGCCTGGAAAATCCCATGGACGGAGGAGCCTGGTAGGCTGCAGTCCATGGGATCGCAAAGAGTCAGACACAACTGAGCGACTTCACTTTCACTTTTCACTTTCATGCATTGGAGGAGGAAATGGCAACCCACTCCAGTATTCTTGCCTGGAGAATCCTAGGGACGGGGTAGCCTGGTGGGCTGCCGTCTATGGGGTCGCACAGAGTCAGACACGACTGAAGCAACTTAGCAGCAGCAGCAGAAGCAAGCTTAATTGTTGGCTTATTGGTTTAACCTAAATGGAATTATATTATGAAATAAGTGAGTGTTTACAGTCCTGTATCTATAATTCTGAAATCCAAGAAACTCTGAAATACACAAGTATTTTTATAATCCATTTATTGGCTAAATCTGATCTTTGACCTGAAGTAACATGAGGTTATTTATAGTCTTTATTTACCCCAGTTAGGTGGATATTTATATATTTCAGTATAGAAATATTAATATGTTTGATTATAGATTGCTGCTTCAGGTCTACTTAAAGAATCTGGGTTCTAAAGCGTAGTGACCCCGGAGGTTTCAGAAAAGAAATTGCGGACGAGTGTGGCCCTCTGAGATTGATTCAGTGGGTCCCTGCTAATAAGGCATGCAGACCTGCTGCTTCGCAGGTTCTAGAGTCTACTCAGAAAATCTGGAGCTGTGACACTAGTTTGTATTTCAAGGGGTTTGTGGGGGTAGGCTTCTGGTAAGTTTCCCATGGCCCCTGTCAGGAATTGACGGTTTTCAGAGTCTGTCCTTCGTGTAGCTGGAGATCTTTGGATGGCTTCAGGGCCATCTAAGGGCTTTGTAGTACAGACTGGGGCCCCTTGAGTGGTAGATAGCTGAAGTCTTTTAGAAACGGGGAGCATCCAGTCTCATGTAGCCCTACTTACCAACTCATACAGTATTTACCCAGCCTCTACCTCTGTGCATGATCATCACTTCAGCTTTCTGCCAGATAGCTATTTCTGCCAAATAGCTATCAGAAGAGGGTCCTTCTGACCCTCTCTCTCACTTCAGTCTCTTCTTCCCCAAAGGAGACTTTCCCCTGCAGAAAGGTGAACCAGCTTTGGAGGAGATACAGTGGTTGGCCTTAGGAGAGCTCTCTTTGGCTTGCTCGAGAGAAGAGAACAGCTTCTTATGAGTCTGCTTACGCATGAATTGGGATCATCTTTTAGATCACAGTTAATCAGCACTGCCACTGCTCTCTAGGAAAAGCAGTATTTGAGAGTTTTACTCTAGAGTTAACATGCTTCTTACCAAGAATGATACTAGTTTCTTAGAATAAAACAAATAACACTTCACTGAGAGCCCATCATATAGCCTGGGCCTAATACTTATTTTTGTTGTTGATGATATATTGAATCTATTCAAAGCTTTTATTAGCTAAGGAGATTTTCCAATGTGTTTTCAGGTGGAATACCAGTGTGAAGGCTTTCTGGAAAAGAATAAAGACACCGTTTTTGAGGAACAAATTAAAGTTCTTAAATCAAGCAAGGTAACTTTGTATAGGCTTTCTCCAATCAGGATATATTCATTAAAATGTTCATGACTTACGCATTAGCTTTTTAACAGTAATAATAATTTTTCTAACAAAAATCAGCCCTACTGTTGATTTAATTTATCAAATAGATGTGTCATGTATTTTAAATGCCTTACAAACGTTAATTCATCTAATCCTATGATGAGGTGATATTATCACTGCTCCCATTTTACAGTGGTGGGAACTGAGGCACAGAAACTTTGTAGCTAGTCAGTTTCCAAGCCAAATTAAAATTCAAGCTGTTGAGCTGAGAGTCTGCATTTTTAACCATGATGCAGTAGTATTTTATGTGAAATTATTGCCTCACAGCAGTTCCAGGCTCTCTTGTGCCTTTGTGAGACACCATGAGAGAAAATTGATGGGTTTTGTTTTTTGCTGTGTCATTTTGAAGGAATGCACCAGAAACATGGCCTTAAGCATTCCATCAAGGTAAAAACTGACCTCTGGATCACTGACTGAGTGCAGTTTCAGACCGAAGCACTTTGAAATTATTCTTCTGAGGCTTAGATACCAGAAACACTGCATTCTAGTAGGAAAAGAATATTCCAGATTGTAATGAACTGTGATGTATATCGGGGGTTGATTATGAGGTCGATCCCAACCTCCACCCTCTGACTCTCATCGGGAAAGCACTGGGAGGGAAGCACAGCTCAGGTTCATCCTACAGGGAGCAAACCAGGAAGTTAGTTACTTGGTTACTTAGTTTAACAAAGTAGATATTCAAGTATTCAGTGAAAGATTTAAAAATATTCATGTGAATTCTTATGCATTTCTGACCAGCACTTTCTGTTTTTCTGTTTTTTTCTAAGAAAGTCCTTTTTAACTTCAATGGAATGTTATATGAACATTTTGAATAAAATGTTTTTGGAATAAAAACTTTTACTTTCAATTATTTTGATAATAGAAAGATCATATAAGGACCAAATTCCAGTTTTAACTCTCAGAAAATAATGAGTCTATTGTCTTAAGTATCTGTAGGAAAAGTCAGTTTTTCACTTATCCTTGTAAGCCCTGAATATTAATGCTTTATAACTCATAGGAATGATGTGTAAGAGAAAATTCTCTCACAGTGCCAATTACTGATGTTGTTTACTTTATGTTGTTGTTCAAAAACAGTCAGGTCCAACTCTTTACGATCCCATGGCCTGCAGCACGCCAGGCCTTCCTGGCCTTCACTATGTCCTGGAGTTAGCTCAGACTCATGTCTGTTGAGTTGATGATGACATCCAACTGTCTCATCCTCTGTTACCCCCTTTTCTTCCTGCCCTCAATCTTTTCCAGCATCAGAGTCTTTTCCAACAAGTTGGCTCTTTGCATCAGGTAGTCAAAGTATCGGAGCTTTAGCTTTAGTATCAGTTCTTCCAATGAATATTCAGGATTGATTTCCTTTAGGATTGACTGGTTTGATCTCGCAGTCCAAGAGACTCTCAATAGTTTTCTCCAGCTCCATGGTTCAAAAGCATCAATTCTTTGGTGCTCAGCCTTCTTTATGGTCCAACTCTCATATCCATACATGACTACAGGAAAAACCATAGCTTTCACTATACAGATCTTTGTTGGCAAAGTGAAAAACCATGGAATTCTAATGGTACTACTCTAAATAATTTAGCTTACACAGAGCATTCATCGATTCTTATTCCTCAGGCACCCATAATCTTTTGTGACTTTATTCTGAACTTTTCTGATTGGTTAGTGAATCCTTAATTTCCAGAAAGTAGCTGTGCATTCTGAGAAATCATTTGGGGTGACTTCCAGTCTCTATGGGGCTTCCCAGGTGGCACTAGTGGTAAAGAACCCTCCAGCCAATACAGGAGACATAAGAGACATGAGTTCGATCCCTGGGTTGGGAAGATCCCCTGGAGAAGGGCATCTTCTCAGTATTCTTGCCTAGAGAACTCCTGGAGAGAGAAACCTGGTGGGCTGTAGTCCATAGGGTTGCAAAGAGTTGGACACGACTGAAGCGGCTTAGCACAGCACAGCCAGCCTCTGTAGCACTGTTGCAGTTGGGATGGAGGTGGTGTGAGATGTACATCCACTGCTCCCAGTCAGCAGAAAAAACCCAGCCCAAGGGTATGAACTTTATATTTTAATTTTTCTGTACCTGATAGGAAGTAAGTGTAACCTACTGTTGATTTGTACTCTTGGAAGTACTAACTTAAGAAGATCAATATTTGTGTTATGTGCTTTATTTTTGTGGTGATACAGTGTGGGGTTCTGTTTGTGTGTGTATCTGTTTTGTCTTGTTTTTTCCTGTAGTTTTGCAGCTTCTGGCCAAAATTGTCAACCTAAAAAAGAATTAAGGTATTAAAAAACTTAACAGAAGGTGTCTTAATTTATATTTTCCCACCATAAAAATATCTTCTGTTGCCACATCAAGTATCAAGAAACACAGAAATTGGGACTTGACTAAATACTATTAAATTGCAAAGTCCAAGAGACTCTCAATAGTTTTCTCCAGCTCCATGGTTCAAAAGCATCAATTCTTTGGTGCTCAGCCTTCTTTATGGTCCAACTCTCATATCCATACATGACTACAGGAAAAACCATAGCTTTCACTATACAGATCTTTGTTGGCAAAGTGAAAAACCATGGAATTCTAATGGTACTACTCTAAATAATTTAGCTTACACAGAGCATTCATCGATTCTTATTCCTCAGGCACCCATAATCTTTTGTGACTTTATTCTGAACTTTTCTGATTGGTTAGTGAATCCTTAATTTCCAGAAAGTAGCTGTGCATTCTGAGAAATCATTTGGGGTGACTTCCAGTCTCTATGGGGCTTCCCAGGTGGCACTAGTGGTAAAGAACCCTCCAGCCAATACAGGAGACATAAGAGACATGAGTTCGATCCCTGGGTTGGGAAGATCCCCTGGAGAAGGGCATCTTCTCAGTATTCTTGCCTAGAGAACTCCTGGAGAGAGAAACCTGGTGGGCTGTAGTCCATAGGGTTGCAAAGAGTTGGACACGACTGAAGCGGCTTAGCACAGCACAGCCAGCCTCTGTAGCACTGTTGCAGTTGGGATGGAGGTGGTGTGAGATGTACATCCACTGCTCCCAGTCAGCAGAAAAAACCCAGCCCAAGGGTATGAACTTTATATTTTAATTTTTCTGTACCTGATAGGAAGTAAGTGTAACCTACTGTTGATTTGTACTCTTGGAAGTACTAACTTAAGAAGATCAATATTTGTGTTATGTGCTTTATTTTTGTGGTGATACAGTGTGGGGTTCTGTTTGTGTGTGTATCTGTTTTGTCTTGTTTTTTCCTGTAGTTTTGCAGCTTCTGGCCAAAATTGTCAACCTAAAAAAGAATTAAGGTATTAAAAAACTTAACAGAAGGTGTCTTAATTTATATTTTCCCACCATAAAAATATCTTCTGTTGCCACATCAAGTATCAAGAAACACAGAAATTGGGACTTGACTAAATACTATTAAATTGCACTTCTACCAAATACCATGAAAAAGAATTGTGACCTCTGCTCTCAGTGTTGCTAGTTGATGAGGGGAAGTACAGTTCATCTACTGATCTTATGTTGCAAACCTCTCATCTGTAAAATAGACTCATGATAGTATCTTCTTCCAAGTGTTATGAAGATTAAATAGGTTGTATTAAGCTCTCAGAGCAGTACTTCGTGTATAAAAAGTTTAATGAATAATGGTGTTGTTGCTGAGATGATTTCCCACATCTTCATGAAGCAGTTACTTGGATGCTTCTGTCTTTTTTAATACTATTTCATAGACATATAGGTTCAGTCTTAAACTATTCAGATTCCTTTCTTAAGTATAGACAGATCAACGAAACAAGATGGAATGTCCAGGCATATCTACCTACGTATATATCTGACTGTTTCTCTGCCTTTCTCTCTTCAAATAAAGTTGGAATCCTCAGTCAATAGGATGAGGAGTGCTGAGACTGTATAAGCTGGTTGGTTTGAGATCCATGAGGAAGGCCAGTGTGGCTGGAGTGAGTAGGTGATGGTAGGTGAGTAGAATGTATAGGATGGGTAGAGAGAGGCCACTTTTTGGAGGGAAGTACGGTAAAGAGTTGGAGAAGGAAATGGCAACCCACTCCAATATGCTTGCCTGGAGAACCCCACGGAGCCTGGAGTGTGCTACAGTTCATAGGATCGCAAAGAGTTGGACACAACTTGGCAACTGAACAACAACAACAATGGTTAAGAGTATGGATTTTATTCCTGTTGTTTTGGAAAGTTTGGACAGTTTTCATGTGGGGGATGATATGCTATTGTGTGGAGATATGGGGGAGGCTGGAAATGGGGAGTAGTAATCCAGGGGAGAGACAGTGGATTAAGATACTGAAGTTATAGCAGTGAAAATGGCTTATCATTTATTTGTGGGGAGAGTTGACAGGTCTTGTTGATGGTTTGAGTATGGAGAGTGAGAAAAGGGGAGAAATTGATGATTATTTCTGTGTTTTGGGCCTCAATGCTGGATAAATAATGGTGCCACTTACTGAGGTGAAGACATAAAAGATCAAGCTTTGAGAGAAAGAATCAAAAGAGTTCTGTCTTGGACTCATGGAGATGGAGAACAGACTTGCGGTTGCCCAGGGGCAATGGGTTGGGGGAGGGGAGGGGTGGGAGGTTGGAGTTAGCAGATATAAGCTATTATATATAAAGTGGATTGGGCTTCCCTGGTGGCTTAGAGGTGAAGCATCTGCCTGCAGTGCGGGAGACCCAGGTTTAATCCCTGGGTTGGGAAGATCCCCTGGAGAAGGAAATGGCAACCCACTCCAGTACTTTTGCCTGGAAAATTCCATGGACTGAGGAGCCTGGTGGGCTACAGTCCATGGGGTCGCAGAGTCGGACACGACTGAGCAACTTCACTTTCACAAAGTGGATTAGCAACAAGGTCCTACTGTTGCAGCACAGGGAACTATATTCAATATCTTACGACAAACCATAATGGGAGAGAATATGAAAAAAGAACAACATATATGTATGTATCAGAGTCACTTTGCTTTTAGTGGAAATTAGCATGACATCGTGGATCAGCTATGCTTCACTTAAAATAAAAGTTCTGTCTTGGACATGTTTTGCCCAAGATGGCAATTAAGTAGTCAAGTGGACATATCATATGGGAAATTGGAAATGTAAGTCAGCAGGTCAGAAGGAAAGTCAGAGTAGGTCATATAAATTCATAGTCTTTAGAGCAAGATGGCACTTAAAGCAATAGCACTGGATAAGATTGCTTAAGGAGAACAAGTAGGTTAAACTAATAGAGAATAAGGCTTTCAACTTCTGGAGACTGGCCTGAGGAAGAACCAGGAAAGACGTCTGGAAAAATGGCCATGAGGAGGCAGGAACACTGCCTAAAGAAGAAATCTTAGAGTAGTTTCTAATATGACAATGTAAAACGCACTTTTTAGAAATGGAAACTCAATGTAGAGAATTTTAAATTCATAATTTGTATAAAGAGGACACAAAACTTATGCATATACGTGTGTGTGTGTGTATATTCTGAACTCTCAACATTGAGCAGTTTTCTGGTAGATGTTGTAGAGATTTAGTTAAATTGTAGCACCAGTGGTGAATATGATATTTCAAACCAGCTCTATTAACCATTGTACACAGAAGAGACAAAAACAAATTTAGGTAGGCAGTGCTAATGTAGAGCTACCAACTTGTAAATGATAGAACAGTATAGATAGATTCCAGAGTACTTGGCCTATTATCAAGTAACTTAACATCTTAACTCTGTGCTGAGTTTTCAGGTCAAATCTATTAGGAACTCTTATTTTTCCCCTTTGTAATGCAATATAATGGTAAAACATTCCCCCCTCAGGGGGGAATAGCTCTGTAGCCAACCAAGCTATATGAACTCTGTAAATCAAAGGATACATTCATTTGTGTAGCAAACAGCCGTTATTGGTATGTCATGTATAACAATTTGTTATATACATCATGAATTATATCCTAAAGTATCCTTATAGTTAATATACACATTGTAGCTAACAAAATTAACTGATTTTGTTGTGTAATGAAAAAATTCTCTTAAGAAAATTATTTCTTCTGGAGATACTCTGAGATTATTAGATAAATAATTGGTTGTTACAATTATACTTTGACTTATAAGAAGGATTTATTTTATTTCTGTGGAATGCATCACTATTGTAAAGGTATGTACATATATCAAAACATTCCTGTTTATTAGTTTGAAGTCTCTTTTGTTCTGTAAATTTTTTTCCTAACCACTTTAACTTATACTATCCATTCATTTATTAACTACCAGATCTTTTAATAGTCTTTCATTTAGTTATCCTGATAGAACACAAAATTGATTGTAGGAATTATGCAGTTAAGTTATAAATCCTTTGAAAACAAATGCAAAGCTTTACTCTTTTTCCTATAATCCAAACTACTTTCTAAAAATTACTATTAATTCATGATTTTTTTAAACCTTATATTGTAGAACTAGTTCCTGACACCCTTCCCGACTGTAATGTTTTTTAGCTGATGCTAACCATTTGAATTCGTGTGTAGATAAATGAAGCACGATGATGTTCCATTTTGTGGAACTGAGGTGATAAGATAAGACTTTCAGTTAGTCTTTTGCTCATAAAATAATTGTCATTTAAAACCAGTAAAATGTTTAAAATTTAAAATCGATGGGCATTTCCCATGGATTAAGATTTCAGATCTCAGCAAAGCAGTTTTGATTTCATTTTCCCCAGAAAAGGTTGTAGAATTATTGCATTTTCCACCTATATTTCTGTAGCACTTATGTCACCTTCTGCTCATATTTTTGGCTCCTACCACAGATATTGATTATTTCTGGAATGTGACTCTGAATGGAGTTACTTAAGGAAGGGAATCACTATGGATTGCAAAGCATCCTAATGTTTCTGTAAAGATTTCCATTTGAGTTTGGGTTTAGAGTGTGATTTCCTTTTACTATTTCTGACTCAGTTTAAGATGCTACCAGAATTATTTCAAGACGATGAGAAGGCCATCAGCCCAACCTCAGCCACCTCTTCAGGGCGCGTGCCTCTCACCCGCATTCCTTCAAAGCCCACCAAAGGCAGACCGGGCCAGACGGCCAAAGAGCACAAGAAAACAGTGGGGCACCAGGTGAGTTCCGGGAGCCGTCGCTGCCGTGCTGCTTCCCTTCTGACTCGACAGGGGCCTCAGGTCTTCCTTCGTCAGCCTCCCAGGTGGGGTCCTCAGGTGACAAGAGGCTGGAGCGCTCCCTGTGAGAATGTGGAACTCTGTCCCTTCATACTTCCATGCTTCTCATCTCATATCGTAGACCCACGACTGTAGAAGCTTTGCCCCAAATCATTTTTTCTACATTTTAATTCTTCTAGTGCACATTTTCCCTCACAAACCACTGCTGCCTTTGTTTTGGCCTCTGGCTGTTTCCTCTCTGGAGCTGTACAACTCCCGCAGCCCAGGAACCCTGCCCCTCACTTCTGGTGTCTTGTGCACCCAGGGGTGGCGGGGGGGAGGCACGGGAAACATGACAGACAAGCTTTGTGCCCGAGCAAGGGCTTGGGCCTTGGGCAGGAGACTGCGTGCTCGTCAGTTTGTTTTCCTGAGTAGACAAGAAGCAGGGCCTGACGCAGGCCCACAGCCCTCAGCCTCATGCCATGTCCCTAAAGGTAACCCCAGCCTGGCTGTACACTCTCAGATTCTCCCCCTCATTTCCTGTACCTTGTTGAAGCCATCTGCTACTTTTTTCAGTATTGTACAGCAAAATTCCCACTCTACATGATTAAATGACCTTAATATCCTTAAAGCAAGGTTGTATTCTTAGTCAAAGTTTTGAGTGTACAACAGAAATCCACAGAAATCTATATTAAAAGTGGGGGGGGAAATGTGTGTGGAAGAGTGAACGCTAATATAATAATAATGATGCTGTGTCCAAATAGGTTCATCAACTGTAACAAATGTACCACTGTGATGGGGAAGGTTGATAATGGGGAGGCCATGCCTGTGCCAGGGTAGATGGTATGTGGGAAGTTACTGTTTTCTGTCTGACTTTGCGGTAAACCTTAAACCACTCTAAGAAAATAAAGTCTATTTTAAAGGGTCTGAGGGAGAGGGGAAATTAAGAATGTCCCACAGAGCAGAGTAAGCATGTGAATGGTAGGGTTTAAGGAAATTTGAACCGAAAGCCCTAGCAGCTCCACTGCTGGGGGCCGGTCAGGTTCACAGGTGGCTAAGTCATCTCCACTAGTGCCATTAGAAGAAAAGTTTAGGTTGTTTTATGTCATCTTTGACTTTGACAAACCTTGATGCGCCTTTCTGCTCTTTTTCATGCAGTTCCGAAACTCCCTCCACCTGCTTATGGAGACCCTGAATGCCACTACCCCTCACTATGTGCGCTGTATCAAGCCTAACGACTTCAAGTTCCCATTCACGTAAGTATTTCTCAACTGCTGAATTTAAAAGGATCCATATCTCATAAGGATTGTCAAACGAGCAGCTGGGAAAAAAAATACGTGGGTGAATCTTCATCCCTTGTAGAAGGAAATGACTAGTTAATAGAATTTTTTTCAGTTTTTGTTCTCTTTTAAGAGTTTGAAAACAGGGACTTCCCTGGTGATCCAGTAGCCAAGACTTCACGCTCCCACTTGTTGGGGCCTGGATTCAGTTCTTGGTCAGGGAACTAAGATCCACAGGCCATGCAGTGTAGACCGGAAAAAAAAAAAATGTGAAAACAAATTAGCAGCTGGCCTTCTGACAATTTTAAACATTTGAGGTCAACCACATATTTCTAGTTCTACTTTCTATTTTGAATTTACTTCAGTTTAAGACCTTTTTGGTTAATTTGAGCTTCAGTTAAAACCAGAGCTGGGTGAGATAAGATTGCTTTAGCAAAGGCTCACAATCATCCCTGATGCTTTTCAACTGTTGAAAGCATCAGAGGAGTCTGCTTTTTACCACGTATCTTGTCCTCCATCGATATCATATGTGAGAGGAAGTTTTTTCAAAACAGAAACATTTCTCTAATTTTGAAGGTAATGCATGCACACTGTAAAAACAATTTTCAGGAAATATAGAATAGTATAAAAGTAAATGAAAAAGCATTTCATTATACCTAGAGAGGTAATAAGTATTAACTGGCATAGATCCTTCTTCATCAGTCCTTCCCTGCTCTGTGTGTGTATCTGTGAGAAAGAGAGAGATGTTAATAAAAGAGAAGGAATCATGCTGTAATTGCAGTTTTACTTCATTTTCAACTTAATAAATTGTGACTGTTTTCCATGTTCATAAATACAAGTTGTTATCACCATTTTAATGGCTACATCATATCCCATTTTAGAGATATACCGTCACTCATTTAAGTTATTCCCTGTTGATGGCCATTCGGGTTATTCCTTGGCTATGATTAACATCTTTTGCCAAACATTTCTGTATATTTGCCTGCCCGAATATCTCCTTAGACTGCAAAAGGATCCATATCTCATAAGGATTGTCAAACGAGCAGCTGGGAAAAAAAATACGTGGGTGAATCTTCATCCCTTGTAGAAGGAAATGACTAGTTAATAGAATTTTTTTCAGTTTTTGTTCTCTTTTAAGAGTTTGAAAACAGGGACTTCCCTGGTGATCCAGTAGCCAAGACTTCACGCTCCCACTTGTTGGGGCCTGGATTCAGTTCTTGGTCAGGGAACTAAGATCCACAGGCCATGCAGTGTAGACCGGAAAAAAAAAAAATGTGAAAACAAATTAGCAGCTGGCCTTCTGACAATTTTAAACATTTGAGGTCAACCACATATTTCTAGTTCTACTTTCTATTTTGAATTTACTTCAGTTTAAGACCTTTTTGGTTAATTTGAGCTTCAGTTAAAACCAGAGCTGGGTGAGATAAGATTGCTTTAGCAAAGGCTCACAATCATCCCTGATGCTTTTCAACTGTTGAAAGCATCAGAGGAGTCTGCTTTTTACCACGTATCTTGTCCTCCATCGATATCATATGTGAGAGGAAGTTTTTTCAAAACAGAAACATTTCTCTAATTTTGAAGGTAATGCATGCACACTGTAAAAACAATTTTCAGGAAATATAGAATAGTATAAAAGTAAATGAAAAAGCATTTCATTATACCTAGAGAGGTAATAAGTATTAACTGGCATAGATCCTTCTTCATCAGTCCTTCCCTGCTCTGTGTGTGTATCTGTGAGAAAGAGAGAGATGTTAATAAAAGAGAAGGAATCATGCTGTAATTGCAGTTTTACTTCATTTTCAACTTAATAAATTGTGACTGTTTTCCATGTTCATAAATACAAGTTGTTATCACCATTTTAATGGCTACATCATATCCCATTTTAGAGATATACCGTCACTCATTTAAGTTATTCCCTGTTGATGGCCATTCGGGTTATTCCTTGGCTATGATTAACATCTTTTGCCAAACATTTCTGTATATTTGCCTGCCCGAATATCTCCTTAGACTGCTGTATTGCTTGAACAGGAATTTGTGGGTCAAAGATTAGGCACCTTCCCAAACACTGTAAAAACTCCCACTCTGCAGCGTGTGTGTGCTCCTTCACCTATGCCCCTGCCACTCCTGCCCGCTGGAGATGCTGCCTTAGACTGCAGAGCACTTCTCAAAGACTGTTGTATTCTTCTCATTCCCAAGAAGCCTTTCTGGAGGAGCTGAGAAGCAGAAAGAAGCTTTCATGCCCTGGACAACTCTCCTGGACAGCTCCAGGACCAGTTACCTTGCATCAACCAACCCCATCTCCCATCACCAACAAAACACTAAGAAGATAGCACCACAGAAGCCTCAGATAGGTCATTCAGGGCATAACTAGGGAGCAAGGGGAGTGATCATCCTGTAAGAAGCAGGCCTTGCTATTTCCTTTTTTAGTGTCAATTTGACATTAAGGTGCTGTTTATCTAGAGTGAACTGCAGGTAAGATATAAAATATTTTTCACTGACATGGACACTGTTAATGATTAGTATGTATACACTGAGTTAAATGGCTTTTAGAACACCAGTAATTAACAACAACAACAACAAAAAACCGACTGGGGCACATTTAATTTGTTCTTCTTGTTAAAGAATTCTCCAGAGCTGGCCAGTCTTTATTCTGGGGTAGCTCTGTCTGGTGAACTAAGGAATTATGAGACCAACTAGTCAGGCCAAGGCACGTAATGAGCATCGCACAGTACAGAGGAGCTTGGGCTTTTTAAATAAGCTCAGTGGTATTTCTTATGAGTTTTTGGTGTATGTTCTTACTGCTAGTGATCTTCCCCACTCTCAAAATGGAGTTTTCAATTTTGAATCAGTACTCCAACATTTGAATTTTTTTTTCTAATTTATTCATTTGGCTCTTTACAAAAAAATTCAGTCTCTAGATTGAGGACAGTAGTTTGTGGCTACAACCAGATTTTTTTGTGTACTAATGATTTCTACCTTTATTCATAGGTTTGATGAGAAGAGGGCAGTGCAGCAGCTGAGAGCATGCGGTGTCCTGGAAACCATTCGGATCAGCGCAGCAGGTTTCCCCTCTCGGTGGGCCTGGCAGTTTTCAAATACAAGGGATCCTCACGGGGGAGGTTCCTGCTCCTTTAGATAAGCTGACATGAGTTTCTTTTCATAGGTGGACTTACCAAGAATTTTTCAGCCGCTATCGGGTCCTAATGAAGCAAAAAGATGTGCTAAGTGACAGAAAGCAAACATGCAAGAATGTTTTAGAGAAACTGATAGTGGTAAGAAAGATTTTCACTCACCTGTATCTGAACAGATGTTTGCCAACGGCCTTGTGATTTTAACCTGTACAAGTCCTAGGGGTGTCCAAATACCACTAATTCAATGAATTCAGGAGTGGGAGGGTGGAGAGGCACACTGTCTTGGAGTTCAAGGCTCCCTGTCTCTACAATGGAAGGACTAGTGAGGACAATAGCCCAGTATCAAGAAACAGGATGGTGAGGCCTGAACCCAGACTTCAGAAGCATTCTTTTTAGAACTGGATCATTTTCAATAAAAATTTACCAAGTACTTACTTATGAAAGACACCAGGCCAAATGCTGTGTGATTAAGAAAAAATAAGTCTTAGCCTCAGGTAATATAGTATGTCTTCGAAATCAATGCATTTTAAAGACAAGTATAATATACCTTAGTGTCTATGAAATGCTAAGTGAATGAGACAAGAAATCAGAGGAAGACAAAGCCACTTCTGCTGTAGGAAGGAGGAACAATTCATGGGAGACATGTATTTTGAGTCAGGCCCTGAAAAATGGGTAAAACTGTATAAAACCGGAAGGAGACTATCCTAATAGGGTGCAAAGCACATGGAAGCAGGAAAGCATAGTTTTCTCAAAAAAGAGTACAGTAGGATTTTTGTTTTTGCATAAAAATTTGGTGCCTGGGGAGTAAGGAATTCGTTAGGAAATGGGGGTTGGTGTTTGAAGGGTCTTGCCTACCAAGCTAAGGCATTCGCAGACTTTAGAATGCATCAGAGTCACCTACAGGACTTGTTACACTACAGATTGCCAGACCCCACCTCCAGAATTTCTGATTTGGTCGTCTGGGATGCGCCCAATAATTTGCATTTCTATCAAGTTCCCAGTGATGCTGATGCTGGTTTGAGGACTACACTTGGATAGCCACTGATATATGTTGTGGAGAATTTAAGATTCATGAAATGTCTTTTAAAGAATATTATATTTTCACTTATTTGACATTAGGTTGGATGAATTAACTCACTTTGAAGTAATTAGTAATAATTACTAGCTACTAATTAGATGTAATATCTCTTCTCTGGTAATAATTTTTTTTTTCCTTGAAATAGCTTAGGCCACTTTCCTGGTGATGTATAAAAGAATTGGGTCCATTTTGAATTGGCCCAAGTCCTTTCTAGGCAATGAAGAGCAGAAAGTAGGGAGAGTCATCCACACCAGCTTCCTCCCCCAGACCTCTCCCAGCTGAGCTTGGGGACCACAGGGCAGAGGATTGCAGACTTGGGGATCAGGGAGACGGGGAGCTGAGATGAGATGGGGCTGGGAGAGGGAACTACTTACTAGCTTTTCCAGCTAGCTTCCTTTGTAACATTTATTGATTTAAACTAAAATATTTTTAGATGTATGTGATTTCCTATTTTCTCTTTTCATGTACAAGATAGAAAATATTAGCTTACAGTGAAAAGTTATTTTCTCTGTTTTCACTTCGAACTTCAGATCACAATTTTGATTGTTGCAAATAAACTCTACTCTTTCGATGTGAGATGCTTAATTAATCACATGCTTTTAGATACGTTGGGTCAGAATGTAATAGACCAAAAATAGCACGCCTATCTATCTGTGTTTACTGCTCAACTTTGCTTATAATCAGAAGTCAGTGAGCATAATAAATGATTATATTTTTGAAATTTGCAGACGGACTTACTATTGATTAAAACAAGAGATAACTGTTGAGAAACTTAACTCTTAACATGAATATGCAGCATTTTTATCTTTTTGTTTTTATTTTGTATGTATTACTTCCTGCCTTTTTCTTCACACTGGTGTTTTTGTCCCTTCAGCTTTCTCATGGAACTCACAGCCCGATGTAATCCTTACAGTCCGGGTCAGTCAGAGGGAGTGTCAGCATCTCCATTTCCTTGAGATACTTAAAATACAAACAAGCAAATAGTAGCTGCCTATAACCCACAACCAAGTTTTGGGCCTCAGATAATAATTCCAGGTAGACTAATTATGGAAAATAACTCTTAAACTGCAGTTTTCCTTAAAGTCCCTTCTATTCGCTCAACTTGCCTAGGATCAAAAAGCTGGCTCCATTAGATACTTGCGATGTAGCCCAAGTTTTAGCTAATAGTTTCATCCCTTTACTGATTCTGCTTTTAGACATATTTTTTTCTCTTTAAAATTCTCTTATTTGGTCATCATTTCTACTTCTGAGTATATAGTTTCTTCCAAATACAGGACAAGGACAAATACCAGTTTGGGAAGACAAAGATCTTTTTCCGGGCTGGTCAAGTGGCCTATCTAGAAAAATTGAGGGCAGACAAGCTGAGGGCTGCCTGCATCCGGATCCAGAAGACGATCCGAGGGTGGCTGCTGCGGAAGAAGTACCTGCGCATGCGCAAGGCTGCCATCACTGTGCAGAGATACGTGCGAGGCTACCAGGCCCGATGGTAGGTGTCCTGTTGGCGTGTACACGCTGGCTTAGGGAAAGCCAAGATTGAAGAGTGCATCTGATTTATTGTCTAAGCTAGGATAGTTTGGTGTGGGGTGGTCACCCTACCACTCAAGGCAGTTCAGTTCAGTCACTCAGTCGTGTCTGACTCTTTCCAACCCCATGGACTGCAGCACACCAGGCCTNAAGCGACTTTCTCTTTCGCTTTTAATGGACTTGAAGAAATCATCTGTAAATTAGGGCAATCATGAATATAACCTGTTAAGAATGATTCCATTGAGGTGTTTTTAGGAGCAATAAGCTGAGAACTGTAGAAAAGAATTAACTTACATGTGATTACATATTAGGATAATTTTAATTTAGAGCTATCAGAAGACATGAATCAATGATAAAGAACTTATGCCCAAGTAAATAGATTGAGGGAAAACATCATGCATTAGCAATGGATAGAGCTCAGGAAGCTGGGGCTAAGTAGGTATGGTATTATTGTGTGAATTGGTCTGCTGTGTAAGGGGGACATAACCTGGGGTAATGAGCACAGTCCTAAGAGGAATGAACCTTTATGACCTTTAGCTTCTTGTAAAATCAAGTAATATGGGATTTTAGGGTTAGGTAAGGCTCATTTGAGATAACAGATGGACAGATACTTGGGGATCATAAAATAACTACAAATATAAGAAATATAAATGTTGATTTAACATGTATGTTATTAGAATAATCAATGAAAGTACTACTTATTATGCCAAGATATTGGTGCTTTCATCCTCTACAAAATGTGTTCCTGGGTTTTTCTGACTACTGACAACTCGCCACTCTTTCTCTACCAGCTATGCTAAGTTCCTGCGCAGAACCAAGGCCGCCACTATCATCCAGAAGTACTGGCGCATGTATGTAGCTCGCCGGAGATACAAGATCACGCGGACTGCCACGATTGTCCTTCAGTCTTATTTGCGAGGCTACTTGGCCAGAAATAGGTATCACAAGGTGAGGCATTGTTTTCAACTTTTTTATTCATCCCATTAACATTAATCAAATTCCACGTCTGTACAAAGTGCCACGGGTCCTCCTATGAATGTAGGACTTGTATGGAGACAAGGAAGATCCCCTGGAGAAGGGATAGGCTACCCACTCCAATACTCTTGGGCTTCTCTTGTGGCTCAGCTGGTAAAGAATTAACCTGCAATGCGGGAGACCTGGGTTTGATTCCTGAAGAAGGGAAAGACTACCCACTCCAGTATTCTGGCCTGGAGAATTCCATGGACTATATAGTCCATGGGCTCACAAAGAGTCAGACATGACTGAGCGCCTTTCACTTTCCTTTTCAACCAACAATTGAAATACATTTTTAAATATTAAATAATAAGTACATATTTATTTATTTATTAACATGACTTGGAAAAAGAAAGCTTACCTTTTTATTCCCTTTGTGTATGTAATTTGGGAGGGGGAAAAGTGACATTTTAGTTTCCTGTGGCTGCTGCAATACATTACCACCAACTTGGTAGCTGGAAACAAGAGAAATTTCTCATTGAACTTTCTCACAGTTCTAGAGGCAAGAACTGAGAAAACAAGATGTCAGCAGAGCTACACTCCCTCCAGAAGCTATGGGGAGGGGACCCATTCCTTGCCTCTTCTAGTGCTGGAGGCCACCAGGATTCCTTATACTTTTGTGCCCATATCACTCCAAGCCCTGTCTCCATCTTCATTCACATCTTCTCTCTGTGTCTAACTTTACTTCCTTTTGTCTGTCTCTTGTGAGAACACTTATGATGGATTTGGGCTCCACCTAGATAATCCAGGATAATCTCTCCATCTCAAGATCCTTAACGTAATTATACCTTCAAAGACCCTTTCCCCAAATAAAGTAACATTTGCAGATTCATGGAGGAATCTAGGGGTCTTTATTCAGCTAATTATGGTGAGCTTTGAATAGGTAAAGTATATGACAAATGAACAGATGATTAAGAATGAAACAAATTTGGAAGAACTTACCATGATAAAGTGAAACCAAATGCAATATCAATGTAGTTTAAGTTGTATTAACTGGAGTATGGTGCTATAGAAATATTTGACAAGTAATATCATAAAGCATTAATTTATGTCTAGCACTAATCATTATGACTAGAGATAGTGGATCACCTGATTAGTCTTACCTAATCATCACCTCTAACAATATATGGTCTGGTCGATAAACATTTTTTCTCTTTATTTCAGCAAGGTTTTGAGTCTGTTCTTTAGGTTCATCCACCTTATTAGAACTGACTGAAATGTGTTCCTTTTCATGGCTGAGTAGTATTCCATTGTATGTATGTGCCACAGCTTCTTTATCCATTCATCTGTTGATGGACGTATATATAGGTTGCTTCCATGTTCTAGCTGTTGTAAATAGTGCTGCAGTGAACATTGGGGTACATGTGTCTTTTTCAACTTTGGTTTCCTCACGGTATATGCCTAGTAGTGGGATTGCTGGGGCATATGGTGGTTTTATTCCTAGTTTTTTAAGGAATCTCCATACCATCTTCCATTGTGACTGTATCAGTTTACATTCCCACCAGAAGTGCAAGAGGGTTCCCTTTTCTCTCCACATTCTCCAGCACCCTCTCCAGAATTTATAGTTTGTAGACTTTTTAATGATGACCATTCTAACCTGTGTGAGGTAATATCTCATTGTAGTTTTGATTTGCATTTCTCTAATAATGAGCGATGTTGAATATCTTTTCATGTGTTTGTTAGCCATCTGTGTGTCTTCTTTGAAGAAATGTCTGTTTAGATCTTTTTCCTGCTTTTTGATTGGGGTGTTTGTTTTTCTGGTATTGACTTATGTGAGCTACTTGTATATTTTTTAAATTAACCCTTTGTTAGTTGTCATTTCCTATTATTTTTTTTTCCCATTCTGAGGGTTGTTTTTTCTTCTTGCTTATAGTTTCCTTTGCTGTGCAAGAGCTTTTAAGTTTAATTAGGCCCCACTTGTTTATTTTTGTTTTTATCTCTATTACTCTAGGAGATGGGTCATAGAGGATCTTGCTGTGATTTATGTCATGGAGTGTTCTATGTTTTCCTCTAACAGTCTTATAGTTTCTGGTCTTACCTTTAGGTATTTAATCCATTTTGATTTTATCTTGGTGTATGGTGTTAGGAAGTGTTCTAGTTTCATTCTTTCACTCATAGCTGTCCAGTTTTCCCAGCACCACTTATTGAAGATGCTATCTTTGCCCCATTGTATATTCTTGCCTCCTTTGTCAAAATTAAGGTACCCGTAGGTATGTGGGTTTATCTCTGGGCTTCCTATCTTGTTCCATTGATCTATATTTCTGTTTTTGTGCCAGTACCATGCTGTCTTGATAACTGTAGCTTTGTAGTTTAGTCTGGAGCCTGTTCTTTAGAACATATTCCTAATAAGCCAGAAATACCCTGATGCTGGGAAAGATTGAGGGCGGGAGGAGAAGGGGATGACAGAGGATAGGATAGTTGGATGGCATCACAGACTCAATGGACATGAGTTTGAGTAAACTCCAGGAGTTGGTGATGGACAGGGAGGCCTGCTGTGCTGCAGTCCATGGGCTCACAAAGAGTCAGACACAACTGAGCGACTGAACTGAACTGAACAGTCTAGATCTTGGAGCCCTTTGGGCACTGTTAGAAGGAGAGTCAGTTGAGTGATATAGGACATTTCTCTAATCATAGGCAGTATGTGGGCATACTGGACCCTGGACCCTATTCATGTGTTTATTTTACTTTCTTAATTTAAATTAATTTTAGACAACAAAGAAAAATGGAAAGCTAATGAGGGTTGAATGAGCATATTTAAATAGCTGTGCTTTGAAGAAAATTTGAAGACAGTTTCTCCAGGTCTTTCTGCCCATTCCTGCTTTATGGTTAAGTGTTCCTTCTTTTCAAGCATGAGCTTTCAAGGGAATGTAAAGCCTTATTAAACTTGACCCTATTAGATATGCCAAACCGGTTACTCTCCTGTTTTCCTCAGTACTCTCTTTGGGAACATCTAAACTGGGATTTGAGGCTATTGGTTAGCAGTTGAAGTCTCTAGCCAGCTTAGCTCCCACTGTGACTGGACCTAGTGAGGGTACCAGCTTAGACTAGTTCATGTATAGGCCAGTGATAGCTGTGATTCCAATCTCAGCCTCCCCTTCTCCAGCTTTGGGAGGCCCTAAAGTGGAAGCAAGTGTTACTTAATGTCTCTGACTCATCAATGGAATTGAGATTGAGAATGGAAGTTCTAATTATATACTGTTTCCATTTGGCTGAAATTACAGAAATGGACCAATGTCTGAAGTTACATGGGGGAGAAGGAAATTGAATAGGAACATTGGCATTAATAGCTTTGCCACTATGTGCTGCTTGAGTTTTTTTTTTTTAATTCTGAAAGCCTTCAGTTTGCCATCACTGAGTTTTACCCAGTTTGTCACTAGTCATCCAGATAGACAGGGGTTTCCCTCAGGATTCTGATGTTGAGTGAGATCACAGGATGCCCTGCCCCACTGTAGCATGATGCATGGTGACTGCACTTAGTGGGAACTGAAGGCTGCCTTGGCATTAGGAAAACAGCCCAAAGGGGTAGTCTTGAGTTAGCTGAAGACACTATATAGATCTCTGAAACACCTATGTTTATTTTGTTGTTGTTTAGTTGCTAAGTCATGTCTGACCCCTTTTGGGACCCCATGGACTGTAGCCTGCAAGGCTCTTCTGTCCAGGGGAATTTTCAGACAATAATATTGGAATGGGTTGCCATTTCCTTCACCAAAGGATCTTCCTGACACGAGGATCGAACCCACATCTCCTGCTTAGCAGGCTGATTCTTTACCACGGAGCCACCAGGGAAACCCATGTTTATTTTATATTTGATGACTTTAAATGCAACCACTTATTTCTTTCATATCATCTGGGATGGCATATGATTTCATTATTTTTCTCAGCTACATAACCTAAAAATAAGAATTGTTTTTTCAATGATCTTACCAAATTGCTACTATCTGAATAGATGGTTTCAGAGATTTTTTTATATTTNTTTCCCCATCTATTTGCCATTTTATCAAATCATAGTTTTGAAAGGACCTCAAAGTCTTGCTAGTTCAACCCTTCCTAAAATTTAAGAATTTCCCTATCATTCCTGAAAATTGTTTGCACAATCGCTGCTTGATGGTCATTAGTGACAAGAGATTTATCTCATAAGGATGAATGAGTGTTTATAAGTTTAGGGGAATATCTTTTTTTAAGAAAACACAATATAAAATTAAGATTTGTTTACTTTATCTTTCTTTTAGCTTTCCTTTTAAAGTTCTGTTCCTATTACCTTTGAACCCCATGAGTGGATTTGTGCTACATTTGTAAAACAATTGGAAATCCTCACTAGAGTGGTATTCCTCAAAAATGGCAAATGAGAGAATCATTTTTTTGTTTCTGGGGAAAAAAAAATCAATAAATTAATAATAAACTTTGCAGTACCCCCAAGTGTTGGCTTCTATAGCCTGCTTACCAAACATACCCTATGTCCTCAAGCAGAGACCTAATGCACAGTGACATGAAACCAGCAGTAAGGGTAGTAGATAAATCTATTTTACTAGCACATAATTCACAGGGTATCATGTTCTGTTTAGTGTCTGAAGGATAACTGGTTGCTTTTAGAAATCATGTAGTCATAAGAAACCTAATGCATTTTTCTTTCTTTTTAGATTAGTTTTCTATTTAATAATCTAGTGTGTTTAATTTTGATAGCTCTTATGTGTATACTCTGTTTATCATCATACATAGACATGTAATCCCACATATGACATGTAGATATAATACATGTTTTACATATGTTTCTCAAATTGCCTTTTAAAGATTACATTTCAATCATCTTTTAAAATAATTTGTGCCTCCATTTATTTGTGATAAGTACACTCGTGTAATACATTGTTACTTCAGCTTTTCTAATGTCTTTCCCTTTAGTTAATGTGTGGTTCTCAGCCTGCATCCATAGGGTGATAGACTTGAACATTGAGTGTAATCCAGGGTCTGACATTATTTGCACCTACCCTTCTCTCCAGATACTCCGTGAGCACAAAGCAGTCATCATTCAGAAGTGGGTCCGTGGCTGGCTGGCTCGCACCTACTACAGGAGGAGCATTCACGCCATCATCTACCTTCAGTGCTGCTTCCGCCGGATGATGGCCAAGCGCGAGCTGAAGAAACTTAAGATCGAGGCGCGCTCCGTGGAGCGCTATAAGAAGCTCCACATCGGCATGGAGAACAAGATCATGCAGCTGCAGCGCAAAGTTGATGAGCAGGTGTGTTTTGAACAGCAGCCCTAAAAGTGCAGCATGCCCAATGAAATACACTGGAATTATCTTCAGCATTGTCTCCTCTTGACTTTACCTCTCAGTCTCAGCAAAAAATAGTAAGACAGTAGTGACATTAATGAGCATGGAAATCATGACAAGCTCATAGGTAAGATTATAACTACAAGAACCAAGGCAGGAAATTGTTTTTGAGAACACAGACAGGTTTGCTAGTAATCCAAAAGGTTAGGACTGAGAGTCATATTGTACTTTATATTTTACACAGCTCTTTTATCATTATCATTCAGTTGTGTGTAGTATATTGTTCCTTTTGTAGATGAGTTGTTTAGCACTGAGATGGCCAAAGAAGCAGGAAGATGTCCATGCTTCTGAGGAATCTGCAGTCTATTTGCAGAGATAACAGTTGATTTCTTACAGATAGTTATTACCAAGTAATATTTTAGCACCTGCAAATTATATATGTAGTTAGTGACATATAAATACTAATGATGACAGAGAAAAACATAAAAAAGAATGAAATAAAATTCATCAGAAAGGTTTTCTGAATGGGAGGTGTTTCCAGATGTTAAACAAAGAGATTTGTAAGACATGATTTTGAGGCCATTTTATCATTCCTATACGTCACTAACCAGCATATGGCTTTTAGTAGCACACTGATTTGTTTTTATAAACAAATCTAGATTTTCCTATTCCTGGATTGAGAAGCAGGGAAGAGAATTTAGTATGGTAACTCTCCTTGTGACTATGAGAGAATCACATCTATGTTGCTCATCTCACATAAAACATAAATAATTGTGTCTGTTCTCTTTTTGTATTACTAAGAGGGTACTGATTGTGTTACTTTAAATGTCACTAGTGTTTTGGTTAGAGGCTATATCAGTGCTGCAATGATATAGCATGAATATGATGAATAGGCATGGTTTTCTCACTAAGTACATTTCATGGTATGTATATTTACTGTCACTCATGTGTGTGTTTACAGAACAAAGACTACAAATGCCTCATGGAGAAACTGACCAATCTGGAAGGAATATACAACTCGGAGACTGAGAAACTACGAAGTGATTTAGAACGTCTTCAGCTAAGTGAAGAAGAGGCTAAGATTGCTACTGGACGGGTCCTCAGTCTGCAGGAAGAAATTGCCAAGCTAAGGAAAGACCTGGAACAAACTCAGTCTGAGAAAAAATCCATTGAGGAACGTGCTGATAGATACAAACAAGAAACTGAGCAGGTGAGAGCTAATGTTCATCTCCTCATCTACTCCTTTCACAAAGGAGATGTGCTGCCATATTGACTTGGTTGGCCATTGTAGCTCAATGTAGGCCTCAGTTGAAAGTAAAACACACCTTTCGGTCAGTTGACTGTTCATTATTAGTGTTTTTCCCCAAGGAGTTCTTTCATATGCTGGATGAGTAGCTATAGGTCTTTTAGTAGAATGTTTTACTCTAAGAATAGAAGGAAAGCAGTGTTATAAGAAGAAAATTGATGGCCAAGTACCTACTATACACTCTTTTTGTTGAAGGTATAGATCTGTGTGGAGTCAGCCAGTTTAAGGTGATTAAGAAGTAAATTAAACAATAATCTGTCAGTAGCTAGTAGGAATTTTTATGGAAATCTACATTAAGGTTGTTTTGAGAAGTCCACCAGAAATCCAAATGTCTGCACACTGGCCATAGTCAAGAACTGCTATACAAAAAATAACAACAAAACTGCTTACAGATTGACAAATGTTTCCACACTACAAATTTGTGTTAACTTATATCAAAACTTTATTAAACATAGAAAACATGAAGGCTCTCAAGAAGTAATGAGGAGTATTGTTTCAACATAAGAAAAAATACCTCAACATAAGGCTTACTGGGAAAAAGTAATAGATTTTTAGAGATCCTACTAGTATTACCATCTTTAAATGAAAACAGAGTTGACTCTGTTGGCTGTAACTACTTCTGAACTTTAACAGCAGCTTATGCAGTAAGAACCTCTGAAGGAGCTTAGACAGTTCAGGTAAGAGACTGTCACTAATAAGATGACAATCCTTCCATGATATTTAGGATCCTGATTAAAATAAACCCATCTATATCTTCAACAGATCTTGACTTTGTGTCTGGAAACAGTTTCACTGGTAGCCTCGTCCATAAAGAATCTGCCTACAGTGCAGGAGACCCGGGTTCAATCCCTGGGTCAGGAACATCCCCTGGAGAAGGATTCAGTACTATTCTTCAGTATTCTTGCCTGGAAAATCATGGAAAGAGGAACTTAGCAGGCTATAGCTCCTGAGGTCACAAGAGTTGGACACGACTTAGCGACTAAACCACCATTAATATATGTTACTTTGACATGGCAGGCTTGTTCTATTGAATATATATCCAGTGAGATACTCTTGAGGTTTAGGATCTGTCTTTCTCATTTTCTGTCTTTCTCAATCTCTTTTTTTCCCCATTTCCTGAGTCCCTGAAAGCTTCCAAAATTCCTTAGAAACTATAGAGTATTAACTTGGTAGGGGTATTCTCTTCCTTTTCACAGTCAAATGTATACCTTCCTAGTTAGATAGAATAGTATACCCAAACATATTCAGATTTCTCCTTTCTTCTTGTTTTATTATCTGTGGCTTTCACAGGGATGTCTATACGCACTACCATTAATTCTTTTAGATGGAGTGTGGTAATGAGGAATGAAAGCATTTCCCTGCAAGAGCTAGCCTTGAGGAAAGCTGCACTGCCAGTCAGCCTGATCAAGGAGCCTAGAAGGTCCAGAGAACTGTGCTTCTTAACCAGGAATGTGTATCAGAATTGGCTGGAGAGTTTTTAAAAAGATACCTGCCCAGGCTCTGGGAGTGTAGGTCGGACACATTTATTTTGGAAAAGCACCACAGGTGATTGGTTGCATACCCCTGACAAAGAGCGGCTTCTCTCCAGAGCACCCAAAGAAGCCAGCCTTTGTACTGAGAGCACACCTTCTCAGGGCAGAAGGAAGAGACTGGACGATCAGAAAGAGCACCTCCTGGCCTGATGTCTGCCGTGGCTCAGTGCTGTAACTTCAGTTCTCTGTTCTTCAGGGATCCTTTGTCACAGCCCATTATCTCTATCGCTGAACTCTTCATATGTTCTCTTTATTACTAAAGCTGTTCCTTTAAGAGTTCTGTGAACTTACACTTAGAGAAAGGAATTCACATTTCACTTATTCAGGTTTCACTTCAGCACACATTCTGTTACAAAGCTAAACTATATAAATTATCAACTTTGCAAAGTTACCTTTGGTTTTGATTTTTGCTTCCTGAGAATCCTTATCCAACCGGGAACCAGAAAGTTAAAAGGTCAACATTTTTTTTATTGTGGTAAAATATGCTTATATGTAACTTTAAGTTTACCATTTTAATTGTTTTGAGTGTAAAGTTCTATGACATTAGTTATAGTCACATAGTTGTAAAGCCAATGCTTAAATGTGGAATGAAAGTTTACAACCTTGCAAAACTCTTAAAAGGAGATGAAAGTAAAATTCTCAAGACAGAGAGCAGGGAGCTTTGGAAGGTCTTCAGTGAATATCATACTTTTCTTGTCCTCTGTAATCTCTCTGTTGAATCTTGGGTACACATAAGCATTGTGTTAGGCTGTTGGGGTGAAAAGGCGTTATCATTACTTTAAGAGCAAATGCTTACTAGGTGTCCGGCAATTGGTAAATGCTCAAGGTACAAAGTAAAACAACAACAGCAAATCATCTTTGTCCTCCAGTAATTTCTAGTCAATCAGGGAAGTAAAAGTAAATCATTTATAAGGGCTATAAAGAGGCATATACAGGGTTCTGTAGCAGTCCAATGGAGAGAGATATAATTGGAAGGAGTTTCTGGGAAAGCTTTCTGGGGGGTAATGCTTGAACCAAGTTTCAAGGATGACAATATAACTCAGCAAAGAAGAGAGACAGTGAGACATGGAAGTAAGGAGTGACTACTGTGTGGTCTTTGTATTCAGTATCGGGTTTCCTCTGTCTGTTGCAGCCGTATCAGTTTATTGTTTCATTTTATAGCTGGTGTCAAATCTGAAGGAAGAAAATACTTTGCTGAAGCAGGAAAAGGAGACCCTCAATCACCGTATCGTGGAGCAGGCTAAGGAGATGACAGGTAAGGCTCACGTGGGCCCAGCCTACTGCACTCCAAACAACCTGAGACCAAGGGTTTATAAGTTACAACTTTGCTTATTTAGGCTGGCATCAATAAGTTTTCAGAGTTCCAGAGGCAGGCACTCTAAATATTTGGTTGAATTAGTTGGTGAATTTGTAAATCTGATCTCCCTATGTACAAATATGAATTCATGCTTAGTCAATATCGTATATAACTTAAAAAAAATCATATGTATGATTTATAGCTTATAGGAGTCCTCTTGATTTAGGACAAATTGTTGAGTTAATATGTACATTATAGGAGTATATGTATCTGTGTATATTATTGATTTTGCTAAATGAATGAATACTAATTTCTTAAGATCACCCACTCTTTGTCGTCTTAAAAAAAAAAAAAGATGCTGACTAGAGATAGACATTTATTTGCTGTTGGTAAGATAAATTAAAATGGTGATAATTTACAAGAAATTCACACATACAGAAACATGAGATAAGAAGATGTGTATCTAAGCTATGGCAATTGGTGGTAGAAATAAAAAAGGAAGAGGTATGTTAGAGTGAAAATATATGAAAAGAATTAACAGATTATTATCATTTTTGATATGGTATTCAAAAGAGGATCAAAAATTTTCTAAAGTGTTGCAATGAGTTATCAAAACAATAATGTGTCATTAGTAATGAGGAAATTGAGGAAAACTAGTCTCTGTTTATGAGACAAATCAATTAAAATTTGGATGTTAGCTAGGGTCTCCAGATAGAGATGATCTGAAAGCAAATTGAGATTAAAGAGAGACCCCTCAGGGGTTTTCCCCACACCATACCCTTCTTCCCAATTAAAGTGAATCCTGTATAGAAAAGAGAAGAAAGTCTAGAATTTATAGGATAATCATAAAAAAGGATAAGGTGAAGAAAGAGAGTCATAAAAGAAAGTTAAAACAGAAGGAGAAAACAGTCATTGATGACATGCAAAGAAGGTTGCCAGGATGCAGAATATAGTGGGAAAATCCAGAATGATGAGAATTCTTCTAGGAAAATAGGAAATGTTATTTGATACTAAAGAGAACAAAGCGAATAGCAGTGGATTTGCCTAGAGGAAACTTAGTAGCCTTGGGCAGCTTCCCACAAACTTGTGAGAATAAAAAGCAACTTATAGAATGTTATAGAAAGAAAAAATTCTTTCATTTATTTATTTGCAAATTATTAAAGCTCTAGGACAGGGGAACACTGTGGAGGCAGTCATGACAGGACCCTTGGAAGTCCTTGCCCTCATGGAGCTGACAGATAAAGAAATGGTCAGCAACAGAAGCAGGCAGGACAGATTAAGATATAGCCACAAAATATGAGGTAGGAAGCTCAATATTTATAAATGTGGCTGACTCAGCTCATTGAAAGAAAGCACATGGCTGAGATTTAAGGCTTTTTTTAATTGATACTTTGATCTGCAATCAGGGGATAGTCTCCAGTCTCCAAATGATGTCCTATCTACATGCCAGCCACCAGCAATAGAGAGGGTAGAATGAGGTGAGTAAATGGAAAAGTCAAGTCCTCAGCGGCACATGGGAGTGGCGACTACAGAGGACCAGGTGTGGCAATTTACCTGAATAGAATGGAAGGAGTAACAGGACAAGGGCATTCGAAGTATTGGGAAATCATAAGACAGAAGCCAGGGACTGAGAGGTGAGTGGAGAGACTCTGGAGAGCCAGACAGCTAGGTCCTCTGATAAGTCACGGTTCCCCTAGGGGCCTGAGGAATGTCTCTAACTTTTTGGACAAAAGAATTTTATGAGTAGCCTGAAACAGAATACTGTTGGGGTAAAAAAATATGTACTTCTAGTTACTATACACTGACTAGTGGAAGTTATCAAGGATGTGCTGTAACCAATGAATAAACTAGTTCTGTTCATGGAAGAATGCAACAGATGATTGTTGTTATTAATAAATTATTTTCTTTTCTGGTCATGATATTTTCTCTTTCCCTGCCTCCACTAAGATACTCTTCATAGATCATAGTGCTGCTAAAAGTAGAACCCCTCCCATGACTGCAAGCCAGTGCCCATGTTTTTATTCTTGCACTTTGTGAAGCCGTCTTTGGTATGTTTTTCTCTCTCTCTTCTTTCAGAGACTATGGAGAAGAAGTTAGTAGAAGAAACAAAACAACTGGAACTTGATCTTAATGATGAAAGGCTGAGATATCAGAACCTTTTGAATGAGTTTAGTCGCTTGGAAGAACGCTATGATGACCTCAAGGAAGAGATGACTTTGATGGTGGTGAGTCAAATACTTTTGCCCATTTTTATAAAAAATTTAAACATGTGCAAAACTAGATAGAATAGTAGGATAAACCCCCATGTACTCCATGTACTCATCACCCAATTCCAAAATAGTCGTCACATTTCTATCTCCCATTCTAACCTACATCACACTGCATCCAATGAATTGGATTGTCTTAAAGCAAATCCCAGGAATCACATCACTGTATTCATAAATAGTTTTATAAACTCAAACACTTTGAAGACTAGACTTTGTTTATGTACTGAATGACTTAATGTAAAATTTGCTTATAAAGCAAATATTTATGAGGTCAAGTATTTTCTTAGTAGTTTTTGTAATTTCAAAGACATATTCCTAAACAAAGAAAATTCATCTGCTATTTGTAATAAATTGTCTTACCTATTTCATGGACTCTTCTGCATCTGGCCTAGTACTTTTTGTACTTTTAATAGTGCTGCACACCATCCCTGGTCTACTTATTCTGATATCAGGAAACAGAGTTCCCTGACAATCTTGTTCCTGCAACTATCAGCCTTAAATGTAACCTAATGGCACAAATGGCCAGAAATGCCCTGAAATATTTGCTATAAAACACAAGATAATCTGGATGGGTGTGGTCAAGATGGCAGAAGAGGAAGACCCTGTGCTCAACTCTTCTCACAGGCATACCACAATTATAACTATTTACAGAGCAATTGTGCATCAGAATGACCTGAAGACTAGCAGTGTTAAAGTGCTGTTAAACTGCTGCACTCAATATGCCAGCAAATTTGGAAAACTCAGCAGTGGCCATAGGACTGGAAAAGGTCAGTTTTCTGTCCAGTCCCAAAGAAAGGCAAATGCCAAAGAATGTTCAAACTATCGCACAATTGCACTCATCTCACACACTAGCGAAGTAATGCTCAAAATTCTCCAAGCTAGGCTTCAACAGCACCTAAACCGAGAGCTTCCAGATATTCAAGCTAGATTTAGAAAAGGCAGAGGAACCAGAGATCAAGTTGCCAACATCTGTTCGATCATAGAAAAAGCAAGAGAATTCCGGAAAAGCGTCTACTTCTGCTTCATTGACTACACTAAAAACTTTGACTATGTGGATCACAACCAACTGTGGAAAATTCTTCAAGAGATGGGAATATCAGATCACCTAACCTGCCTCCTGAGAAATCTGGATGCCAGTCAATAAGCAACAGTTAGAACCGGACATGACTGATGCTGAAGCTCCAATACTTTGGCTATCTGATGTGAAGAACTGACTCATTAGAAAAGACCCTGATGCTGGGAAAGATTGAAGGTAGAAGGAGAGGAGATGACAAGAGGATGAGATGGTTGGGTGGTATCACCAATTCAATGGACATGAGTTTGAGCAAGTTCTGGGAGTTGGTGATGGACAGGAAAGCCTGGTGTGCTGCAGTCCATGGGGTTGCAAAGAGTCAGACACTACTGAGTGACTGAACTGAACTGAAGACTAGCAGAAATTATTTCGTGCAACTAAAGATATAAAAAAGGAACCTCAACAAAATGGGTAGAAGATTAAAGGATACACAGAACAAAAAGATGTAAAATATGATGACAAAAACACTAATAGTGGAAGAGGAACTAAGAATGCATGGTTGTTATAATGTTTTGAACTGGAGATCATCATATTTAAATAAATATGTGTGTGAATGTATATATATGTATATGATTGAACCTCCTTTATTGTTGCTTATATGATCCCTGTCATAACCACAAACATATTATAGATATACACATACATAAAAAGAGAATAATCCAAATATAATAATAAAGATAGTCATCAAATCACAAGGGAAGAAAGCAAAGAAAGAAAGGAACAAAAAGGAACTACACCAATCAGAAAACAACTAACAAAATGGCAATACGTACATACCTATCAATAATTACTTTCAGTGTATTGGACTAAGTGCTCTAATCAAAAGACATAGAGTGGCAGAATAGATAATGGAAACAAGACATAAAGATACACACACACACATACACCTGTGAGAGAGTCACTTCAGTTATAAAGACACACACAGACTAAAAGGGAGAGAATGGAAAAAAGATATTCCATGAAAATGAAAAGACAGCTGGGATGGCAAGAGTCAAACAAAATAGACTTTAAGACAAAGACTGTAACAAGAGACAAAAAAGGACATTACATAGTAACAAAAGGATCAGTCCAATAAGAGGATATAATAGTGGTAAATATATGTTCACCCATCATAGGCGCATCTGAATACATACAGAAAATATTAATAAACATAAAGGGAGAGATTGACAGTAACGCAGTAATAGTAAGGGATTTTAACATCCCACTTACATCAAAGGACAGATCATCCAGAAGATTGAAATCATATCAGTCATCTTTCTCCACCACAATGCTATGAGACTAGAAATCAACTACAAGAAAAAAACCTGAAAAAACAAATACACGGAGCTAAGCATACACTATTAAACAACCAGTGGGTCACTGAAGAAACCAAAGAGGAAATTTTGAAAATACCTGGAGATAAATGAAAGTGGAAACACAATGTTTAACATCTGTGGAAGGCAGCAAAAACAGTTTAAGAAGGGAATTTTAATGGCAAATAAATAAGCAATCTAGCCTTATACCTAAAGGAAGTATTGTCAAAAAAGAAGAACAAACAAAATTCAACATTAGTAGGAGACGATTAGAGTGGAAATGAAATAGAGACTAAGAATCAGTAAAAAAGATACACGAAACTCAAGAGCTGGTCCTGTGAGAAGATAAACAAAATTGATAAACTATTAGCCACGCTCGTCAAGACAAAAAGAGACAGCCCAGATTAACAAAATCAGAAGTGAAAGAGTAGTTATACCACAGAAATACACAGGATCATAGGAGGATACTAGACAATTATATGCCAATAAAATGAGCAATCTAGAAAAAATAGACAAATTCCTAGAAACATACAATCTCCCAATACTGAATCAGGAAGAAACAGAAAATAAACAGGTCAAATATCAGTAATGGAATTGAATCAGCAGTCCAAACACTTCCAACAAAAGTTCAGGGCCAAATTGCTTCACAGGTGAATTCTGTCAAACATTTTAAGAACAGTTAACACCTATGCTTCTCAATCTGTTCCAGAAAGCTTCCAAACTCATTCCGTGAGGCATCACACTGATACCAAAATCAGACAAAGAAATCACACACACACACAAACACACACAAAGAAAATTGCAGGCCTATGCTTCTCCATCTATTCTGGAAAGCTTCTAAACTCCTTCTGTGAGGCATCACACTGATACCAAAATCAGACACAGAAATCAGACACACACACACACACAAAATTGCAGGCCAAAATCACTAATAAACAGAACATACAAAGTGGTCTGGCTTGAGACACCAACTACTCCTGAGGGCTTGTTTCCCTGTGGTCGCATAGATGGGTCTGCTTTGTCTAAGCCTGGATGTTGGAAGGAAAGAGGCAAAAAACTCTTTGTGGCTTCTGGCTCTTTTCCTGCACCTTGGAAGGAGTAAAGGAAATTGGACAGATCACAAAGCTTTCAGAGGCCTTTTTGAAGCTCTCAGAATTTGTAACCCTAGAAGATCCAGGCAACTGAACCTCTTCACCTCTTCTGCAGGGGGCACTCTCAGAGCGAGGGGCCCAAACCCCACCTTTTTTTTTCCTCTTCCTTCAAGTTGTTCTTTAACCACTTCTCCAGAAAGGAAGGGACTGCAAATACCTAACTTTTCTATTCCCCACAGGCTTGCTTGAGTACTAGTTCATTAGGTACCATATGTCGTGAAACTATCACTAGGACTCCCTGAATTAATAACCCAAGTATCTCCCCAGAGAAGTTTCCTTACCTGTTCTGCACACTCATCCTTGCCACTGCTGACTCCAGAGCTTCAGTTCCATGCATAAAACTGACAGAAGTTGAAGTTGCCTGTGTGAAAACCCCCCTCCTGTGACCTGTTAATATGGTTCAGTAAAATGATTATGCTGTCATTGAATATATTCTGTGGACATTTGGGGGAGATTTTGTTTGATTATAATATGGAAGTCATCATACTTATGCTTCACCTAGTGCGACTAGCCACTCACAACTTTAAGAGGGGATCTGCTGATAGTCAGGGATGATTTTTATTTGAGTATTTAGTTTCGCGACTGTACTTGTCACACCCTCCTGGTGCATCTTTCTGTTTCTTTGAGGAGCTCAGGAGGGGACCCCTTGTAAGGGTTTGTTAAGACAACATGGAATAGATTGTTTGGGCATGAGAGCATTAGGTCATCAAGGTTAGAATCAAGTTAAGGTGGATGCTGTTTTAACTATGCCAAGTTCAATTATTTAATTATGTTGTGTTAACTGTAGCTGCTTATTTGTGTTGCAGAATGTGCCTAAGCCTGGACACAAGAGAACAGACTCTACCCACAGCAGCAATGAGTCTGAATATACCTTTAGCTCTGAAATTGCAGAATCAGAAGATATTCCATCAAGGACAGAGGTATATTTTAGATACCTATCAATAAAAGTAAGATGTGCTCATCCTGTTATTAACAGAGAACATTTCCATTGCAGGGAGGACCCCATTTGTTCATAAATGTAACATTTATTTTATATTCTTTATAAATGACTTGAAGGTGCTTAATTAACTGTGTGTATACATACTTATTACATATTTTTGTCAATCGATATTTCAGTTTTTAATGTGATTTTGAGGGCCAGATTTTCCTCTTTGTAATTCCCTTTTATATCTTAACATGTTCTGTGTGTAAAAAATATAGCCTGTAATGAATTTATTTCAGACTGAGATCATTTTTTGAAAAGTGAGCTTTTATCCTAGAATATTATAATATAAATACCAATGCCCTAGGGTTTAGCAAAATTGCTGCCTGTTTGATGATAGTTTGTACCAATGTAATTCTCTTCTACAAAAATGCATGGAAAACAGCTTATAAATCTGTCTTAGTGTTTTGTGTTACATGGTTTGAAATCAAAATGACATATTACTGTAACTCCAAGAGTACAGTGACTTTAAGTTAGATTGTTCCCAAACCAATTCTCATATCTTCTTCAAATATCATATTAGTTTCTGTAATGGGTAATTCAGACACATTGTTTTCTATTTTTATCTCATATTCTGAGAAAATGGCCAAGTCAGAAATAGACTGCTTCTGGCAGAACAACTGAAAAAAATTGAATGATTCTTTCCTTTCTTAGTTCTACTTAGGAATGAAAAGTTTCTCCATCTCATTCTGTTCATTTTAAAGAAAGTGTCACATAGTTGGAATGTCATATAATTGGACTCATACATACAAGGGGGCCAAGTAACTGGTCCAAGGTCACAGCTTGTGAGTGGCAGAGCCAGTGTTCTAACTGAGGCTTGTCTGTTCAGAGCTCCACACTTTGCCTCCTCCCTCTCAGGGGTTCTACACTGCAGTTCTTCAGTCCCCTTTCCACCTACAGATAAACAGATAGCATTAGTCTGGGGACACTGATACAGCAATATGGCCAGTATGTAACAGCAGTGGTTGTCCGAGTTATCTGTTGTGCAACAAAACATCCCTGACTTTAGTGGTTTCAAACTACAGCAATTTATTATTGCTCACAGTTTGGGGTTTTGACTGGGTGGTACTTCTGTCCCTTATGGTGTGGGTTGGAGTATCCCCCTGCATTCAGCTGGGGTGAGAAGGTCTCCTCCTTGGGTCTCTCCATGTTGCTTCTCTCTTCAATAGCACAGAGAGTGGGTTCTAGGAGTGCAAGGGCAAATGATGTCAGGCTTTTAGGGCCAGACCCAGAACTGGCATGGTAGCAGTTCTGCCACATCTTATGGTCAAAGCAAAGTACGAGGCCAGCCCAGATTCAAGGAGGGGAATGGACTCCATCTCTTAATGGGAGGAGAGTTATTTTTGTTGGGTGATCGTTGGTGGCCATCTTTGGAGATTACCCCAGAGTTAGACTTTGAAGATTTCAGAACTATAGCTTCTGAGCCTTTAGAGGATATAAAGGTGTTTTCTCCAAATTCTTACAGATTTGAGGGGAGAGGTAGCCTTTTTCATTTATCATTCTCACGTGTTTTATGTCAAGTGACTGAACTGAACTGAACAGTGGGATTTGGTACATTTTTCATCTTTTTTGAAAATTGAAGTATGAATTGTGCTTCAGAAACCACCAGCAGATCTCGGGGTATTGATCCTGTCTGTCACATGCACTGACCACCAGCAGTAGGTCATACACAGGAAGTCTGTCAGTAAGGAGGAAGGGTATTGACTGAACTAGTCAAGCTTGTTGCTTGTGACCAAGTGCGTGCATCTGAGATGTGGCTGGCTGTGGTTAGTGCTGTCTTCATCATGGGGCAGACTACAGTAACTCTCCTCCTTAGGACTAAGTCCATAACCTTAGCCTCAGTCTCTCTGCATTTCAGTTTCCTCCTCTATAAAGTGGCACTGCTATTATTATCTTACTTTATAGTGATGTTTTGAAGATTAAATGAGTTAATTTTTACACACTTGCAACAGTGTTAGATACATAGTAAGTGTTCAAATAAATAAATAAAAGTTTTTGCTCTAATAAACAGGCTTTAAACCCAGTCTAATAAACAGACTGGGTGTGGCCAGGATCAGAAAGATGGGAATCTGTACAACTGATAACAGAAAAAGAGAGATTGACCATCAAGGGGAAGTTGGGCAGGAGAGACATGGCAGTCTAAGGCTATGGCTGTCACTTTGCTCTTCGTTACTTACGACCTTCGGGTTTGCATTTCTTCCTGCTGCTTCCTCTGTAATGGCCAGGTTTACAAATCACCTCTTACAAACTAAAGGAAAACTTTCAACTCCTATATGTAGTTTTCCCAAGTAACTCCTCTAGAATCCAGGGGCCAGGACAATAACAGGATCACTTTTGCTTATGAATTGTTTTTTTTTTTAATTAAAATAGATTGTTTTGAAACACAGAATTCTGACCTCAGTCATGTATTAATAGCAGAATTGAGGTAAAAATAAAGGATTAATGTCTCTTTAGTCACAAATCACAGACGTGTGATTTGCTGTTCACAAGTTAACAGTGGCATCTCCACTGCTGTTTGTGGAGAACTCAGCTGCTAGCTCCGCTCACCTTACAGCCCTCCCACACTCCCAGCATCTCTGTGTTCTGGGGTTACAAAGACCATGTAACACTTTTGGGAACCATTGCTTTCCCTGCTGTGTCATGCCCCTTTCTTAGTAACCACTGACTGATTATCTCGGTTTTGCTTCTGCTCTCAGGCTTCCTCACACTTGTCAAATCCAGGGAACACATCACTATAACTTTCTCAGCTACTGTTAGCAATAATTCCAGGATGACTGCCAGGCCTGTCATGGTAATTTTGTGAAGAAATTGTTATTTTCCTGATTTTCCTCTAATGAGAGACTGTTATTTTTTAGTTTAGTTTTTAAAGCTTCACTTACTTGGAAAAGCCCTAGATGACAACGTCCTTACAAAGGAAAGAAAGCAAAAACAAAACGCTAGACACTTTCCTGAGCTAGATGGCCCAGTCATCCTCCTTGCTCATGTGCTATGGGGAGGACAATATCTCTTCGATTATACGTGTCATTAGGGATAAGAATGGGCACCATTTGGAGCACTCTTAGTTACTAACCATTATGTCTCAAACAGTTTTGCACTTGTCAAGTGTTTCTATCCATAAAATTTTGTTCTTATCTATAGCAACTAATTTTTTGTGTAATATTAGCTGGTATCTAAAGAGTTATCCCACCCTATTTTAATAAAAGGATTCCTTTTCAACAAAAATGAGCATTCAAGGCTGAGAGGAATTATCCCCAAATGATGACATTTTAAGTACAGAGAATGAAATATTATATTCACCCAAAGGATGAAGGCTTCAGTTATAATATGAAAAAAGGATTAAATAATTAAAATTTTCAGGGATATATACATCATTAATGGACTTCCCCAGAGGTTCAGTGGTAAAGAATCCTCCTGCAATGCAGGAGCCACAGGAGACACAGGTTCAATCCCTGAATGGGAAAGATGCCCTGGGAGGGAAGGAATGGCAAGCCACTCTATCATTCTTGCCTGGAGAATCCCCGTGGACAGAAGAGTCGGGTGGGCTACAGACCATAGTGTCGCAAAGAGTGGGGCACGACTGAAGCAACTTTGCACATATACGTACATCATTAATAAGATGAACAAACATTTAAACACTGAAGATGGAATGTTTATATTATAAATAAGCTAAAATATAAGTATTTGTGGGATGTATAGAAATAAGTATTTATATGAATGAAATTCTGTAGTGATTTCATGTTCAGGGAAGATGTTATCTCTATTCTACTAAGTCAGGACAGATCATGTACCCAAACTTTTTCTTACTCTGAGCATGATAAAATGGACCATAAGAAAAAGTCCAGGTCTAACTAGCTTGTAGATAAATGACCTGATAGCCTATAAGTACCCCACTTCTTGGTTTAGTTGATTCATCTTAGGTGGTGTTTTTTTTTTTTTAAGAACTAGAATGATGCTGAACTTGGCACTACTAGGAATTCACAAAAGATCAAAGATAGCTAATGAATATAAAAATTATTCAACCTCATTAAATGGCAAAGAAATATGTTAAAACAATAATGAAATACCACTATTGGTATGTCAATTGAGCCAATTTTTTTTAAATGATAACAGTCATTGTTGCTCCAGGCAAGGTGGTGGTTACTGATGGAAGTATAAACAGGCCTAATAGACTTTAAAACATTAATGTTTAGATATTTATGTACTAGGACATTTATTTTAGTATATTTCAATATAAAAATTAAAAACAACTTCAGTGTTCATCTGTAACATGATGATGAAGCAAATGATGGTATACATTTTAATACAGCTATCAAAAATTATGCTTTCAAGTATCATATTATAAATTTGGAACACAATTATAATAAATGCTAAGTTTTTAAGATGGTACAAAATTATGATGAAATATTTTTCCTGTTCTTTAAATTTATAGAAAAGAGACTGGACAAAAATTGTGAGTTTTCTCTGGATATGAGGTTATACTTACAGTTCTCATTCTTGCACTTTTCTTATTTCCTAAATTTTCTATGAAAAGTTGTTTTGCTTTTATATCAAGAAATAAATGTTTGTTTGTTTTTTTAAATTGACATTTGGAAATATAAGATTTGCTGATCAGTTAAGAGGGCTTCCCTTGTGGCCCAGCTAGTAAAGAATCCACCTGCAATGTGGGAGATCTGGGTTCAGTCCCTGGGTAGGGAGGATCCCCTAGAGAAGGCAAAGGTTAATAATTATACTTTGATCATTTAATTAAATAAATAAGTTGTTACTGTTCTTTTTCTCTCTGACAAAAAGAGACTCTTTATCCTCTCCATTGAGTCTAATGATACAATTCTTTCTCTTCTTAACTCATTAAAAATTGAAACACAGAGTAAATGAGGTAAAACAATTATGACATTCTCAGAATTTCCATGATGATGGTTAATTACTTCCTTTGGCTTAGCTTGAATTAGTGTATCTTTATTTATCCTGGTAGTTCTTGCTGTGACTCTGTTTTGGAACTAGTTGACATACTTTTAAATGCTACTAAGCTGCCTTTTAGTTTATTAAGGGCTATATATGTTTTGGTTTTTTTGTTTTCTCTCTGTATGACCTCAATATATTTATACTAGCATTTCACCTTTTCAAAAATCATTTTTCCTAATTACAAAAGTAGTACATGCTTATTGTACACAATTCAAATATAGAAATGTATGAAATTGAAAATGAAACTTTCCCACAGTACCTCCCATTCTCTAAGATAACCTTAATGGCCTTCTAGATTTTTGTATGCCATAGGCTTGATATATTTAAAAGTCATGTGTATTTTTTTTTTTAAGAAAAAATAGATCACAATATAGATACTATCCTGAAACTTGTGTATTTCACTTAATACTTTTATCTAGAACATATTTATCTACTTGTGTAGATCTACTTCATTCTTTTTAACAGCTGTAAATATTTCATAGTTTGATTATATCAGAATTTATTTAAGTAGCTCTCCTATTGACCAGTATTTGGAGTCTTTTCAAGTTTTGTGATTACAAAAATACTACAGTGAACATCTTTTATATTGATATTTTTGTGTACTTGTGTAAGTATTTTCATAGAATTAATTCTTAAACATAGATTGCTAGTTTAATGGATATACAGATTTAAATTTTAATGAATACAGCTCACTTTCCCTTCTAAAGGGCCTACGTATACTTCCACCAACATCATGTAAGACACTTAGTCTTTGTCAATATGATGGAGGAAAGTGGTACCTCACTGTTGTTTAATTTGCATTTCTCCTTATTAGCTGGTTAGATGTGCTATTCATATACTCTTTGGCCATTTATATTTCTCCTGTAAGTGTGCCTATTTTTCTATCGGGCTGCTCATCATATTCTCATCAGGTTTTACATCTAATGAATCATCTTGACTATCTTATAATTTCTGGAGTTTAGGAGCCAAGTGAGAAGAAGGTGCCTCTGGACATGTCATTGTTCCTCAAGCTCCAGAAGCGGGTCACAGAGCTGGAGCAGGAGAAGCAGGTGATGCAGGATGAGCTGGACCGCAAGGAGGAGCAGGTGCTCCGCAGCAAGGCAAAGGTGAGCAGTGCTCTCCCACCCTAGGGCCATGGCAAACTGGGTTCTGTGGTCTCTTCTTTAATGGGAACTCAGGCCAGAAGTACTTTAATCAAGTAGGATTTCCTTCAAGTAGTGAGGGCTAAACTCCCCTTACTGTTTTCTGCAGAGCTAGGTAATATTCTAAGATTAAAAATTAAAGTATAACTACTTATTTATAAAGTTCTTAACTTTATGTTTTTCCCTAGGAAGAAGAAAGACCACAGATTAGAGGTGCAGAACTGGAATATGAGTCACTCAAGGTAATGGGAAGAGTCTGGTCCAGACTTTGAATATCTTGTTTTGGCAAGAAAGCCGTTCAGAGCCTCTTTCTCTCAGAGAACATCCTTAATGGTACCTGAAACCCTAGCTTAAGCTCTTTTCAGGCATTATTTCTAGCCTTGCATTGTTACCTTTTTAAAATTCTCTTTCATATAAGCTAGATTTCAGCCTAAGCAGTAGCTGCCTTTGGAGGCTGTAGAAAGTAGTAAAGGACATGGACCCTGGTGTCAGACTGCCTGGGTTCAAATGCTAGATCCACCACTATGTGGCTGTATGCAAATAATCCTTTCTGTGCCTCAGTTTTCCCATCTATACAGTGGGAATAATGATAGTATTTATCTTATAGGACTTTCATGAGGATTATATGAAGTAATTCATGTAAACTGTGTGGAATAGTGCCCAGCACATAGTAAAGACACAACAAATGTTGGCTGCTGTCATTATCTTCATCATTTTAAAATACAGGCAATTTATACATCAGCCTTAATTTTTAACAACAATCCTGCAAGTAAGCATTTTAATTCCCATTTTATACATGAAGAAATCAACACTAAGAAGTATTAAGTAACTTCCTAAGATAACCCCACTGAAAACTGACAGGAGCGGACTTTGAATGTTGGTGTCTCTGACTCCAAACGCCATGCTCTAACCATCAAATCCCACTGAAACTATGTGTTTGTAGAGAAAGACAGTTATTTGTTTACAGAGAAGAAATATATTCCAGCATATTTTAAAGAACAGTTGGAGGGAAGGGGATGGAGGTGGAGAACTGTATCTTCATAGTGGTTCAAGGCAGAGTCTCACTAGATGGAGATAAGCTGCCACTGTGTGTTCTAGAGCACGTGAACACAGGAAAAGTCACTGGTTAGGAACATTATTTCCTAAAATACAGAGTTTCTTGGGTAACACAGAGATGAAGCCCAGAGGGGGAAAATGTCCCATTGCTTGATTCAGAGCTGGCTGTGCACCACCTGGCTCCTTCCTTTGCTTTCCAGAATCAAAATTTTGAGCCCCTAGAAGTCTGAGCTATCAGATTGTCAACTGTCAAGTCACTCCCAGCTCCAAAAGTTTCCTAGGTTATTAATTAATTTATTAGCCTTAAATTTATTATTCTCAGATGTTTTCTGATTATGCCAGTTTTTAAACTTTCTTTCTGCTTTTTTAAAATTATGGTTTAAAATAGCTGGAAAATTGCAATAAGGTTCATAATTATAACCAAACAAAACTAAAAATTAGAAAAACCACAAAATATTTAACGGTAGGCATTTACATATACTTGAGAACTCCTGAGGTCTCTCTAAGCAATCGTGAAATTTTTTTTGTTTTTAGTAATATTATGCAAGTCTAGTCCTAATAAATTATTTCCTAATACTGTGATTTAGAATGTAATCTATGCACATTAAGAGGCCCCTGTTCTGTGTGGATTGCTTCCCACAGTCCAGAGCCGCTGACAGGCGCCTCCTCTCCAGGCTGTATGGCATCTTGGTGTGGAGAGTGCCTGTCCTCTACCTGCCCAAACCCACAATGCCTTGTTCAGCTCCTTCCCCTGAAGACAGTAAGAGTAATTCTAAACACTTATATTTACCTTACAATTTGAAATGTTTTTCCTTTACCTTATCTTGTTTAGTCATTGTCACACTTCTGAGATTAATTTTTTATTTCCTTTACAAGATCAATTAACTGAGGCCTTAGAACAGTGAAGAGATTTACTATCAGTTGGTAAAGTCTGATCTTGAATCCAGATCGCTAAACAATAGGAAACATGCTAGTTTCACACCACAACTTGTGTGAAAACTAATTTTCACCCCCAAAATATGATATTTACTTTTTAAATTCATCACAGGACCTTTTTTACCCTTTCTAAATTATAATTAAATATTTTGCTCCCCCAGTGAAAGTACTACTAGGGTAGTACATTTTTGTGTTTGTGGAAAAAGAAAAGGGTGGCAGCAAAAGGTCATCTCTATTACTCTCCTTTGTCTTTTATACTCTTTGCCTAGAAAACCAAATCATGATATGGATTATGCAAGACAGGAACCAGATGGGATGGGATAGGACAGGTGAAAGGAACAGGGATAGGAATCTGATCTCCAGATCTTCTGCTTCTGCCTGCCTTTCACAAAAAAAAATTGGACAGAGAGAGACATTCTCTGTAGTATGTTAAAAATGAAGCTGTATCACAAAGTTCCGAGGTGTTAGCGCAGTGTTTCTCAAAATGGGGTCCCTGGGCCAGCTGTGTCAACATCACCTGGAAACTTGATGGAAAAGCGAATCTGTTGGCCTCACACCAAATCTAAAGCCCTCCACCCTCTAGGTGATTCTGATGCATGTTAAAGTTTGGGAAAGATAGCATCGGAGCTTAGGTGTTGAAGTAGAGACATTCATGTTTTCTGTTGCAGAAACAGAAATACAAATCTGACTACTTTGGTGGGATACTGGGGATAGGAAGGAGCATTCATTTACACATAAGAATAACTAATCCGTGAAAGAAAAAGTTATAAATTCTTAAACCAGAAAAAAAAAGGACTTCAAATAGTCTTAGTATGACATGTTGAAAGGTCTAATTTGGTGCTACAAACCTAAGATTGCTTCTCTGGAAGAAACAATAAAGTGTTTTATGTTCGTATGGAAGGGTCTCACTTTCATTATCGTAAAATCTTAGCACCATATGCTAAATAAATCAGCATGGTACTTTTAATGCCTGTCTGCTTCACTGTTTCCCACCCAATATCCTATGACCTTTGTATTTTAGTGTCAGTAAACAGAGGTTAGCATCAGAACTCTGTTCTGGGTTCCTGTTGCCATTGTTTGAGCAGAGCTTGCCAAGGGCCATGCTAACTGGTGACATGAGGATGGCTGGTGGTATGTGACAGTGTGGAGATGGGGAAGGATGTGTGTGTCCATCTGGATGGCTGAAGGAGGAGGTGGCCCATCCTATGCACCTTCACAAGATTGTCACACAGGAAAGAAGTTTCAAAAATATACTGTTTGTTGTTATTGAAACACTATAGAGAATTTTATTAGCTTAAATGTCATATAATTTCTTAATTAGAAATTAGAAGCCTAAAATTTCAGTGGTTTGTCTCATCCTCTTTACAAAGGAGACAAGAGGATGCTATTCAACATTTCAGGGCTCTGCTCATCTGAACCATTCATTAGAAGTAACCTAACAGTTGAACCCTCATACTTTCACTTATATTTACACATAAAGAAAACCTGAGCTTCTTAGTACTTATCCAAGCTCATACCTAAGGACTCAGCATTCTCTTCAGGCCTGTGAACACACCCTGGGCAGACCTGGAACAAATTTGATTCTGAAACCTGGGTTGACGAAGCAAACTATCATTTACCTTGCTCAGTTCCACTTGATGTTGACTTTCTGAATTTGCAGAGCTGAGTTCCCAGGGGAGCCATTCCCTAGGGTGGCTCTGGTGATCTTTTCCAGCAGAATTCTTCTGCTCTCCTGGGGAAAGGTAAGTAATCCTATGTAAAGCTGAGGAAGATGGTGATGAGCCATTTTTTGTCTCATCCTACAGCGTCAAGAACTAGAATCAGAAAACAAAAAACTGAAAAATGAGCTAAATGAGTTACGAAAGGCCCTCAGTGAGAAAAGTGCCCCTGAAGTGACTGCCCCAGGTGCGCCAGCCTACCGTGTCCTCATGGAGCAGCTGACCTCTGTGAGTGAGGAGCTCGATGTCCGCAAGGAGGAAGTCCTCATCTTGAGGTCTCAGCTGGTGAGCCAGAAGGAAGCTATCCAACCCAAGGTGAGCATGAGCAAGTGGTGGAGGTGGGTGTTGGGGACTGGCCTCTTCCTGTTCTTTCCCTCCAATTTATGTGAAGGAAACATAAGTATATTTAGTCTAATTGAGGATATCATCATTTGAAAAAAGAGAAACTCAACATTGTTTAAAAACTGTTGCAAACACCAATTAGACTGAGCAAGAAGCCAAGTGAAATCCCAACTGCTTCTCAAAGTGTCACCTCTCACTCATTAACAAAGGGCTTTTAAAATAAATATTTTTATAGTAGTATGACCACGATAAGTTTTGATCAGAAATACAATTCTGTTAAGTACAAAAATCCATAAATTACCTTGCTGTGGGAAGCTATTAAATACAATTTTAAATTATTTGTTGAAAATCACCTGTTTAACTGGGAAGATAACATGTAAAGATTATACATGAGATCAACAAAGAGAAGCAACATGGAGATGATTTCTGCTCACCTCAGGGAATTCTGTTTAATGTGGGAGTGGGCCCAGATGGAAAGAGCCGTATTTAGTGATTCCACAGAAGGGACCTAGGATGGAGAATATAGATGGTTCTTTGAAGCCCTTCCCTGCCCTCAGGTAACTTCAGATTCAACACTGCTGTGTGTTGGTGAGAAGTGGACTTTTTGTCATTTAATACCAGAAAGAATTCGAGTAATCATCATAAAACCCGGTCTGTGTTCCTCCTTGTCCATGTTCATGCAGTAAATTGTTACCAAGAATTAGGCAATCACAAGTATCCCAGCTGCATGACATGCCATGTGAAAAATGACTGTAAGTCAGACAGAGACCAGTATATGCCATACAATATCACTTACACATGAAATCTAAAAACAGAAGCAGATTCATAGAACAAACTAGTGATTGCAGGATAGGAGGCATGTAGAGTGTTGGGTAAAATAGGTGAAGGCAATTAAGAGGTACAAACTTCCAGTTATAAATAAGTCATAGGGTTGTAATTTATAGCCTAGGGAATATAGTCAATAATACTGTAATAACTCTGGTGACAGATTGTAATTAGACATTTTAATGATCATGATCATTTTGTAACATATAAAAATATCTACTCACTTTGTTGCATAAATGAAACTAATATAATATTGTATCTCAATATAATTCAATTTTTAGAAATCTATAGCATATAATGAATGGGATCCTGGAAGGTTCAAGAGCACTTCTCTTAGAAATGGTAGTTCTGCATGTGGTTAAGATACCAGACCTGGCACATGACATACTTGATAACGACAACTCACACAGGGGACTGAACCTCTGAGAAATAAGCCTGCCTCTTTATGCTAGTTGGAGTAGAGTCCAAAATGAGGATCCGTTTGTCTGGTTTCCTATGACAAACTGATATTCTATAATAACCAGAAACTTTAGTAAAAGTTAATGGAAAGGAGAATGAACCAAGGAATATAAAAGCAGCTCCGCTCACAAGAGCATGTAGTTCTGGTGTCCTTCTGGTGTCACACACTCTCACCTACCTGCCTCACGTATCCATGTGATGACTTCTCTCCAGCCCCTGTTGGGATGGCCCTAACCAAGGTCCCTGCTCTCCAGGTTCTCAGCCCACACAGAGCAGCAGCTTGTTCTCTCTTAGGAGAAATGCACAGGACACTGACTAAGACCTTTCAACCCCAGGGCTGTTTGTCCCACTCCGTTTCTAGTCAAGAGACGTTTCACAGCTCCTTTGCAGGCGGTGACACCCCGTGAGCCAGGTGATGATAGAGCCCAGCCACATCTAGTTTACCTGCTCTATCTCTGCAAGTATTCTGGGAGGCTTCACTTGGACTAATGAATGACCTCCTGTCAAGGCATTCCTGAAACTCACAAAACTAAGATAAGAATTTCACCCCAGTGCATGAGCAGGAGGCTTGTTTTCTCACATCCTCACAAATACTGTACCATTAGAAAAATCAAAACAACTCAAAAAGAATTTCAACTGAGAATTAAGAGTTGCGATTCCATAAATATGTATGAATGTCCACCGCATGCCAGTTCCATGTATACTAATTTACATACAGAGTTAGTTTTAGGAGAAACCAGTCATGGTTGTTTTCACAGTTAGCTTTTTTCTCTTTTGGTGGGGACTCATTGATGGAATTTATTCATGGAACTAAGAGTTTGTTGTTTTTTCCATTTGTTTTTCGTGCTTGCTGACTTGTGATTTTTCAGGATGACAAGGTAATTCTAATTTTTTAATTGTCTAGCAAATACTTCTATTTAATCCTAATTTTTAGTTTGCAAATATCCCCCAATATATGCAGTTGATCCTTTCTGGCCACCAAATCTACTTTGGTATTTACAAATTAATTTCCTGTTTGACCTCTTCCTATTTGAGAAGTCAGTGGTAAAATTATGGATGTCATAGGTTCCTGTCCGGATCACAGAGAGGCCTCCACGACTTTTGAACTCAGAGTCAGCTCTGTGACCCTCAGTGGTAGTAATAGTGGGCCTCCACAACCAGGGAGGAAAACCCTTAACTCAGAAACACAAGCTCTCATTTCTACCAGCTGTGGGTTTGTTAGCCAAGGGTGGGGAGGAGCCTGGGGAGCTGAGCACCCCCTTCTTGGGAAGGGTGGGATTTTCCTACATGGCGCAACCCTTTCAGAACTTCTGGTTCCTGTCTTGGCAGAAGCTTTTTGAGCAGTGAGTAAGGAACTTCCTAGAGCTGGTAGTCTGAGTCTGATCCCATACTTACCTGTTTCTTAGCTAAGGTAGACCAGAGGAGGGAAGGAATGGCTACTTTATGCCATCTTTCCTTTGGACTGGCTCACTAGATCAACTTACCTAATTTACTAGAAGTTCAAAACCACATCATATGGATTCTCAGATGTCAGAGAATACATGTAGCATTATTTAATATAGAAACTGGTTCTTTGAGTTATTACTTAAAAGTAAAATTCTGAGTGTGGGGAATTCCCTGGCAGTCTAGTGGTTAGGACTCCATGCTTCCACTACAGGGGGGCACAGGGTCAGTCCATGGTTGGGCAACTAAGATCCCACAAGTCATGCAGCACAGCCAATTAAAAAAAAAATCTGAGTGTGGCTTTTTAAGAATAGAAGGATTTTCTGCCTTAATAAAAGAGAAAAAAAGAAATTTTCTATCAAATGTATAGTAAAATATATATAAAATATAGCTTAAATGCTTTTTAAGTGCTATATGTAGTGTTTATATGAAAGATTTTTAAAATTCAGTAGAATATAAATTCTTTATAGCATTTATCATATTTTAAGTATGAATTTGTAAACTCACAAAAGGACAGCATTAGCATATAAGTGGGATTTTTTTTTTTTTAATAAATAGTGGAATTCAAAAGCAAGTATTTATGGGCCTCTTGTTGGCATTAAAGTTATCTTGGTCTCTAAGATCACAATATTTGAAGTGTATTCTATTATCTCCACTGTACTGTGAGACCTGGATTTAGAGCAAACATTGACTAAAGGATTAGGCATACACTATTTAGACAAATAGAGTGGGCCCATGGATTCTAAAGGGCCCACTAAAAGGCTTTAGAGACTATTAGAACAGTTGTTTTTATTTTCTGTTCTTGCCCTGGCTTAGGAGGGATAGAGAGCAGCTGAGTAGAAGCAAAATTTTGAAATTATATTGGTTGTCAAACAGATTAGACAAAAAAGGAAGTAAAAATGTTAGCAGAAAAGTCCTTTCTATACAAAATCATTAGTTATTCTGACCTGCCAGATGTTTATTTCAAAAGCTTATATACTATTCCTATACTGTAACAGAGTAAAAAACACTGAATAACAGGACATGGTAGATAAATCCAAGGAGCTATATCCTTCCCATTTTATATATCCAAAGATGTGAGAGAAAACTTTAGTTTTGCTGAAACATATAATCTAAACACCATGTTTTTTCTACTGAGTTTTTAATGGAAAAATGAGTTTTGTGTCAAACTTTTCATATTTCTTAGGGCATTTGTTTTGTTATAATCAATCCAGAAGTAGAAGAAAAAACAGCTTTGTACATTCCATTGACTACTTTCTTGGTGTTCTTGCCTGGTTATTGTTTTAGAGCTATATATAGTGGATGGATAGATAGATAGATAGATAGATAGATAGATAGATAGATAGATAGAAAGAAATATATTTAAAAGTGTATATATAGCATTAGAATAGTAACCAGGCAAGAACACTGATATTTATGTATGTATTTCACACAGCATAAAACACACATGGCCCATCAATGATTTTGTTTACTCTGGAATTGCACCATCTTTGTAGTAGAGTGTTAGGGATTCTCACGAGAGGAACTGGAGGTGCCTTGTTCTCTTAACTACCTGTGCGCCACTCTCTGTAGTCACCCTGGGGCTAGGGCAGATGCTCTGGTGGGGCAGGTGTGTTGTGGAACACATAAACCCCCTATTGTGTTAGAAAGAAAAATGTTACATGTGGTCCAAAGCTTTTGTATTAACACTTAATGTGGAAATGTCTTTTCCCCTTTAGAACACAATGACAGATTCCACAATACTTTTAGAAGATGTACAAAAAATGAAAGATAAAGGCGAAATAGCACAAGCATATATTGGTTTGAAAGAAACCAACAGGTAAGTTGATCTTTCTTTATTCATTTTGGTTTAATCATGTTGATCTTTAGTCTTCAAGCTAGCCTCTTGTACAGTGAGTACGAGTGTTTATGCATTGTTTTGTTAGACATCAACTGACCTTCAAAAAGGATCCAAAGTTTCCAATATATTCCCAGTTAAAATCTCTCATTTATAAGACAGTAGCATTACTGATAAGAAATTGAAAGGAAAATGTTCTTTACATCAAGGGAGTATATTTCTGTGTTTTTAGAGCCTTAGCATTGAGAAAGAAAATCAATTACTTACTCTATAGCTTGGACTATCTTGGGTAGTCAAGTCACTTCTATTTGTTATTCAGGATGGTTATTTGTGAGAAGTTTGTAGGGGCAGCTGCAGCTTTCAGTAATTAAAATTTAATGTAAATTGAAATGTAAAGAGAAGTGATGAAGTAGCTGAATCACATCCATGTTGACCATATAATTCTCGAAGGGTACCATGACTTCCCAGGATGGGACCTTGATATTTGAGACTAAGAAATTGTCACATTTCCTAAGGTGTTCTAAGAAAATCCTAACTCTGATTTTTATCTCATTTACTCTAAACATGAATGAAGCTGTGGATGGCACTTAGCTCAGTCTTAAGAGCCTTGGGTGGGCTGAGAGTGCAGATTTGCACAGTCACTAAATGACTGAACTTTCCCCAAAGCTTTCCCTGTAGATAAGATTATCACTGCTCATTTCTGAAATTCCTTGGCTTTTCTGCCACTCCTGCTTCCCAAAGAACCTTCATGCTATTAAACTCTGATCTTAAAAGACTACATACTTAAAAGAACTTGGCCAGTGATGATAACAGAGATTATCAGTGTACATCTAGATCTCCTAATACATAATATCAGAATTGGTATACAGAAATACTTCACAGACTAAAGAATACTGCCATGCAAGATATAAGGTATTTACTACCTTCTTTTATGGACAGAGTAGAGAATGCTTATACAAGTATTTGGTTAAACTTAAATTTTAATTTATGAATGTAAGTTGTAAGCGTACCTTATAGCTGAGAATGTGTTAGTGTAAGAAGAGCTATATTAACTTGTTCATCCATCCACTCAGCTATTCAGTCACCAGATATATATTGTATGCCTGTTTCATCCCAAACCATGTACCAAATACTGGCAATAGAGCATTAAGCAAGGTAAATGCAGTCCTTCCCCTCACAGAGTTTATAGGGTGTTGGGGAGATAGCCAAGAGAATTTGGACTTCCCTGCAATGACAGTGGAAGCTGTTGAAAGATTTTTAGTAGGAGAATGGTATGATGAGATTGGAAAGCTAGCCCTGGCTTTTATGTTAGAGCATAGACTGTAGTGGAACAAGATTAAAACCAGAAAGACCAGTTAAGAGGTTATTCCCACAATTGAATGACTGATTATAGTGATTTTGACTTAGTTGGTAGCCATTGGGATTGAAAGAAGTGAGACACTTAGAAAGATACTTAAGAAGATGAGGTGAGCAGCCTTGCAGTTTACTGGATGTGTGGTCAGGGGTGGGGGATCATGAAGGACAACTCCACAGCATCTGTGGTGGATACATGGTTGGATATAGTGATCCCATTTCACGACCCTGGGTCTGGGATTTGGGGAACTACAGGAAATTATCAGTAGATTTACAAATATTTAAGAAAGTAGGAAGACATCCAAGAAGAGAACTTCATTCGGCGATTGAAAATGTAGATCTGAAACAGGAGAGACCTGTGGGCTGAGATGTAAATATTGAAGTCATCGGCATATAATAATACAATCGAGACCGTGCAAATAGACCAACTCTCCAGGGAGAGATGGTAAATGTAAAGTAGAAGAGCAATCTATGAAATTCATTTTATGTAAACATGATATCAACAACAAAAGTCTAGTAAGAGGAAGAAGATCCTGGGCTCTGTAGTCAGAATCTCATTTATAAGACAGTAGCATTACTGATAAGAAATTGAAAGGAAAATGTTCTTTACATCAAGGGAGTATATTTCTGTGTTTTTAGAGCCTTAGCATTGAGAAAGAAAATCAATTACTTACTCTATAGCTTGGACTATCTTGGGTAGTCAAGTCACTTCTATTTGTTATTCAGGATGGTTATTTGTGAGAAGTTTGTAGGGGCAGCTGCAGCTTTCAGTAATTAAAATTTAATGTAAATTGAAATGTAAAGAGAAGTGATGAAGTAGCTGAATCACATCCATGTTGACCATATAATTCTCGAAGGGTACCATGACTTCCCAGGATGGGACCTTGATATTTGAGACTAAGTTTTTGTCACATTTCCTAAGGTGTTCTAAGAAAATCCTAACTCTGATTTTTATCTCATTTACTCTAAACATGAATGAAGCTGTGGATGGCACTTAGCTCAGTCTTAAGAGCCTTGGGTGGGCTGAGAGTGCAGATTTGCACAGTCACTAAATGACTGAACTTTCCCCAAAGCTTTCCCTGTAGATAAGACTATCACTGCTCATTTCTGAAATTCCTTGGCTTTTCTGCCACTCCTGCTTCCCAAAGAACCTTCATGCTATTAAACTCTGATCTTAAAAGACTGCATACTTAAAAGAACTTGGCCAGTGATGATAACAGAGATTATCAGTGTACATCTAGATCTCCTGATACATAATATCAGAATTGGTATACAGAAATACTTCACAGACTAAAGAATACTGCCATGCAAGATATAAGGTATTTACTACCTTCTTTTATGAACAGAGTAGAGAATGCTTATACAAGTATTTGGTTAAACTTAAATTTTAATTTATGAATGTAAGTTGTAAGCGTACCTTATAGCTGAGAATGTGTTAGTGTAAGAAGAGCTATATTAACTTGTTCATCCATCCACTCAGCTATTCAGTCACCAGATATATATTGTATGCCTGTTTCATCCCAAACCATGTACCAAATACTGGCAATAGAGCATTAAGCAAGGTAAATGCAGTCCTTCCCCTCACAGAGTTTATAGGGTGTTGGGGAGATAGCCAAGAGAATTTGGACTTCCCTGCAATGACAGTGGAAGCTGTTGAAAGATTTTTAGTAGGAGAATGGTATGATGAGATTGGAAAGCTAGCCCTGGCTTTTATGTTAGAGCATAGACTGTAGTGGAACAAGATTAAAACCAGAAAGACCAGTTAAGAGGTTATTCCCACAATTGAATGACTGATTATAGTGATTTTGACTTAGTTGGTAGCCATTGGGATTGAAAGAAGTGAGACACTTAGAAAGATACTTAAGAAGATGAGGTGAGCAGCCTTGCAGTTTACTGGATGTGTGGTCAGGAGTGGGGGATCATGAAGGACAACTCCACAGCATCTGTGGTGGATACATGGTTGGATATAGTGATCCCATTTCACGACCCTGGGTCTGGGATTTGGGGAACTACAGGAAATTATCAGTAGATTTACAAATATTTAAGAAAGTAGGAAGACATCCAAGAAGAGAACTTCATTCGGCGATTGAAAATGTAGATCTGAAACAGGAGAGACCTGTGGGCTGAGATGTAAATATTGAAGTCATCGGCATATAATAATACAATCGAGACCGTGCAAATAGACCAACTCTCCAGGGAGAGATGGTAAATGTAAAGTAGAAGAGCAATCTATGAAATTCATTTTATGTAAACATGATATCAACAACAAAAGTCTAGTAAGAGGAATAAGATCCTGGGCTCTGTAGTCAGACAGCACCTGCCAGGTATCTAACTTCTAAACCTTGGTGTCTTCTTCTGCAATATGGCAAATGATATACATTGTTATTAGGAGAACTAAATGAAATAATGCCTATGGAAGGATGTAAAACAGTGTCTGATACTTGGCAAACACTCAAAATATCATTTTTATACACTTGTAGAAAAAACCTCTAATCAGTTTCATCATTTTTATTTGTTAATTATACATATCTTTAATAAAATGTGTGACTTTAATAATATAAAAGCAATTTTCCCAGGTCTTAAAATTAATTTTTGACACAAAATTTTTTTTAATTGTATCATAAAAGCTGGGAACTTTGGACATATTTGTGTTACTCCTATAAGAACTTTTAAAAGCAATTTTAAAAATACAAAACTAGATTTTATCAAGCTAAAACAAATTCCTACCCAGAAGACTTAAAACTTCATTTTGAAGTGAATTATGAAGATCGCCACAGGAAGACAGTAGCTTAAATTTTCATTCTATATGTGTATGACTGTTGTGGCTAGTCTCTAACATAATGTGTGACATAAGATCACTCTGCCAGCTGAACGAAATGTTAGAAACAAAACGTCTTTCTTACCTCCTGAGTCATTTATTATTTTGCAGGAAAAGTAGCTCTGGATCCTTGATTATTTTGTTTTAAATTGTCCACCTTTACATGTGATGTTACATATTACTCATTTTTTTAAAAAATATTAACCAAAAATAATTTCTGTGGTAATGTCTTAAAGTCATCTGTAATTAATAAAGACAGTCCTAGTGACTTAATAACATATTGAGATACCATGTGCTACTGTTGACCATCGCCATCTCATTACCACCCTGTATCCCTTTGTGTTTTGCATTGTTGTTCCTTTTGCATGGAAGATCATCTGCTATGGATTGCCATGAGTTGAATGAGGATGGAGAGCTGTTGCTGGTTTATGAAGGGTTAAAACAAGCCAACAGGTTATACTTATCTCCTCAAAATGGAATGTTATTAATTTGTTGTTTTTCTTACTAACAGTGGCCTCCTGACTTTAACTTCTGTATTTCTTATACACTGTCTTCCTGGGTAAATTTCAGACCCTAAAATTTGTGAATATCTCACTAAGAGTGGAAGAAAACCCAAACCTCTCAACTAGAGCCCAAACAATTGTAGGAAAGATTAATACATATTCCTTAGCAGTTTCTTGTTTGGAATCATGACCAATTCAAAGGATATCTGACCCTGGGCAATAGAGCTACATTCTCATATAATATCATCATGCTGCCTAGCAGCAGTATTAAGTACATGACTTGGCATTCAGTGTGGTGGTTGTGAAATTCAGATTTGTGAAACAGCAAATCAGAAGGGTTTCCTGCACAGCCATAGTTCAAAATAATTACCCAAACTCATCATGTTAAACATGTTTAGGAGAAAGCAAATAAAACTGAAACAGCAGAACCTTTCTAACACAGACACTCATCTCCTCTAGAGATACTTGTGTCTTAAAGTCTTAAAAATACTGGGGTTTTTTGGTCCTAAAAATACTGTTTTTATGTCTTAAAAATACTGTTTTAGTGATTAATTTTTAAACTACTTAATAGACTGTTTTATTCAAGGAGCTTCTACTTATTCTGCTTTTTTCTTATCACACACTGTTGTCATTAACTTTGTGGTTTTATTGGTTCAGATTCTTTGCAAATTTCATAATCCCCCAAATATTTTTTGTCTGTTGTTTATAATAGTATCAGTAAGTTTTGCCCAGCATTTGCTGACCAAGGGGATTGGAATAAAAACATCTTTTCTTTCTTCCTGTTAGTTAGTTCCTATCTATTACCTTGTCTTGTCTTCGGAAAGGAAGTAAATGTAGAATGGGCGTGCCTGGTAGAGGGAGGTTGCCAGTTGGCTCTGGGGTTCTCCGGCCAGGGCCCTAGTCCATGGCACAGCTGGCCTGTATGTTTGCTCAGAGAAGCTCAAGAACCACTCTGTTGGTCCCATTAATAGTGAGCTTCCAGAACCATATCTTGTTAGGATTCTCCTACTGATAAGGAAGGTTATAGGGGAAAAGATGACAAATTTAAAATATAAACAGAATTTCAGAACTCTGTCTGCATTTGGGTAAATCTGTATGTATTTCAGAATAGCACTCCGGCCTTTCTTTCTTCCCTTCAGAGATAAAAGTAAAAGTGGGACCCTGGTCACAACCCCCCTCCTGGAATTAGTAATGCTGAAGATCTTCAAGGCAGATTTAATTAAAGTGGGCATTTGTAATCTTGCCCTCCACAGTGATTGTTCTGTGGCAAAGGCATTATAGTAATACTGATTTTGCCAACTTAAATGCTACTTTAAATTAATGCTACTGCAAATGTAGTAAGCCAGTTTAAATTGTTTTAGTCTTTTAAATTTTAAATTTTTCTTTTAAATTGTTTTAGTCATAATTTCCTATGAAGCTTTCAAAGAAGTAAAATTCTGCTGTTTTTCAGGGCCTCTGAGAACTTTGTATTTGTAGCAGGGTCCTCAATTCAGAAAGACAGATATGTGAGTGCATTCATTTTGTTTCTGGCTCCATCTGAGTTTCTAGACTCTAATCAAGCCAGAAGCTACACAGACACTACAGAGTCCCCATTTTTCTGCCTTTGCAAGTGAGCTCAAAGCCTCACATGCACCAGGTAGGGACTCAGATGTCACCTCCCTTTCCTCCCTGTGTGGCTTCTCCGCAGGCTCCTGGAGTCCCAGCTGCAGTCTCAGAAGAGGAGCCATGAGAACGAGGCTGAAGCTCTCCGCGGGGAAATCCAGAGCCTGAAGGAGGAGAACAACCGGCAGCAGCAGCTGCTGGCCCAGAACCTACAGCTGCCCCCAGAGGCCCGCATTGAGGCCAGCCTGCAGCACGAGATCACTCGGCTCACCAATGAGAACCTGGTAAGGACAGAAGAGCGGCCCTCTCGCTTTTGGAGCAAAACCCCCTTCCTGGCTGGGAAAGATGCCGTTCACTGCCCCGCTCTTGTGGCCCTCTTTCTCCAGCCCAGACACAGTAAGGAGATACAACTATGTTGGTAGAAGTGAAAAAGGTGTGGCTCAGGTGGTTTGTCACAGCAGGCTCAGGCACCTCTCAGCGCCTCAGCCCTCACTTGGAGGGTCTGGAGGATACTGGCCGACTGTGTGCTGGGGTCTCGATATCCTTGAGAGCTCCACTTCCTCCGCTGCAGCTGCACAGTCTTCGCCATCCATGAGGTTGCGTGGTTGTCACAACCTTTGGTCCCCAGGCACCACTGAGGCCCTCCCAGCCCCTTCTCACGCAGACAGCAGGGTTAGAGTTAGTCAGGGCGCAGATGGCAGAACCAAAGAGGGCTGGAGGTTGACCTTGGTTGGAACTCCAGGGTCAAGGAGAAACATCAGGATTCAAGTTTCTGCATTCTTGATTCTTTTTAATAGAATTCAGACAGTGAGTGGAGAGATTTTTTTTCCCTTGCCAGATGGATTCTGAGTGATGGCACAAAGTTGTCCTTTCTTTTATAGAAAATATTTTCCAAAATATTTCTTTCTCAGTCACAAAATAACTTTTATTACAAATTTCTACTTAGGTTTGATAAACATATTTATTAAATTAAAAGTCATTGAAAAGTTATATCTCCTTTTTTTTTTTCCTTTTTCTTTTGGCGGGTGGTGGTGGGGCTTTGCCACACAGCTTACAGGGTCTCAGTTCCCTGACCAGGGAATATGTCTATATAAAATCTATACTGAAGTGTCAGGCTGGTTTTTAGAAAAGCTGTTGAGGGCTAGTGGTAATTGTTTCTTTAATTCAGAATTCTAATAACTTGTAATAAAATAGTTAGGATTTTCTCAGAAAATTTAACAACCTGAATTATCCGTTAGTGATCATTTGCATTACAGATAGTTTCCTAGTGTCATCTGCTCAACCATCTTTTATATTAGTTGGAAGCAAAACCCAAAGGTATTCTTTTCCCAGTCTGTCCTTCCTTCTGAGGACAGCATGCTGGTGAGACTGTGGGAATGGGAGAGATGGGTGAGGGACTTGAAGTCTAGACTCTTTCCAAAGTGCCTGAAATATCACTGATTTGTGGGGGAAGATCTGAATCATGAACTATTTCGAGATGTCATTTTATTACTCACAAATATATTGTTGTTTAAACTAACAGTGCTTCAGTGCTTAAGAATTGATAAATTACTCAATAACATAATAATGATTAATTAGCATATAAACTCTGTGCTTTTAAATCATTATCTTAAAATACAAGGTGAAACCATGAAATAAAGATGCTTCTGAGTGGTAGATTCTCAGAGCTGTTTTGCTAAGTTGGTTAAGCATTTCCCTTGCAATCTTGTGTGCATTATTACTTTTCTTTTCGATTTTGTATAACTGATACAAAAATAAATCAGTCCCTTCCATATTCTAAGCTGGTGAAACTTAGTTTGTGTTTTAGGAAAACTCTTTGTAGGTTCATCGGCTTCTCCTGCCTCACTGATTGCTAATTCAGGAGAATGGATTCACACTTAGAGGGGATGATGCAGTTTTTCACTGTCATTAGAGTGTCTTAGTTTTGCATTTCTGTAGGAAGCACTTGGGCAGAATATTAAGTACTGGTGGGCCTAGGCTTTGTGCTCTTCGAAACTCTACCCTGAAAACCCTTCCCAGCCACCTACGCCACAAACACAAACACAGAGAGGACTATTCTGCCTCCTCTAGTGAGCAAACTTCACAGCCTGCCCCAAGCTGCCCTTCAGAGAATGAACGCACACAGCTTCTGTCCAGTCTTTCCAACATCAAACAAGAGCTCCAACTTTGCCAGTATTCTCACTTGTGTTTGAACTGCCGTCCCCACTGGTGCTGCTGCTGCTGGCAGCAGAGAAAGTGCAGCAGCCTAGAAGCAGGTCTGAGGAGTGAGATAACAGCCTTCTCTGGGGAATGTGGGCCACAGCTGTTCACCTGCTACCATCGCCTGTTTCCTCTGAGCATGTGGATGTAGAACCCTCTGTACTAGAAAAATTAGAGGGCACTGACAGATGTCAAAGCAGAGCCTTTTGTGTCTGTATATATAGATTCCTTATCTGTGTTTTAAAATATTTTAAAATTGATTTTGCTGAGAGGTAGCATTCCCCTCAAAGACACAGAGAAAAACGAATGTCCATTGTGCCTGTTTTTTCAGTATTTTGAGGAATTATATGCAGATGACCCTAAGAAGTATCAATCATATCGGATTTCACTTTACAAACGGATGATTGTATGTAAAAGAGTGCTTTTCTGTCGTCTTCCTCACTGTTTCTAGCCCTCTATAAGCGAAGAGCACTCTGCCTGCCCTTCCTGGGAGGTCTCTTCAGAAACTTTCACAAAACCTGTTTCTCCCCACAGCTGTCTTTTAGCCAGTGATGTCGCCTCTGTCAGTGTCCTGCGTCCATTGTCACCTTTGGTTTGTTATTAACACTAGGCTTACAGTGTGATGGAAGCAAAATATGACTTGAAAGGTAAAGTAAAAATCCAAGAAGCACAACTGAACACTTTGAAATGTTAGCAACTGTTCCTTTTGAATCATTGGTCTAATATCTAAAAATCAGCCCTGTCTAAATTGGAAAAACAATGAATACTTGTATTTATAAACACCTTTTAAAATCCATAAGCTGAATAACAACAACAAACCTCTTAAATCATTGCTTTATTTGCGCTTGAAGCTCCTAGTTTGCTGTTGCCCACTTTTCTTCTTAATTATTGATCGTTTGACTCTGTCTGTCATTTGAAAGAATTCTTGATTAGGGAACCACATATTACACCTTTTTTTTTAAACCCTGCCTGTGAATGTACTGCTTTTGTTTTCTCTTTTTGCACAAATTATATGGAATTATCCCCTTTTTTCCCTATAAGCAAAATTATATTTTGCAATTATAAATTATATTATTATATTAGATAATATAATCTCTATGGGTATGTTAGAGATTTCTATGGGTGTGTTATCTAACTGCCACTTAGTCTGTCAACCACTCTATACTGTTCTTTGTGGTTATTTTTTAACTTACCTTTTAATTCCCGAAACCTCTTAACTTTTCTTAAGTTACAGGACTAGTTTTAGCCTCTCCAAAGGGTGGAACTCATAGAGACAGTGCTTCACACACTTCAGTCAGTCAGTTCAGTTGCTCAGTCGTGTCCAACTCTTTGCGACCCCATGAATTGCTGCACGCCTCCCTGTCCATCACCAACTCCCGGAGTTTACTCAAACTCATGCCCATCAAGTCAGTGATGCCATCCAGCCATCTCATCCTCTGTCATCCCCTTCTCCTCCTGCCCCCAATCCCTTCTAGCATCAGGGTCTTTTCCAATGAGTCAACTCTTAGCATGAGGTGGCCAAAGTATTGGAGCTTCAGCTTCAGCATCAGTCCTTCCAATGAACACCCAGGACTTATCTCCTTTAGGATGGACTGGTTGGATCTCCTTGCAGTCCAGGGGACTCTCAAGAGTCTTCTCCAACACCCCAGTTCAAAAGCATCAATTTTTCAGGGCTCAGCTTTCTTCACAGTCCAACTCTCACATCCATACATGACTACTAGAAAAACCATAGCCTTGACCAGACAGACCTTTGTTGGCAAAGTAATGTCTCTGCTTTCTAATATGCTATCTAGGTTGGTCATAACTTTCCTTCCAAGGAGTAAGCGTCTTCTAATTTCATGTCTTCTAATTTCATGGCTGCAGTCACAATCTGCAGAGACTAGGTGTCAGTTAAAAGCCCCTAAGTTCAACCATCCTTAAAACTTCACAAAAAAATGTGCATTCATCAAAATTTACCTTGCTTATTCCCCCTTTAAATGAAAAACTTCTACTGAGATAGCAGTACATTTTATGAGCATTTGATTGTTTTGCCCCCACGGAGTCTACTGGAGTCTACTCGCCCCACAGTGAGCCTGCTGTCCATCACACTGTAAGGAGTTACTGCACTGTGTATTTTAACATTTGCTTTATTATAGCTGCCTTTCCTATCGCCTCCTGGTTTTAGCCAGGTGGGGCTCCACCAATGAACTTTTATGGAGCTTTTATGTAAAACTAACTTTTTATGTAAAACTAAGTACTGTTCCTATAACTTTATGTCTGCTTCCCTTCTCTGCATTTTAGATGGCTTATTTTGATCTTTTTGTTATATTTCTCATTTTGATCTTTAGGATTTGATGGAACAACTCGAAAAACAAGATAAGACTGTCCGGAAACTGAAAAAACAACTGAAAGTATTTGCCAAAAAAATTGGTGAACTAGAAGGTATTTATGTTTTTATGACAGTTGCTGAACCTTGGTTTTATATACTGTACTAGTGGCTTAAGAGTATGGCTCAATTTGTGTGTGACTATTAGGGACAATAACAAAAATGACTTTCAACAAACCTGGCCTCCTTGGAGTGGAAATTTTCATTGCTAGGTGGGGAGAACTGTTTTCATGGTAGTAATAACTTACAAAGAGAGAATTCATTCAATAAATATCTAATGGCTATCTTCTATATGCCAGGTACTGTGCTAGGCAGTATTGCATCAGTTAAGAGCATGGATTCTGTAGCCAAGTTTCTTGGGTTTAAATACTGGCTCTTCCACTATTAGTCATCTGATATTGGGCAAGTTACTGAACCTGTCTATTTCTCAGTATTCCCACCTGTTAAATGGGAATGATAATAATATCTACCTGACATGGTTTGTAATGATTAAATTAATTAAAATGTGGAATGAATTTAGTATGGTTCCTGACACAGTAAATGCTATCTACAGCTTATTTTTATTACTGTTATTCTTAGTATTAGGGATACTAACATGAGTAAGACAGAGTCTGTGTCCTCAAAGAACTATGGAGAACAAAAAGAGAACTAAGTAAGAAAAAATGAATTGTAGTTATAAAGGAGATTCTATAAAACAAGATGTATATCTGTTGATGATGGGAAAACACCTTGAGAAAGAATCAGTTTTTTTTTATTTATACAAACGCTTCTTGTGGGTGAGTGTTTGTTCCTTCAGTAAGTAGGTGCCAGGGATGTAGCAGTGAACAGGGCTAAAGCCACGTTGTAAGCTTATTCCAGCAACGATCTCATTGTTCTAGAGATTTTGAGCCCCTCTTTGGAATTGCCTTCAGACCTATGCAAGCTATTACCATTTTGACCAGAAATGGTACTGTGCAGTCTGACTACCCGTCTATTCTGTCATTGTCACTGAATAATTTTTGCTCTGCTCAAAGGGTAAACATTCCCCATCACCTCCCACCTTTATGGTTTTCAATGTCATGTTTTTAGCAAATTTTCTGTCTTATTACTGGCTTCCTCAATGGATTGTGATCTTTTTGAGCATGGTGACCATCTCTTATTTCCCCTTGTTTTCACAGCACCTAGCATATTGTCTGACCTGTCATAATCATTCCATTAATGTTTGTTGAATGTGTAAGTAAGTATCAGAAATATTTAGAACAGCAACATGGATATTTATTTTGAAGAGGATAATATTCCCTCCCATGTACAAATACTGAAATATTTGTTTAGATATCAGATAGATTACTTTATAGTCATGTTTTATTATATAATCCTTTAGCATTATGTGTTCCATCTATTAAAATTTTGAACCTCCAAATCACATACATGGGCTGTAATATCTGTTGGCAGAACTTTAAAAAAATCTTTATTCAGAGAACCTTTCTGCACTTAACTCTGCATTAATTATATCATGAGATGATAATTAGACAGCAGAGTATCTGCTTAAAAGAAACTGATTTTAAGGGTATTAACTTGTAAAATTATTTTTTAAGCTCCTAATGATTCATTTACCATATGTTAGTAACTTTTGATAAATAGAAGAATCACTTATTTTACATTTTTACTTAGCTTTCTTTGATATGTATATTTTTACTTAAAGGGATAGCTGAGAATATTTCATGATTTTAGTGATTTTAAGCCATTATCAATTAGAATTCAACCTTATCACTTAAACTATCCTACCAATTATATTCTTAAATCTATAAGGACATTTGAGAAGGCAATTCATAGATTAAACAAAAAAGACATGATAGTCTTAAAAACTGAGATAAATGATACACGTCTACAGAATAAGATGAAATTGGCTTATGCGTCTTGAGCACTTACTGAGTGTGGTGTCCTTCCCCTCCCCAAGGCAGAGCATAAAGGCTACAAGCTCTTCCCACACCATTATCTCCTGTTGTCTTATCCCCACAGTGTGTAGAAAACACTGATAACTTTGTATAGCAAAGCACCTTCTAATAGCTAAAAGTTTTCTTATTTTTTCTAAATATATAATAATATACTTAAATTCTTCTGGTTGAAAATAGAAAGACTTACCTCCTCCTATGGGCTCCACTTAATTAGAGAGACAATTTTAGATACCATCTAAGACTTTTTTTAATGCCAACATACCTAATTTTAGCAGAAATTATATATCTAAATCAAGAGTGTTTCAAAGTTTGATGTGCTTTGTGCTATATTTTAATCCAGGAGTGGGTGTTCCATTTCAAGTTTCATAAAGTCAGGGAATTTAGACCTAAAAGAATTCTAGAAATCAGTTAATTACTTCATAGGAGAATGGAGCTGAGGCCCAGAAACCGTGACTTCCAGAGTCTGAGCCACTTAGTGGCCAAAGTGGAACTAGAATCCATGCCTTCTGAGGACCACTGACTCCCCTCCTTTGTGCTGTATTTCTCAACACCCTCTTTCTTCTTACATTAATTCATTTGACTGTCTCAGTTAAACCTGAGACAAGATCTTCCCTGTACCAAAAGTGAGTGGGAAAAAATCTTCCAATTTGTTTTCTTTTTCTAGGATAAAAAGGTTCAGGAATGTTTTTCTCTCAAGTATAAATAATCTAGATGATAGAAATAGGTATTGCTTCAGATCTTTTAGAAAGATGTCTGTATTAGATGGAGCATTGGGCTAAATGACCCCCAGCATCCCTTGAGTCTTTGAAAATTGTGTGGTATTCTGGCCTCTCTCTTTCAGGTTTTATATTTTCCTGATACTACATAAGGGTTGACATTTTAATTAATATATAATTTATTAAATAAATCAAGGTTATGTTGAGCTGATACCTATATTTTATCTGTGAGTTTTTGTAAAGACTCTAATCTCTGACAAGAATTCAAAGACAGAGAAAATTTTAATGAAAATATGGCAAATTTTATCTCTGGCATATTTGTACAGAACCAAAAATATCTTCTTTAGAGATATGTGAAAGGAAAGTGAAGGTTTCTTTTAAAACATGTAATCTCTTAGTTAAAATAGTCAACTATATTTCGTAAATTCTGAGGCGCATAATTTTTCACATTTTAACATCTCTGAAATTACGATGTCTCTTATAGCAGTTGTTAGATTGTAATTTAATTGGCAGTATTTTCCTTCCTTGGTGTTATATAAAATAATACTATATGTCATAATCAAATATGATAAAATCAAATATGGTAAAACGTTTAAAACATTTTGAGTTATTCAGAATCCACATATGTGCATTTGTTGATAAACTTAGTATCAATACATTGAATCTGTTTCCTTCCAGTTTCCCTTCATAGAATTGTTCCTGTGGCTCAAAGCAACTAGTTCATAGATGGCAGGGATTCTATTATTTTGTTTTATATACAGAGCATATACAGGAGCTGTGAGGGCCATTGTATGCTGATTCTGAGATCCCCCTGGTGTTGTGTTTAAACTGTCTCCAGAAATAATTTATGTAAAACTACATAACTTGAATCTCATATCTCTTGTGAAGATGCATGCATTTTTCCGTTAGTCCTGTGGTTCCAGACTGTATCATACATCTGAAACACTAGGTTATGGGAGGTGGCCACAGCCCTGATTTGTCCAGTTACAGTATGATCGCTCTTTAGATATCTATCATAATGTTGATAGACAGTGGTGATTTTCAGCGCTGATAGCCCCGATGTGTGATGCTGCAGCATGAGGTGGACAAGGTGTCACCAGGCTCTCTGCCACACGGGCAAGCGCGCTGGCAGGTACTGCTGTTCTCTGTGATAACCTTGTGTGTGGAACTGGCTTCCCAGAACTAACTCAGGAAATTGCCCAGAGTGACAGAAGCACTACTGATACCTTGTGGACTCAGCAAGATAGAACTTTCTAATGCATCTGATCTGCATTTTGTTTGCCAACAGTCTCTGAACTCAAACTTAATCTGCACTTAAATAGATGTCTTAACTGCTCCTCTTCCTATAGATAAGAGAATTAAAAATGTGCTTGCTAGCATATAGCTCCACAAACACCTTGTAACTCACGTTACCTTGCATTTCCCAGATGAAATGAAATTGGAGACTTTTCTTTTAACCCCGAGTTCTTTTCTCACAGCTGCCATCAACAATAGTGATTATTTTTAACATCTGAAAGGGTTGTTCACCAGTGGTTGTACTTCTTTGGTTGCAACTTTGTGGTAGGATTTTTAACACTTTACTAAAAACAAACAAAAAAATGAATAAATTTAGGAAATTATTTTAATATTAAATACAGAGGCTTCCCCAGGTGACTCAGTGGTAAAGAATCTTCCTGGTAGTGTGGGAGATATGGGTTCAATCCCTGGGTCTGGAAGATCCCTTGGAAAAGGAAATAGCAACCCACTCCAATATTCTTGCTTAGAAAATCCCATGAACAGAGGAGCCTGGCAGGCTATAGTCCATGGGGTCACAAAGAGTCAAACACAACTGAGCACACACACACACAAACATATTAAATACAGGTGGTTTTATCCGCTCATGGTGTCTTCAGGAATGAGGGGTGCCTCTATAAAATATTGAATTTCCTTCTCTGAATTAAAGTCTAAATATATTTAGACACTTATGATTGATACTGATTAGTTAACTAAGAAGTTAAGCCACGTACTTTGGGGACATTTAATCTTATTACAAAATAAAATGTATCACAAAAAGATGCTTTTGAATCAAGTAAGATTCTTGATGTTGATAGTAGTAAGTACTAGTTGTTGTCAGAGTGACAGTAACATATGAATTTACCATCTATCCATCCAGTTTTACCAAAAAAAATTACTTAAAGAAGGGGCAATTAAGTGGCAAATATGGCAAGTTTCTGTTGTTACAGAGTTCATTTAAAATTAATAGGAACATGAAACCACTCATCTTTTCTACCTGGAAAACATTTTTCTTCTTTTTGTTTCTAATGAAGTGGGCCAGATGGAGAACATATCGCCAGGACAGATCATTGATGAACCCATTCGTCCAGTCAACATTCCTAGGAAAGAAAAGGATTTCCAAGGAATGCTGGAATACAAGAAGGAGGATGAGCAAAAACTTGTGAAGAACCTGATTCTGGGCAAGTATTTCCTGTGTGAGATGAAAGGTCTTTATGGTATGTGTCAGTGGTGGGAGGGACTAGTCACTCATTTATTAAATATTCACACTGGTTTCTTTAGTCATCCTTGCATGCTGTGTGCAGTACTGCCACAGCATTCTGACCCCATTGTGGCTGTCAGTCACCCTACAAGGACGCCAGCGAGGACTGCCTGTTAGGGTCACGTGAGACCTCAGCTCCTGTTGCCCGTTACAGGAAGCTTTTGAAAACTGTTGACGTATGTTCCCCCCTGCAGACTAATTACATCAGAATGTCTAGAGGAAAGAACTTAGCCATGTCCCTAGTTATTTTTTTTTCTCTCTCAAGGGCTTCTGACGTGTAGCTAGCTGCAGTTGAATACCCCTGCCCTAGGCCACTTAAGTCCCTCAATTTCTCTTCTTCCTTACTTCCCTAGGAAGGTATATAACTAAATATGTCAGGAAAAACAGTTTAATAGTAGGGAAGGAACAGAATTAAGGAAAAGATTCCAGCAGTGGGAAGAGAGGACTAACTGGACAATGGAGATGGGAATAGAAGAAGCCCTTTAAAGCAGCAGAAGGCCTTTGAGCAAGCCCACTGGCTCTGCAAGAAGACTTTTTAGGGGAGCATGGGAAATAGTTCAGGAGTGTATGCAGCCCATAAGTTGTGAGCTCAAAACACTACAAGCCTCTCCTTTCAGCCTTTGCAGAGCATTCCTCCCCCCAGGTGCCAGGGTGGCAGCAGTGTGATTGGCAGTGGTTTAATGTTCCTAGAGTTCATGGTGTTAAACTTAGAACTATATATAGATGCAGAGGTGCTTAGGTTTCAGTGTGATCTTCATTTTGAAAAAATGGTAAGAAGCCACTCGCTTTTAAGCATAGAATTTAAAAAAGATTCATCAGTTCGATAATCGTTTGGGGCATTCCTACCGTGTGCTAAGCATTTTCTAGGTATGGGTAATAAAGTCCCTTGGTGGATGTGCTTGGCTGAGGAGCCAGTGGGGCGAAGCTACCATCTGTGGGATTATGACTGAACGCCTCTAAGTCAGAATCCCGCCCAGGCGGAACGATACGGCAGCGCCGGGGAAGCTCGGTTGGCCTCCAATAGCTCGGTTGGCCTCCGATAGCCGGTCCCCCGCCGTTCCCCCGCCATCCCCCCGCCGTCCCCACCGGCGGGCCGTTGCCCGTGTTCCTCGGGGCGCCACACGTCGGGACCGGGGTCCAGTGCGGAGAGCCCTTCGTCCCGGGACACGGGGCGCGGCCGGAAAGGTGGCCGCCCCCTCGCCCGTCACGCACCACACGTTCGTGGGAACCTGGTGCTAAACCATTCGTAGACGACCTGCTTCTGGGTCGGGGTTTCATACCTAGCAGAGCAGCTCCCTCGCTGCGATCTATTGAAAGTCAGCCCTCGACACAAGGGTTTGTAAACAAAGTCTCTGTTCTCAAAGAGTTTATATTCCATGGGGTAGGGGGAGGTAGATAAAAACAAATAAGGGGGTGAGAAAGATAAACAAGGAAGGCAGGTGTACGAATTTATATAAAGTTGTTAGGGAGGGCCTCTTTGACAAGGTGATCTCCTTTGGACAGAGACCAAAGGAAGTAAGGAAGCAAGTCCTGCTGATAGCTGAGGAAAGAACGTTGCAGACAGAAAGCCTTGGGGTGGGCACATGCCTGGCGTCTTCACCCAGCAACAAGGAGACCCATTTAATGGGGGAGCACAGTGAGCTGGAAAGGGGAGCAGGCCAGATCACACAGCCATGGTGAGGATTTCGGGTTTTACAAATGAGTGAGATGAGAAGCTACTTGAAAGATTTTCATAACAAGAGTGACATGATCTGACTACATTTTCTTATAGAATTACTCTGGTTGTTGTGTGGAAACTGTACTACTGAGGATCGAGGGGTGAGTCAGGGAGACCAGTTGGGAAGCTCTCACTGGGACCCAGGAGAAGATGGTGGTGGCCTAGACTAGGGGAGCTGGTAGAGAAGTAGCAGGATTATTCTGGACATGTCTTATGTGTAGAGCCAACAGGATTTGTTGATGGATTAGATGTGTGATGTGAGAAAAGGAAAGAAGACAAAGATGATGACAAGGTTTATATTCTGAGAAACTAGAAGGCAGAGACTGCCACTTACTGAGATGGGACAACTCCTGGAAGAGCAGGTTCCATGGGGGGTGGGTTTTGTGGGACAGGCCTGAGCAGAGATGTCAAAAGCCACTTGTTCCATGAGCCTAGATTCAAAGGAAAAGTCAGGGCAGGAGAGAAACATTTGAGAGTTATCATTGTGTAAGCAACTAATATTCTCATGTCCCTACAGTCAAGAAATCCTCTACTCTAAAATATGCTTTTTTAAAAACATGAACCTATTAACGCTGAATGATTGAACTATTACATGAGAACTGTGCCTTTATATCTCAAAAAGCATTCCTTATGAAGACTTTCAAAGTTATATAAGACTGTTTTTCCTCTTTTCTTTTTTAGAACTGAAGCCACGTGGTGTAGCTGTCAATTTGATTCCAGGGTTACCAGCGTATATCCTGTTTATGTGTGTTCGACATGCTGACTACCTGAATGATGATCAGAAAGTAAGGTCGTTGCTAACATCAACAATTAACAGCATCAAAAAAGTATTAAAGGTTAGTTCATGTTCAACAGATTTCTCATAATGAATATTAATGATGACAGGGTCTATACAGAGGTATTTTTCCATCCTTAGACATGAGCTAAGTTGCCAGTTATGGCCACATTTTAGTCTTAACTGGTACCTTCCATTATAGGAAATATTCATTGTCTGTGTGCTTTCTTTCAAAACAGGGCTCAGATTGAACAATAATAAAAATTAATTCAATATATTTACATTTAGTTGTGAAGTAAACTGAAATTCTTCATAGAAATAGTCTGCTTTGAGGTCTGTCTCAGAACTAAATTAAAAATACTTAGTGAAGTTCATATATACAGGGAATATGATTCTATAGTTAAAATAGATATTAAAAATGTTTAGGAATACCTAGCCCATTCATATAAAAAGCTGTCTGATAAAATATTTAAAATTCTCTTCTGACTTTTCTTCCCATTATTCTCCAGCTCACCCCATAATTTTCCTTGTTACCTGAAATGCCTGGTTTCATGTGAGCAGCAGCACATAGATACTAATCAGAGAGGAAACACTTGGAAAAGGCAGTGAAGTTACATAATAGAACAGAAAGCCCTACATAACTCAGTAATCACTGAGTCACGTTGCATAATCATCCTTTTGACAACCTAGAAAAACAGTGAACGTTATTCTTAGTTTTAACCGTTTTTCAGTGCACAGTTCTGTGGCATTAAGTACATTCATATTGTTGTATAACCATCACTATCATCATCTCCAGAACTTTTTCATCTTCCCCAACTGAAGCTCTGCACCCGTTAAACACTCTCCCCCAGCCCCTGGTCATAACTTTTAATGATGGTTCTCAGTCCCTACTGCACAGATACTCTATGCGGTTACATTCTACAGTGATTACTGAAGTGTTGAATTTCTAAATATTTTAACATTCAAAAATTGATGAATGTCTTCTGAATGGAGCTCATGTAATTTTTGGTATATTGATGGTATATTGCATTTGTTAGACTATGAATTTTACTACTTCTGAAGTTAACACCTATGAAGACAGCAAAACCAAATCATGAAGTTTTCTGCCTCTCATCTTAATTACAAGAAGAAATTTATCTAATTTGACTAATTATTGTACCAGATTGTTTAAAGATTTAAAATGAGTAGATACTTGGGACTTCCCTGGTGGTTAAGACTTCCACTTTCCAATGGTTAAGACTTTGCCTTCCAATGCAGGGGGTGTGGGTTTGATCCCTGGTCAGGGACCAAAGATCCCACATGCCTTGTAGTAGAAAAACCAAAACATAAAATAGAAACAATACTGTAATGAATTCAATAAAGACTTTAGAAAAAAAATAATTTTAAAAATGTAAAAAGCATAGATTCTTGAACATAACACTCTTTTGGAACATCCTTTTTTAAAATTGAAGTACATTTGTCTCGTGTCCTGTTTTGATTTAGAGTTGTTGTTTGACATGTGGCCCAGTACTGATGAAAAGCCACACTGTCCAGTGCTCTGCACAGGACTCCCTTAATCCCATGTCTGATTCGCTCCTCAGAAATTGTATCTTAATCACTGACAAGATTTTTCACCTAATCTGGGTTTTAGTGCTTCACAGTGTTTGTGATTCTCTTTTGTACCTTTAGTCCTTTCTTATTCCTTCAGTAACCCCCAGGGAAGTAAGTTTGGGTAAGCAAGACTTGGTGAATTGTTTTCTGCCTAAAGGGACTACTAAGCTATTATCAACGGAATGAATGGGCATCACTTTCTAATGGCAAGAAAACAGATGCCAGGCAAGGTAACAACTAATGAATTTAGTGGTTGAATTCTGTAGCAGCAACAGGAGGCTTTACAACTGTAATGTGATTTTTATAATTGTTGTTAATAGTAAGTGAAGGAAACGGGCCTTCTGGTATCTATTCTGTTATTTCAGGCTTTTGTTTCCATAAGGAAAAAACTAATTTAGGCTTATTCTCTCTTTTAGAAAAGAGGTGATGATTTTGAAACCGTCTCCTTTTGGCTTTCTAACACATGCCGATTTTTGCACTGTTTGAAGCAGTACAGTGGAGAAGAGGTGAGAAAACCTTGATTACAAAACCAGCATGCTATACTTTCTCTGAACTTCTTAAGGAAAAAATTTAAAGCACAAAATGTTTAGTCATTTGTTAATTTAGAAACCTGAATTCAGAAGTGGCTTGACAGTTTATAGTTCTATTTCACATTCATTATTTATGAAACTGACTTGGGAATTGACATAGTTTCTTCCCTCTGATAGTTTGTATTATGAGAAAGCACAGCAGAAATAAAATGAGCATTGGTCATTGAATAGTTATCGCACTGAAACTTTTTGTTAAGATGTGAAAATGGGGTTTTCAAGGATTGATATATTGAGCTGTTTAAAGAAATGAATTAATTTTAGCTTTCTATAGTACATTAAAAGTGATCATGTTAAAAGTTATCTCAAGATTTTTCCAAAAATATATTTTGCCTTTGCTTATAGTGATGTGTTCATCAGTTAGTTGATAGACTTCCTATTTCAAAACTACATATTTATAATTATTTATTAATGGCTACATAGTATATTGGAGAAGGAAATGGCAACCCACTCCAGTAATCTTGCCTGGAGAATTCCATGAACAGAGGAGCCTGGCAGGCTACAGTCCATGGGGTTGCAAAGAGTCAGGCATGACTGAGCAACTATCGCATAGTATATATCAGACAGCACTCACTATATATTACATCATTTAATTCTTACATCTCTGTGAGGTAGGAATTCTAACCCAGTTTTACAGTTGAGGAAACTCAAAGAAGTTCATCACTTTGCCCATGCCTTCTCAGCCATAAAGAGCTGAGCTAGGATTTTGGGTCTGCCCACCTTCAAGAGCTTGTGCCCGTAAATGCTGCCTTTCATGCCTCCCCATCCTTTGCCGTCAGGACAGGCAGAGAAGCTGAGTAGTGGCCGCTTTCTCAGCACTCACAGGCGTGGAGCAGAAGACTGTCCTGACAAATGATGGGAAATGCAGCATGAATAAGACACGGCCCCTGAGCAGGTGGGACTGACAGACCAGAGTCCTCCAGAGGGCCTGGTAACTGTCCTGTCAGTCCCCAGTTCTAGACCATGTTGTCGAGTAAGTTGTAGAGAGGCAGATGCTTGAGTGTGGCCAGAATCCATCAAGTAGGCAAAAGTACCTGCCTGTACAGTTGGCTTTCCGTGTTACCACATACCATCAAAAGATTCTGTTCTAAGCTTGGACTGCGAAGCCTGTATGAATACCATAAAATATAATAAAGGAAAATTATTTATTTATTATTTTATTTTATATTTTATTTATACCAGTCTCTGTAGAAATGACCAATTTTAAGAAAATTATGTATGTCCTTCAGGTATGGAATTTATAAACAAGACTCTATTTAATGAACTGAAGTTAAGAGATTGGTACTTTACATAATTTAGTGTTTGGCAGTAAAGCAGCTGTTTCATAAGTGAAAACACTCATTAGCTTTTTTTTCAAATTGATTTCCCCTATCTTATTTCATTGACATTGCTTGTGGAAGGGCTTAAATGCTAGACTGCCAAGTTTAGATATTATTCAAACGCTGGTAAGAAGTGGAAGCAGGGACATAATAGAAACAAACACAAAATTTGGGAAGGATTATCTTGGCACTTATATGGAGGTTGGATGGGAACTCTTAGGAGAAAGGTAAAAAAGAGCATGAGGATATTGATCAAATGAGAGAGTTAAACAGACAGGAGACATTTTATTTCATGTATGTCATTAACTGTACTATGGCTCTAGGGCTTTATGAAACACAACACCTCTCGCCAAAATGAACACTGCCTCACCAATTTTGACTTGGCTGAGTACCGGCAGGTGCTCAGTGACTTGGCAATTCAGATCTACCAGCAGCTTGTGCGGGTATTAGAGAACATCCTTCAGCCAATGATTGGTAAGTCCCGGGCATTGCTGACATCCAGGTCTGTCTCGTGGCACATGTATCAGAGCATGTATTCATATGAAGAAGGTAAAGTAGTAAGACTCAGTCTCAAAATTAGCTGAGGAATCTCAGAACCACAGCCATGACTAACTGGGGCACATCAAAATCCCTGCTTCTACGTGATGGAAATGGCAGGATCTATTAATAGTTTCCCTCTCTAATGTGTAATGCCTCTCTCTTAAGATTGGGTTATGCTTTATATCCAGCAACAGACCTCAGACCTTGTCCAGTTTTCAAAAACAAAAATACTTGAAACTTTCATCAAGGGCACTACTGCAGAGAACTTTCTAGGGACCCAACTAAAACTAAAGAGACTGAGGAGGGTTTGCAGATTACCTGATAGGCTATAGTAACAGGGCTGGGAAGGTACCATGGCAGCAAGAATAGGGCTCAGACTGTCCATGCTGAGTTGTTCATTTCAGGGCCCCTGTGAAATCGTTAAAGGCAATTTGGTTTGTTGCAGTTTCTCATTGGATGAGCAACTGATCAGTGTGTGTGTCTATGTATATGAGATTCCATGTACCTCTCTTTATATGTGTGCACTCACTCTGGGTATGTATGTATGTATCATGCTACCTATATTCCTTTGGAAAGTGTAGCAGGTGTGAAATTGGAAATAGGGGACATGTAAAAATTGCAGGCTACTGATTTTGTGCGTAGCTGTTGAGGGAAGCTCAGGTCAAGGAAGGGCCCAGCTCTCCAGCCCCATGTGACTGCCCTCTCCCAAGACCACTGCCTGGTCTCCTGCTTTTCTTACTACTTGAATTGTTTGCTTCTGAGGCTCGACACTACTGGAGAATACTTATCTTCTCTCTAATTGCCTCTCTCTTAAAAACCTCTCTCTCAAAAACCCTTCCAAGAAATTTTACACATGTGCTATTAAGACTATTGTTTCATATTTTAGAAAATAATCCATTAAAATTTCATGATAAATTTTTACATTTAAGGATAATTCTTTTATTAAAGTTTAAAACCCAGATGCCCTTTTACTTGTAGTTCCTTTTTCCCTCTATTTTGATACTCAAGTCATTTTCCTAAATTGTGTGTGTGTGTGCATGTGTGTGTGTTTGCATCATAATCTTCTTCTCTGACGTATGAACTTCTCCTTTAGTCTCCGGAATGCTGGAACATGAAACCATTCAGGGTGTCTCTGGGGTGAAGCCCACAGGGCTAAGAAAGCGAACCTCCAGCATTGCTGACGAGGGTACCTACACACTGGACTCCATCCTGCGACAGCTCAACTCCTTCCACTCGGTCATGTGTCAGCATGGCATGGACCCCGAATTGATCAAGCAGGTGGTCAAGCAGATGTTCTACATCGTGGGGGCTGTCACCCTGAACAACCTCCTCTTGCGGAAGGACATGTGCTCCTGGAGTAAAGGCATGCAGATCAGGTGAGCGAACTCCAACACCTTTCGTGGCCTTCTCGGGCTGCCTAACAGTCTGCTGGGGCTCACGTGCGGCGCGGGCACCCGTCGTCTGAAGCCCCCCAGGTGAGCGGTAAGGGCAGACCGGGCGTGGAGCCGTTTCCTCCTCCTGGCTGGACTTCCTCCACTGCCACGCGTGGTTGCTCCCAGCGTGCCTTCAGCCTCTGCTTGTTGGAACCAGGCTCCGTGTAAAGTTAACTCAATGAGGGGGTAAATCTTTTACTGATGTTTGAAATATGCCCCCGTCAGTTTTAAGGAAAGCTGCACTCAGTTTTGTCCAGCTGCTTCTCAGCATCACCTTGTTAGCATAATATAATTATTTTTTTGGCAAATAATTTATTTTAAAACAGCTAGAAAATTCACCAAGAGAGGGAGAAAGTATTTCTCCTATAAAAGTCTGTAGTTACTCAATCTTAGGAAATTTGACCTTCTTTCCAAATTTTCCATTCTGACTCATGTCCACTGTAGACAGCAGTCAGAAGGCAATGCCTTCCACTCAGATCGTTAAACTTATTTCTCTGCCAGCTCTGTTTACGCCTGCGAAGCCCCTCTTTGCCTGATTACTAAGTCCTGAGTGTGGATCCGTTTACCTGACTCCTGTTTTGCAAACCACTGTCAGTCGCTTGGCCACCTCTTAAAAACCTCAGCATCTGTGTAGTTTCTGTGTCTCTCTCCATATTTTCCATTTGCTTCTTCCTCTGCCCCCACTTGCCCTTCTTGCCTACATCCCTAAACTTCCTCAGGCCACTACCTCCATCATCCAGGCTCTTCCCTGAAAAGGGTCAGAGCACAGGGTAGGGATCTTATTATGTCCACTAGCTTGGAGTTTGACATAAGGAACAGAGAGTATTAGAGGATTGTCAATTCTCTCCTCTCAAGTTGTAAAAAGCTGTAACATGTTTTCTGCTCTGCTGTTTAATAAGGACACAACCATATTATGTGTTCTATTTTTTTTTTAGCACACCTTATTTTGTAACTTGCTATTATAGCTACACTTCTGTCTTCCATTAAAGAGAATTATAGTCTCTAGAATTAAACTCACTCTTATATGATTATGATTATTAACCTGATTATTTATAGTGATAAATTTTCAAGCACAGCTAATGATTTAAAAAACAGAATTCAACTGAAATTCCTAACAAAGCCATGCACAGAAAAATTAAGACACTTATGATAACATTCGGTAAATTTGCATCCCCCTCAACCCTTTTTTGACATAGATACAATGTCAGTCAACTAGAAGAATGGCTGCGTGACAAGAATTTGATGAACAGTGGGGCTAAGGAAACCCTGGAGCCTCTCATCCAGGCTGCTCAGCTTCTGCAAGTGAAAAAGAAAACAGATGATGATGCAGAAGCCATTTGTTCCATGTGCAATGCTTTAACTACTGCCCAGGTAAGGCAACTTTCCCTATTATAAAATTCATCAAAGGTAACATTTAGGGAAGTCACGAAGGCTTCTAGTTATTGCTTTTGTCTCTGAGCTAACTTCATCTGTGTCAGAGATGACATATATCAATACTGTAGATCTTGAAGACAGGAGATTTTACCACAAAGTATATTTCAGTACTAGTCACACTCATGCACATTCAACAGTCGGTAAATATTTATCCATTCTCTACACTGTTCTGTGTAACATTCCAGCCACTCAGATAAAACCAGGAACAAGGCAAAGTTTCTGTTTTTATAGAGTATACCTTCTATACACTCTATGGAGCTTGAACTCCAAAGAGTCTTGTATATTATTTGATAATTGAATGATTCTTTAGACTTATCTATTTAAGACAGATAATTCTTTTTTTAATTGAAATGTAGTTGATGTATAATATGATGTTAGTCTCAGGTATACCACTCAGTGGTTTGACATTTGCATACATTATGAAATGATAACCATGATAAGTCTAGCAACCATATGTCCCCATTTAAGGTTATTACAATATTATAAACCATATATTATATTGTAGATTGTATCCTCATGCTTTATTTACTTGATAACTAGAGGTTTGTACCTCTTAATCCCTTCACCTATTTTGAACACCTCATGTCTCTTCCCTCTGCAACCAACTGTTTGTTCTCAGTATCACTTAAGTTGTCCCAGAGGTCTCTTAAAACCATCCTTATTTCTTTTCATTCTTTTTTCTATAAAGTTTCAGTGATTTGATTTACACTACTGTCTTCCATCTCACATCCACTCCTTTGTATCATTTCGTCTACTGTTGATGCCTTCCAGTGTCTTTTTTTTATTTCAGTTATTGTATTATTCAGCTTTTTCTGGTTCTTTATATTTTCTAACTCTTTGTGAGTTCATCCCTACTTCTCCTGAGTACAGTGAGCATCTTTATGATCATAACCTTGTACTCTTTATCAGGTAGATTGCTTATCTCCACTTCATTAGTACTTCTGAGATTATGTCTCATTCCTTTGATTGAAACATACTCCTATCTTCTCATTTTCCCCAGTTTGTTTGTTTGTTTTCTATGCATTAAGTCAGCTGGTTACATTTTCCAATCTTAAAGACGTGGCCTTATGTAGTAAACATCCTGTGGGCCTCCGAAGCATGCTGCCTTCTGGTCGCCAGAGCTCTGTGCCCAGGGGTACCCCCTATGTGGGCTGTATAGGCCCTTCTGTTGTGACAGGGCCACAGTAGTTCTACTGTGGGCTCCCTAGTGGGCAGGGTTGGCCCCTGGCCTGGTTGGTTGCCCCACCCTGCTTCCTTTGGTTTCTGCTGCCCCATGTTTTGGTGGGGCCAGCTCATAGCACAGCTGGCCACAGGGCTAGGGAAACCCAGGGCTGGTGCTAGCCCTTGGTAGGTAGTTAAGCCCTGAGCACTAATAAGCTAGTGGGAGAACTCCAAATGGTGCTGAGGATCAATAACTAGTCATTCAGGTAGAGTCTTGAATTTAAGGCAGTGAAAATATGGGAATGGCGTTGGAGGACAGTGGCCACAGCGTGAGGCAAGGCACGGGCATAAACATGCCCACTTTTCTTTTGCCTAGTTATTTTTGTGCTAACTTTTGGATTTTTTAAATGTTTATCACTTATCTCAAAACATAGAAATCTTACATAGGTTACACATAGAGTATATATAGAAAGTAATTAGCTGAATACTCAGGACACTGATAACTATTGTTACTTTGAAAGACTGAGAGCATGAGAGTGGGAGTACTTTTACTTTTCATGATTTTTTCCAATTTATATTGCTCCTTAAAATGTACAGATATTATATTAATACACTCTTATTGTAAAAATTTAAATAATAAAGGTAAATGTGCCTTCAGAACAGCTCCCTCTCCCATCTTGTCCTAACCAAGCCCAGAGTAGAATTGAAAGCAATAGGCAGAGATCCTTTTCATCTTCCCGATTAGAGGTACCTGGAATGTATGTATTTGATAATATGCTAAAAATTTTGATCATTTTATTTCTCCCAGATTGTCAAAGTGTTGAATTTGTATACACCAGTTAATGAGTTTGAAGAAAGAGTTTCTGTGTCATTTATTCGTACTATACAGGTAAGATCTCCCAGGCTTCCTTTTGCTTCAGTTTACCAACACAGTCATTTGGATGGAAATTTTATAATTTATTGAAGGATAATGCAGTTTTTATTATATTATTGTATCATTTTCATAGTGCATTAATTTTTTGATAATAACTTATTGGGGAAATGAAGTGATTTTAAAACAAATATAAACATTTGTCATTCATTGAGGGTTTTGGTAGAATTTTTTCTAAAAAAATGCTTATAGATTCAAAAAATTGATGTTCTGATTTTTTTTCCTTTATTTTCTCAGATGCGTTTACGAGACAGGAAAGACTCTCCTCAACTACTCATGGATGCAAAGCACATCTTTCCTGTCACCTTTCCTTTTAACCCCTCTTCCCTTGCGCTAGAAACCATCCAGATTCCAGCCAGCCTGGGCCTGGGATTCATATCACGGGTCTGAAAGTGATATCAAGGCAAATACTGACAATACATTTCTTGCCTGAAATAAGAACCCATTATTTCAACTGAGCTACTGAAAACACATTTTAAAAGATACTACTTATTATCTCCCAAATAAAGGATTATTGACTAGAACTGCCCCTAGAATACTTTTCATCATCTTGGAAAGAAAGATAGGTTCCTTTGTGCCGTGTTACCTTCATAACAACACTTGTCCTTGGTCAGTTAGGTGTCTGCCATTGACATGCAGGTGAATGACGGAAGAAAAGAAAAAAAAAATGTGTCTTCAGCTGCCAGCATTTATTTTAAATCCTTATCACTGCATCTAAATGATATAAAAAACCTGATTCCAGATATGAATATGAGCTGTTGTTAAGAAGGTGCCATCAAGGAACCTCCTATGTACTAACCAGAAGCATTGAAAGAAAAATCACCACCGAGTACATATCATACCAGCTTAGGAATCAATTATGTTGATAATGTCAAACTGGAACAAACAAATAAACTGGCATTATGTGAAGTAACTGGACAAGTAGCTCCCTTCTATGTGTCACTATGATGTAGAGATATTAAGAGAATGTTGGTTTGCTTAGAGCATGGAAGTCCATTTGTACTGTAGTTTACTGAGCATTTTAAATTGCTGCTACATACTATGTTCTTTAAAATGTAAGCGATATTCATATTAGGCACTACAACAATAAGCTTCTCTTTTATCAACTCTGTTTACAGTCCAATCAGATTAGTTTTAACTGGATTACATGCACATATCTACAGATTCACCCTCACAAGTAGCAGACACTGGGAAGTCATGTAGTAATATGACACAACGTTTAACATTTAGGGATAGGAGTAGGCAAAGTGGTTAATGTTGATGTCATTTTTTCAGGATGTGTTATATTGATGTGCTCATTAACTTTCCCTGGGTGATATCACATCAGGGTACAGTGTTCTGTGCAGTGACTTATTTTTAGTTACTAGATCTGATTCCTGCAGTGCATATTTTCAACCCTGACAGGTTTACTTTCTTCTTAATTTATTAAGAATTAATCTCAGTATCTAGAGAGGATTGTCAGAATATTCATGATTCAGGTCTTGAAATCTTGATTCTTTTATAAATTATGCAAAAGAAAGTATATAATAAATAATTGATTCCATTTTTTAGGCTTTGCAACTTCTATAAATGTTCTCAGTACCACTAGGTATTTTCCAGAGCATCATATTAGAAATACTTTGACCTATATAAAAATATAAGGAAATTGCTGAATTCTACAGAGGACTTGGTTTAATAAGACCCAGATTCTATAAGTTTTCATTCTGACATTCTAAGTAAACATACCATTTGTCCCACAAATCTTAAACAATAAATGTTTCAGATTGTGCAAAAGCAAATTCTTAACTTTCACTAGAAACTCTGGTTTGGAATTACAATCATAGATTTGTAAAAATTAACTGTTAGATGATCTATAAAATATGTGCAATATTATTAATGGAAGTAAAACATTTTCAAATCAGTGATAAAGATTGTTATTAAAAGATAAATACTGTCTGTTAACTTATTTGAGCCTCAAATTCCTCATTTATACAGTAAGGGTGTTAAGACAGCCGGTTCCTAAGGTCCCTTCCACTTCTGAAGTTCTCTCCTCGGAGTGCTTGGACCACAGAGAAGTGAGCTGCAGGTATTCGGTAAGGTTAGCCTAGTGTTTGAAGCACGTTAATTTTGAGGGATTAATAAAATGTAAAATCATAGGTTTATGAAGCTATAATCTTTCTTAAATGTACATGATTTATATTCATGCTTTTAGAAATTTAGTTCAGGTAATTTCTATTGAATTGTGTACTGCTGTATTCAGATTGGATACACTTATTCATTTGCAAAATCAAGCAAAAATGCTACTTCGGATTCTCTCAACTTCCCCTGGTTGTCAATGTGGTTTTCAATAACTTTTGAAACCACCTACTTAGTACTGAATGTGTCAGAGTCTAAGAACATAGATGGGACTTGGGTGGGAGAGATGTCCCCTCAAATGCCACTGTGATTTGAGGCTCCCCTACTGAAACCTGGAAATCCTCCCAGGCCCTTTCCCAGGTTAGTCCTGTGTAGCATGTTCCACACACACCCTGAGTCATGTCGGGTCTTCAGGCTCACGCTCTAGCTTCCACTGCCACTGCAGCCCTTGGTCTTTCCCACAGACAGCTTGTATCCTGAGGCATGTCTAGTCTGGGCCTTTCTCTCTCTCCTGCCTCCCATCTTTCTGCTACAAAGAGCCTCTATTCCACACCCGAGCCACAGGCTCTCCTGTTCAGGGATGGCCGCACAAAGATTATGCTATTTTAGGACTCCAACTTCCTCCAGGGCCTATCCAGAACCCCAGATGGGGATCTGAATTAATTTCTCTTAGTGGCCTGAAGATCTTTAGTCAGAACAGAAATACCTTACGACCACAGAACTCCAAATCCTGGTAAGTCATTCTGTGTCCTAGTTTCTTGGAGATGCAACAATATTCTGCTGACTGTGGGTATCCTTGGCCTCTCTGAGGGCTTCTCACCTTTCCCTCTGTCCATTCACACTTTATTACCCAGCCTCAAACAAACCTCTGCCAGCCCTCCACACCATCCGCCCACTCACTTCTCCATTCATTCTTTCCCTTCCTTCAGCCGGGTATCCCCTCCACTGTCTGCTCCCTGCTCTGGGTGTTGAAGGCTGGGGGTGGGGTCAGTCTTCAGTTGCTCTGCCCGCCTGCCTGAGGACTCCCCTTCAGGCCAGTTCTTACATGAGTTCTTACTGTTCTCACTTCTCTGCGGTACTTCTTAGCTTACTGCTCATACGCTTGTTCATAATTCCTCCATGGCACACTATAGGAACTCAAAGAAAGAGTTCTTTGAGAAAACAATTCACTTGTCTCAATAGCCACTTCTCAGTAGTCTCTTCCCCACTCACCTTACATGGAGACTCAGCTCACCCCTTGGAAAGCAAACCTGAAAACTTAGAAGCAGTTTCCCTTCTTGTACCTTCTTTCAGGTTAAGGTTTTGCTCTGCCCGAGAGAAACTATAATGAAGGGGGAAAGATGAGCATGGGGTAAAATCCACGAAGTGTAGCTTCATGGTTCCTTCTGAAGTTGTGAAAATTCCCCGTGCACCTGACACTTCTTTCCTCAACTGCAAAAGTACAAAAATATGTATTCCAAAGCCAACTGAGAGAAGATTTGGGGATTTGGGCCAGTTTGTCTCATTTGCTTTATTTCATTCATTTCAATGGATAATTGAAAGTTGCCTCTTTCTGGGTAAGTGATTATGTATAATATAGATCAAAGCTTTTAATAACACAGTTTAACTAATTTATTTTATTAGAATTTCAGTATAGTGGTGTTTGTGAGAAATGTCTTCCCTGGTAACCCTAGGTGAAGGGGCACCTGGCACCATCCTGAGATGTCCTCCTATTCTCTTTTTCTCTCTCTTTCTCTTCCACACATACACAGTCTTCAGTAACTTAAACTGTTTAACATAAAGCAAAAATGTCACATGCGGCCCTTCAGCCCTCCTGGTGAAAGGGAGTGTAGAAACAGTACCTTGTGTCTGGCCGTGCTTTATTCCAACTCGCTCTGTTACCTCACTGTGTCCTCACAGCAGCCCTGGAAGGTAGGAGGGTAGCTACTGCCGTCCTTGTGTGTGTGAAAATTTGAGACAGGGATACGTGAGTTGCCTCACTAAGGTTGCCTAGGTTGCCTAAGCTGTGCCATCATTCCACACTCGGCAGTGGCAGTGAGAGCACTTGTGGGGCAGGAGACTTGAGAAAGCCCCCAGGTTCCATTTTGTTCCTCCTGGTACCCGTGGGGTGCCCTGCCCAGCACAAGGCGCTCTGTTTCTCTATCAGAGTTGGCTACTGGCCTATGGGAGGTGAATAAACACTGAGTACCAAGTTCCTGGTGCTGATCAGATCGGGTGCCTTGTGGTTTCCTTTTTGTCATAGTTACCAACTATAACTGGGCTTCCCTTGTGGCCCAGCTGGTAAAGAATCTGCCTGCAATGCAGGAGACCTGGGTTTGATCCCTGGTTTGGGAAGATACCCTGGATAAGGGAAAAGCTACCCACGCCAGTATTCTGGCCTGGAGAATTCCATGGAGTGTATAGTCCACGGGGTCACAAAGAGTTGGACAGGACTGAGCGCCTTTCACTTTCACCAACTATAACTAGGTTTGGCTTTTGTAATAGATCAGTGCCCCACCCCCCGGAGGGTGCAGGACTCTGTTTTGGTCATTATTTAGTAGCAGGCTGTCCCAGCCTGACAGGAAATGGAGAGAGCCTCCCAACAGTTAGGAAGAAGGTCACTGTCAACACACAGCCCTCAGAGTCACTATGAGAGCCACCGGGTAAGCTAGCTGAGCAGCCTGGAGAGAACCTGAGGGCACAGGCCAAGCTGCTGGGTCCCTTCTGAGGGCTGTCTACCAGGCAGGCCATACACAAGGCTTTGTGTGTTTGAACATGACAGTGTATACTTGCTGCCAGTGTTGGCTTTGGAGCCAAGAGGTTAGGGAGGCACTGTGTATGCATAAGCGCATTGATTTCTTCTCAGGCTGTGCTGTGAGGGCCGCCTTAACCCCTGCTCCCTTCCCTCCTAGAGCTGCCTTAAGTTCTCTGGAACTCCTCCTCTGTAAGGGGAAGTCTTGCCTGGAAAGGTATCTTGCCCTGTTTCACAAGGTGTGAGGGTGTGGGTGGGCGTGGCCTCCTTTCTCCCTTCCCATTCTGCATGACCCTCCCCTCCTGTTGCTTCTTCCCATGCTCTCATTTCCAAACACGTGTTGGAACTCTGAGGCAGCAACAACCTCGGAGCCAGTGAAACATGATCTTAGTGTTTCCTGACTTCCGGGGGCTCCGTGTTAAAAGAAACAAAAGAAACGGGGAAAGAAAAAAAAAAAAAAATTAAAATCCTGGGAAATCCTAAAAGGCCTGGTTCCCAACGAAACGAACGTTTCCTAAGCCAAAGGGAAAAATGGAAAAACCTTCAAGGAAAATCAATAAATTTTTTTTTAAGAACAATTTACCCACATCAAAACTGGAGTGAAAATAGGAAAGAGTGCTATAATTCTAATTCATTGTATTACCCTAAATTAAGTCAAACTGAGATTACAATAGATGTCTCAATGGATCAGGAACTGGAAAGCACTATGTAAAATATCTGCCAAAATATATTTTATACATTTTTTATTTTATAATTTGGTCTAGTTAAAATGCTCAATAGCTCAATGTAATGGGTGTTACTAGATTCATTACAATGTCTAAATATGAATACCATTTCCTTAGTATTGTAATGTTGCTTGAAATATTTGACAGAAAACATTTCTTTCTAGAAAAGTGTTTTTTGAATTGAAGTTTATATGTACAATTCAATGCTTAGTAGGTCAGTATACATTTTCATGACATTTTTCAGAGTCGATAGTTTTAAATATCTTATTATTATACGTTATAAAAACAGCCTACATTTCAGGCTGTCTACAACACTTGAGCCATTTAATTTTTCCAACGTATGCTGAATTTTTCCTTCAAATGTGGATATATGTGTTATAATTTATGAATCTAATTGTGTATTTTTGTGGAACCCAGGAATTACATTGATTTTCTTGTTACCTTGGAAAATTTAAGTTGCTCTAACAGTGTTGCATAGAAATGAGCTTATGACATTTAATGTATTGTATTTTAATTACTAACTTCAATTCTCAACTTACTGTGAAATGGATATGTCTTTTAACTGCCATAGCATTGAACATTGCAGTTTTTCTTTTTCCTTGTTGGATCTGGAAAAGGAGAAAGAGTGCTATAATTCTAATTCATTGTATTACCCTAAATTAAGTCAAACTGAGATTACAATAGATGTCTCAATGGATCAGGAACTGGAAAGCACTATGTAAAATATCTGCCAAAATATATTTTATACATTTTTTATTTTATAATTTGGTCTAGTTAAAATGCTCAATAGCTCAATGTAATGGGTGTTACTAGATTCATTACAATGTCTAAATATGAATACCATTTCCTTAGTATTGTAATGTTGCTTGAAATATTTGACAGAAAACATTTCTTTCTAGAAAAGTGTTTTTTGAATTGAAGTTTATATGTACAATTCAATGCTTAGTAGGTCAGTATACATTTTCATGACATTTTTCAGAGTCGATAGTTTTAAATATCTTATTGTTATTATACGTTATAAAAACAGCCTACATTTCAGGCTCTCTACAACACTGAGCCATTTAATTTTTCCAACATATGATGAATTTTTCCTTCAAATGTGGATATATGTGTTATAATTTATGATCCTAATTGTGTATTTTTGTGGAACCCAGGAATTACATTGATTTTCTTGTTACCTTGGAGAATTTAAGTTGCTCTAACAGTGTTGCATAGAAATGAGCTTATGACATTTAATGTATTGTATTTTAATTACTAACTTCAATTCTCAACTTACTGTGAAATGGATATGTCTTTTAACTGCCATAGCATTGAACATTGCAGTTATTCTTTTTCCTTGTTGGATCTGGAAAAGGAATTCTACTTTGACCTACA